TGCGCGCCCACTCTCCACTCTCCCCTCTCCACTCTCGACCCTCGGTCGCAGCCACCCTCGTACGTCAGTCAGCTGCTTCCCAGGCCGCCTGCACCTGTTGCATGCCACTAACCGTTTCCCTTGCGCAGCCTCCTTGTTACACCAGTGACCCGCAGCCTGCAGACTCGGCCGCCAGCTCGCCCCCCCCCCCCCGTCGTCTCTCCCAGTGACGTGGTCGCCAACGAAATAGTCCGCCAGCGCATCCGCTTGCCGACCGCGCAACCGATAATATGTCGGCCTCTCCCCCAAAGCAGGAGGGCGTGGAACCAGCCCAGTCGCCTGACGAAGAACAGCCCATGGACCGGAACACAGAAGAGAACACAGCCCAGATAGGTTACGAGTTCGAGGTCAAGGAGCAAGATCGATGGCTTCCAATCGCCAATGGTACGTCCACTATTTCCCATGCCCTTTTCCCCGCCCGCCGTTGATTTGCGCGCCCCCCCCCCTCGTCCTCCGCCCTGCACGTCGACGAATTGCTCAAACGGGCGGCTGTCTCTCTGGATGCCTGCCCTTCTGTCGACTCGCGCGTGCCTGCGTCGAATCGCCTAAACCTGTGCCTTGCTCCAGCCACTCAGCGCTGCCCGGTGCCTGGAAATCCGCCCACGTGCAGCGCGCGTAATGTCGTCCTCTTCTCCCCACTCGTCGACGTCCCCGCCACACTCGACGCCCAAGAGCACAAACACGCACCCCAGTACCGCTTCGGATGCTAACATACGCAACTTTGCTCCAGTCGCCCGCATCATGAAGATGGCCCTTCCCGAGAACGCCAAAATCGCAAAGGAGGCCAAGGAGTGCATGCAGGAATGCGTCAGCGAATTCATCTCCTTCATCACCAGCGAGGGTATGTTTGCTTCTTCTTCTTCTTCTTCTTCTTCCTCCTCCTAATATCTTGTTCGCTAGCAGTCACTGACCATGGATGTAGCTTCCGAAAAGTGCCAGCAGGAGAAGCGCAAGACGGTCAATGGCGAGGACATTCTCTTTGCCATGACTTCGCTCGGGTTCGAAAACTACTCGGAAGCCCTCAAGATCTACCTGTCCAGGTATCGCGAAGTAAGCTACCCCTTTTTTCCTTCTCCTCCCCCATGTTGTTCTTTTGTTGCCTCCCATCTGGCGAAAACGTTTATCTGAACTATTGGTATTGATTGGTGGTACGAGACCCTCCTCGCAAATCAGAACAAGCCACCCACTGGGCAGTTTGCAGCCGGGCCCGGCGGGCCCAACGCAGGCGGCTCAGAGAATCAACAGCATGTACTGAATGCCGAATCCGAAATGGGCGACGACACCACGGCCTTTGGATATCCAGTCCACAACGGAAACGGAGCCGAGTACTAGGCGAACTTGGCTCCGATGGTCCGACGCAACGGGGAAACGACCATCAAACAGGAGCCTCTATAGGGCAAAGAGATGACCGAGATTGGAGTGGCTTGCCAAAGTATGACGAAGAGACGGAACGAAGGAACTTTTGGCTGGGATCAGATTGTTGGAAATGCGCGTCTATGGCTCACAGTCGGGGGATTTATCTCGGGGTAATGAGGCGCAGGAACAGGATACACGTCTTTTTGACAAGATGTCGGCTTGAAGTCTTGTTTTGCGACCATGTACGGATGCTACGGGTAGGAAGGAGCACACATGAACGACGGGGATACCTTTATTCTTCTTACTTGCTGGATTACTATTGGTCTAGATTTTTTCCCCTTTGCTCACACGGGCCAAACAACATTCGTTATGTGTCTGGCAATCACACACGCTTACAAAACTGCTTTGGCAAATTTGGTGCACTTGAGCCTTGAGTGAGAGATGATTCGTGTCAAACATGCTACTGCGACGGACGACTGTACGCTGATGTTGATGCGGCTCGCCTTCTAGCCAGGAGCTCACTCAGCGGTATATCGTCTTCCTGCTCATCGTAGAACTCGACGTCCTCATCCACGCCAAAATCTTTCAGCCGCTCACCCTCCGAGTTGCGCCACGCTGCCTCGCCTTCTTGTTTACCATCGCCATACTTTTTCTTCTCGTCCTCGTCCTCTTCCTCTCCGTCGTCACTAGCACCATGGCCATACGCATATCCATCTTCATCCCGCCCTGCTTCACCACTGCGATGATATTCATCCTCGTCATCCATCACCTTTTGATACACACGTCCCGCATACGACTTCCTCCTCCTCAACTCATCCTCAAACTGCCTCGCCTTGAACGCCTTGAGCGTCTCCTCGGCATTCATGCCCGGGTCCCCAAAGCGAAACGCATCACCCTCAGGCGCCTTGATGCTCCTCCTGTACGCGCGATCCGGGTCTGGCGGCGGCCACGCGGTGCCCTCGTCCTCGAAGCCATTCGTCTCAAACGCCAGGCCACTCGCCACACTGGGCGTGGGAGCCAAAGGATTAAGCCAGGAAAGCGGGTTTGCCGAATTCATGCCCTGCACAATGTTCGCCCAGATGCCAATGTCGTATGGGAACTCCTGCTTCTTGATGCGAATCTGGTGCGCGCCGTCAGGCGAGGGCAAGTAGCCGCCGTACTGGCGGGCGCGGCGGAGCAGCGTCTTGTGGCGTTCGATTTCCCAGCCTTCGATGGTGGTGGTGTTGACGGCGAGGCACCACAGGTTGCGCAGGAACAGGATGCCCAGGATAAACAGCGTGATGCTGTTTGTGATTATTACGGCGAAGAGGTGTGCCAGTTGCAGCTTTGTGGGGCCCAGTGATGAAGGCATGTCGAAGTTGGTCCATAGGAACGCGAGGCGCGTGAATAGGAAGGATTGCAGCATCCCCAGCCCGATGCTCGTGTACATGAGAAACCGGATAAAGTGCGGGAATGTCGTGTGGCTGACGCAGTTGTTGGTCCAGGGGCAGTGGTGGTCCATTTTAGGTATGCATCTGAGGAGTGGAATTAGCTTGGTTTGGCTTGGTGGGTGGGTGGGTAAATTTGTTGCTCTTGAATGAACGAATGAAATCAGGGTTCGGATATAGGGCATATGAGATGTAAGAAGAAGAAGAGAACGTATTTGACGCCTGGCAATCCATCATGATTCCACACACACACACATACACAGACATGGTGATAGTAGGTTTGGGCAATGTGATAGTCACAACGAGATCAAAGAAGAAGAAGAAAAAAGAACCCTACCTCTTACACTCCTTACAATGATGCGCTCGAGGCGGTTTCGCCGCCTCACACCGAAAACACCATTTCCGACTCTTTCCTACCGCCGCCGCCGCTGCCGCTGCCGCCTCCTCTTCCTTCTCATCCGTCTTCGCCTCAGCAGCAGCAGCAGCACCGCCACCCAGATTCCAATTCCTGGGAATCGTGCCCGGATCGACAAATACGCTCTTGGAATACGTAATCAGAATCAGCACGAGAATCACATTCGCGGCAATGAGCTCGTTTTTGCTCAGCGGCGCGGGATCCAGGTGCAGCAGCAGGTACTGCGAGGGATAGCCCAGGAAGAAGATTAGAGCGTAGACGCAGGGCACGGCGAGTTGCGAGAACTCCATTTTTTGTATCAAGAGGGGAGGGGTAGGGGCAACACCTCGCAAAGAAGAGAAGAGAAGAGAAGAAGGGGAGGAAGGAGAAAGCAGGTGGCCAAAGGGAAACGGCCGGAAAGAAGTGTGCGTGTGTGGTTTGTTTTAGATGGGCGGGCGGGCAGTCTTACAAGGTTCCCGTGTTACAAGTGGATCGCGAAAGCACGTGATTGGCAGGTTGGTTGTTGTATGTACGTACGTAGTTGCTTCTTTCCGGCCTTCATCACAAGGCAAAAAAATCCATCCATTGTATTCCCTCCTCTTTTTTTTTACCCCGCAAATTCCCGTCCTCGCATCACCAAATCGGCCGCTCTTTTCCCCAAGATTCGTTTTCTGGGACAACCCGGGGAGGGCGTTAAGTGGATTGTCATGGTGTCTTCTACGTGGCCTTTTTTGCTTCTGATCCCAACGCTTGTCTTGATACACTTGTCTGTGGCGCCGTACACAAAAGTCGAGGAGTCGTTTAATATCCAGGCGGTGCATGATATCCTGGTGCATGGCGTGCCCACGCAGAATGTCGACCAATTTCTTACTGCAAACTACGACCATGTGTCGTTTCCGGGAAGCGTGCCGAGGACGTTTGCGGGCGCGGCGGTGCTGAGCGGGTTGAGTAGGCCGTGGGTGCCGTTTGTAAAGGATATGGCGGATATGCAGGTGCTGGGTAAGTGGCTGTAAAGGGTTTAAATCATGGTACCGGTGACTAAGTGGGAATTGCAGTTAGAGCAGTGCTTGGGCTGCTCAATGCGGCTTCACTCGTTGCGTTTGGGAGGAGTGTGCAAAAGGCTTTTGGGACTACGGCTGGCATATGGTATGCGCTGTTCCAGGCAAGCCAGTTCCATGCCATCTACTATTCTTCGAGAACACTGCCGAATATGTTTGCCTTTGTGTTTAGTAAGTCCTGATCCTTTTGTGGAAGAAGACAGCGGCTTATTGAAACAGGTAATCTGGCATTGAGAAGCCTACTTCTCGCGTACAACATGCCCAGTGCCTCGTCAAATAGTGCGGGAAACTACCGGCTGGCTTTGTACTTGCTTACGATTGCTGGGGTCGTGTTCCGCTCTGAACTAGCTATCCTCGTTGGGACAATCACCCTCTATGTATTTCTCACCCGCCAAGTATCCATCACCAGCGTCATCATCCCCGCCGGCATCGGGGGCCTCATCGTCGGTCTTCTTTGCACGGTACCTCTGGACTCTTTCTTCTGGCAATCTTCCCTACTGTGGCCCGAGTGGACGGGTTTCTACTACAACACCATCCTAGGAAATTCCGCTAATTGGGGTGTCTCGCCATGGTATTACTACTTTGCAAATGCACTCCCGCGTCTCATGCTGAACCCTATAACTTATTTGGTCTGTATACCCCTTGCCATGCTAAACCCAGCAAGCCGCAGACGAAGCTGCGATTTACTCGTCCCTCTCCTGAGCTTTGTGGCGATATACAGCTTCCTTCCACACAAAGAATGGCGCTTCATTCTCTACGTCATTCCAGGCTTGACAGCAGTAGCCGCAGATGGAGCAGCCTGGATCTGGACACGAAAGTCAAAGTCTATCGTGTATGCTACGCTGAGTCTGGCTCTGGTAGGATCAGTCTTACTCTCATTCGTCGCATCCACATCCATCCTGGGTATTTCCAGCCTCAACTACCCCGGAGGAGAAGCACTCCACGCTCTACACAAAGAGATCAAGCACCCCCAAAACCAACGCTTTGGCGTATACTTTGACAACCTTGCGTGTCAGACAGGCGTTACTCGTTTTCTCGAGGACCACAGAGGCCCGCAGACGGTGCTTGATGTTCTCGAAAAACAAAAAACGCTACAAAGCAGGGCATGGACCTACGATAAGACCGAGGACCCCAGTGCGCTCCTAGATCCAATGTTCTGGACCAAGTTTGATTATGTTCTCGCCGAGAAACCGGAGAAGGTCATTGGAAGCTGGGCTATCGTACATGTTGTGTACGGGTTCGGTGGGATCAAACTTTTGAAGCCAGGAGAGGAAAGCGGCTCACCCGTCGAGCCTCTGTATGAATCAGTCGATAACAAAGCTGATGTGCGAGAGGACTGGACTGCTAAGGTTGCAAAGACATGGCATGCATTGGAAGAGCGACTGAGGAACAGCTTGTTGAGGGGCTATTGGGCAGAGATACGCATGGAGCCAAAGCTCCGTATCTTGCGGAATCAGGCCAAGTAGATGTAGTGTATCTAAGCTAATCTCGATTATTCTGTATGATTCTCATATCACAAACATGGGGCGAAGGGGTCGAGGACGTCCAGAGACCCTTGCTCAACGTACCCCGCCACGCTTGCTCTGCCCCACCAAGCTCTCTCTTTCGCGTCCACCCTGAGACTCTACAACCAACCAAACCGACAATTTGATTATCGATATATTCAAAATGTCGGAAGAGACGGTGCCCAAACACGTCATCTACTGCGGAGGTACGCACACGCTGTTACGGGTAGTTCCCTCGATCATTCGTTAACAAGAAGCAGTCTGCAGTCTGCCACCTGAAGTAGGTACGACACTGGGACGCGTTAATACTGAGCTGGGTAGTAACAAATGTCCTCTAGTATTGCGAGTTTGGCGGCACAACCAAGAAGTGTGAAGAATGGCTCGCGGGAGCGCATCCAGACCTTCATGCCAAGTTATACTCGGCAGGTAAGTACTGCGCAGCCTCCAAGTGCGCAATCCCATGTGTTACGAGCGGCTAGCTAAAAGCCCCCTAGAAGCGCTACAGCAGAACATGGCCTCGCTCTCTGTCGACGCCCAAAAACGCGCTGAAAAGGACGCACAGAAGAAAGCCGCTAAAGCAGCGACCGCAGAAGCACGAGCAGCCGAGACACGCGCATCCTCCAAGATCCTCATCAAGCGCATCGAGCGTAACAAGCGAAAATACGTGACCGCAGTGCAAGGCCTTGAAGCATTTGGTCTCGACATTAAGAAGGTGGCCAAGGACTTTGGCAAGAAGTTCGCAACAGGCTCAAGTGTGACCAAGATTCCGGGCGGTGGCGAGGAAATCACAGTCCAGGGAGATTTGAGCGAGGACATATTGGAGTTCCTTGTCGAGAAGTATGATGAGGTGCCGGAAGACAATGTGGAGTTGATTGAGGATAAGAAGAAGAAGAAGGCCGAGGGAGGTTGAGCACCTTGTATAAACACATACCACGTGCAGATGCGGAGAGATGCAGCGCCGAGTCATTGGAATGGCGTACGATACATGCGGTTCAGCATGAGCATTGGAGTTGGTTGGTGAGGAGTAGGCAATGGAGGCCCGCACAGTATGAAAGGCATAGGCCCCATGGGCCACAGACAGAATCAGTCTTTAGGTGCTGTACTAGAAGTCAATCACAGGCTTTCATTCACTCCTGACGCGCCCCTGTTGCTTGAACAAAGTTTTTCTGCGCAAGATGATCACCTCAGCTGCATGTATACTTGGTAAAAAAAAATGTTTTCAATCTGTCTGGCACATGTGTGTTTGTGACGCCCATGAGCACGTGCCCATTGGATGGTGAGTGGTATGTGGAGATATCGGAGGTGATGCGGTGTCACGTGCGCTAGCTAGCTGCAGCCTTGTCGGAGCTCCAACAGTGAACTTTTCGAGATCCCGCCGCCGCTCACATCCAACCACCTCTAGGGCGCGTCCACAGCCCGACCTCACTCAATCGGACAGCCCTTTCCTTTTCTTTGCTTCTCTCAAGACGAAGACTCGTTCTCTCGTCGTGTATAATATTATACCTCGCGCGTCGACAGCTCGAGAAGGCGGAACAAAAAGCGCAAGCCGCGCAACACTACGATACCCACCGCCACCATGTCGAAAGATCAAAACAATCTCGCGCAGTTTAAATATGCGGCCATGTCCAATTTGGTCCTGCAGGCGGACAGACGCTTTACGTCGCGCCGACCGGACGAGCACACTGGTGACCCCGAGTCGCTTGCAGGCCGAATCAACATTCGCGACATGGGTGCGCGTACTGCGCGCGACAGCGCAAACGCACAATCTAAGAAGCTCAAGGGTCCTGGCGTTGAGCGAGGCAACCTGGGTGAAGGTGGCGACGTCCTAGAAAGAGAGCAGCGCAAGAGGAAAAGGGACGATGGCACAAGCGCCTTTGGGGCTACCTCTGCCACCGACTTGAACATCGAAGGCCTCACATACAAGCCGCGCACACCTGCCACACGCCAGACCTTTGAGCTCATTACAACCATTGTGAGCAGAGCTCTTGGCGATGTCGACCCTGCGACCACGCGAAGTGCAGCCGACCAGGTCCTGGAATATCTCAAGGATGACAGCATGAAGGACTTTGACAAGAAGAAGGAGGTGGATGATCTTTTGGGTACCTCCATGGGCGCAAAGGAGTTTAACGAGCTTGTGAACCTCGGCAAGAAGATTACCGACTACGACGCGCAGGATGACGAGGAAGGAGGCGACGAGGAGATGGCCGATGGCGATGGTGCGGATACGGGCGACAACCAAGGTGTTGCTGTCGTATTCGACGACGAAGAGGAGGACGAAGACGGCCCGCAAACTTTCGAAGTGCGAGACGCCGACAGCTCAGATGAAGAGGATGAAGCAGAGGCGCCGGTAGAACAAATCGGAGGCGACGACGACGCAAAGGCCGCAGGCTTTGCCGACACCGAGGAGACGATAATACAGGGCGATGCGGCCATTTCTGATCGCAAGAACGGCGCAGACCAGCTCATTCCCGCACACGAGATCGATGCATACTGGTTACAACGGCAGATTGGACAGATCTACGAAGATGCGCACACACAGCAAGAGAAGACACAGCAAGCGCTCAAGTTCCTTGCGGGAGTCTCGGAAGACGGCGAAGAGAAGGAGCTACGTGAGATTGAGAACGACCTCATGGATCTCTTTGACTACGAACATCACGAACTGGTCGCCAAACTCGTACTCAACCGCGACAGAGTTGTCTGGGTCACAAGGTGGCGCCGCGCCGCGGAAGACAATGACGAACGAACGGCCGTTGAGCGGGAGATGAAGGCTGCCGGTCAGCAACAAATCCTGCAAGAGCTGCGCGCACGAGAGACGGGCATCAAGGCAGAGGACGGAGCCGGTACTGGAAAGATGAAGTTCAACCTCAAAGACATCAGTCTTCCTGAGCCGTCAAACGACGTGGAAATGGCCGACGCTAAACCAGAGGGCATTGTTGGCGGCCTGCAGCCGTCAAGTCGACTTGTCAACCTGGAAAACATTGTGTTTGACCAAGGTAACCATCTCATGACGAATGCCAGTGTCAAGCTGCCTCAAGGGTCAACAAGACGCCAGTTCAAGGGCTACGAAGAGATCCATGTGCCCGCACCGAAAGCCAAGCGCGATCCCAACGAACCGCCACTGATGCCTACGTCTGAACTACCTGAGTGGGCGCGAGCGGGTTTTGGTAGCTCAAAGTCACTTAACCGTATCCAGACCAAGTGTTTCCCGACCGCCTTCAACGACGACGGCAACATGCTGATTTGCGCCCCCACTGGTTCTGGAAAAACCAACGTCGCTATGCTGACCATGCTACGAGAGATTGGCAAGCACCGCAACCCGCAGACGGGAGAAATTGCCCTGGATGACTTCAAGATCATTTACATTGCTCCGCTCAAGGCTCTGGTTGCGGAACAGGTCGGTAACTTTGGCAAGCGTCTTGAGCCCTATGGTATCAAGGTCTCTGAGCTTACTGGTGACCGCCAACTTACCAAGCAGCAAATCGCCGAGACCCAGATCATTGTCACGACTCCTGAGAAGTACGATGTCATTACCCGTAAGGCTACCGATACAAGCTACATCAACCTTGTCCGCCTCATCTGTATTGATGAAATCCATCTTCTCCACGACGACCGTGGTCCAGTTATTGAGAGCATTGTCAGCAGAACCCTTCGACGTAGCGAGCAGACTGGTGATCATGTGCGCATTGTAGGTTTGAGTGCTACTCTTCCCAACTACCGCGATGTTGCCAGCTTCCTCCGTATAGATCCAGAAAAGGGACTGTTCCATTTCGATGGCACCTTCCGACCCTGTCCCCTGAAGCAGGAGTTCATTGGTGTTACAGACAAAAAGGCCATCAAGCAGCTGAAAACCATGAACGACGTTTGCTATACCAAGGTCCTGGAGCAGGTTGGCGAGCACCGCAACCAGATGCTGATCTTCGTACATTCCCGAAAAGAGACTGCAAAGACTGCCAAGTACATTCGTGACAAGGCTCTTGAGCAAGAGACTATAGGCAAGATTCTTCGATCAGACGCTGCTAGTCGAGAAATTCTAAGAGAAGAGTCCGAGTCGGTACAGAACACCGATTTGAAGGATGTCATGCCCTACGGATTCGGTATCCATCACGCTGGTATGTCACGAGCAGACCGTAGTACTGTAGAAGATCTGTTCGCCGATGGCTCAATCCAAGTGCTGGTGTGCACAGCTACTTTGGCTTGGGGTGTCAACTTGCCTGCGCATACAGTCATCATCAAGGGAACCCAAATCTACTCTCCAGAGAAGGGTAGCTGGGTTGAGCTGAGTCCACAGGATGTTCTGCAAATGCTCGGTCGTGCTGGTCGACCCCAGTATGATACTTATGGAGAGGGTATCATCATCACTACACAGTCAGAGATACAATACTACCTCTCACTACTCAACCAGCAGTTGCCTATCGAGTCGCAATTCATCAGCAAACTCGCAGACAACCTCAACGCCGAGATTGTTCTAGGCAATGTCCGGAACAGAGACGAGGCAGTGGACTGGCTTGGTTACACATATCTCTTCGTTCGAATGCTTCGATCCCCAGCTCTGTATCGGGTAGGTCCAGAGTATGAGAATGATACAGTCTTGGAGCAAAGACGTGTAGACCTTGTCCACGCAGCTGCACATGTGCTTGAGAAGTGCAGCCTTATCAAGTATGACAGGAAGACTGGAGCGCTCAACCCTACCGAACTCGGAAGAATCGCCTCCCATTACTACATTACCCACAACTCGATGGCGACCTACAACATGCACATCCAGCCTGGCATCAGCGCCATTGAGCTTTTCCGAGTGTTCGCTCTCAGTGAGGAATTCAAGTACATTCCTGTCCGTCAAGATGAGAAGTTGGAGCTTGCAAAACTACTTGGAAAGGTTCCAATTCCTGTCAAGGAGGGTGTTGAGGAGGCTCAGGCCAAGATCAATGTTCTCCTCCAAGCTTACATTTCTCGCCTCAAGCTTGAGGGTTTGGCACTGATGGCAGATTTGGTTTACGTCACGCAATCTGCGGGACGTATTCTGCGTGCAGTCTTTGAGATTTGTCTCAAGAAGGGCTGGTCGCAAGTTGCAAGGCTGGCTCTCGACATGTGCAAGATGGCGGAGAAGCGCATGTGGCCTACCATGACGCCTCTGCGACAGTTTCCCACTTGTCCCAGGGATATTGTGCAAAAGGCAGAACGTATCGATGTCAACTGGTCGAGCTACTTTGGCCTGGACCCACCCAGCATGGGTGAGCTACTCGGTATGCCCAAGGCTGGCAGGCTCGTCTGCAACCTTGTTGAGAAGTTCCCGCGACTCCAGATTGAAGCAACACCACGCCCGGTGACCAGGTCGTTACTCCGCCTGGAGCTTACCATTCGACCCGATTTTGTGTGGGATGCTGAGCTTCACGGAGCATCTGAAGCCTTCTGGATTCTCGTGGAGGACTGTGATGGTGAACAGGTTTTGTTCCACGACACCTTCATCCTCCGTCGTGATTATGCTGATGGCGATGCCAATGAACATTTGCTCGAGGTCACTGTACCCATTGATGAGCCCATGCCGCCCAACTACTTCGTCACAGTCCTCTCCGATCGGTGGATGGCGTCTGAGACTAAGCTTGCTGTCTCTTTCCAGAAGCTTATCCTGCCAGCCAAGTTTCCTGCTCATACGCCCGTCCTGGACCTGCAGCCTCTGCCTGTTTCTGCTCTGAAGAGGAAGGAATATATGGGCTTGTATGAGAGTATTGGTCGCTTCAACAAGGTCCAGACGCAAACTTTCAACACCTTGTATACCACGGACGACAACGCGCACATTGGTGCATCTGCAGGCATCGGTAAAACCATCTGTGCTGAATTTGCCATATTGCGGCATTGGGGTACTGGCAACGAAGGCCGCATAGTTTACCTTGCACCTTTCCAGGAGCTTGTCGAAACACAGTACAAGAACTGGAATGAGCGACTTTCAGGTCTCTCTGGAGGCAAGGACATTGTCAAACTCACTGGTGAAACTACGGCTGATCTCCGACTACTTGAGAAGGGTGACCTTGTTTTGGCTACACCTTCTCAGTGGGACTCTCTTTCTCGCCAATGGCAGCGCCGAAAGAATGTTCAGTCTGTGTCTCTCCTGATTGCTGACGATTTGCACATGCTCGGCGGATCTAACGGCCATGTCTACGAAATTGTCGTCTCACGTATGCAGGCCATGGCAACTCAGCTTGAGTCGAAGCTGCGTATCGTTGGACTGAGTGTCTCATTGTCAAATGCGCGAGACCTTGGTGAGTGGATAGGCGCGAACAAGCACACCATCTACAATTTCAGCCCGGCTATTCGAGCTGTACCGCTCGAGCTCAAGATCCAGTCGTTCACCATCCCCCACTTCCCATCCCTGATGATGGCCATGGCGAGACCGACATACCTCGCTATCACGCAGATGTCTCCCGATAAACCAGCTATGATCTTCGTTCCGAACAGGAAGCAGGCTCGTAGCTCCGCTGTCGACCTCTTCAACGCCTGCATTGCAGACGACGATGAGGACCGCTTCCTCAATGTTGAGTTGTCGGAAATCCAACCCATCCTCGAAAAGATCAACGAGCAAGCTCTCGCTACTTCCCTGTCTCACGGTATCGGTTACTTCCATGAGGCTTTGAACTCGTTTGATAAGCGGGCTGTTCAGCACCTTTTCAAGGTTGGCGCTATCCAGGTCATGATTGTTTCACGAGACTCTTGCTGGGAGATTGACAGCAGTGCTCATCTTGTTGTCGTCCAAGGCACCCAGTTCTACGAGGGACGTGAACACCGATATGTTGACTATCCCATCAGCGACATTCTGCAGATGTTCGGCAAGTCTGGCAGGGTTGGACTGGATAAGTCGGCCAAGGGTGTGCTCATGCTGCCTGCGGTGAAGCGCGAATACTACAAGAAATTCCTGAACGAGGCGTTGCCAATCGAGAGCTACCTCCCCGACTACCTCCACGATGCGTTCGTTGCCGAGATCAGCGCGAAGACGATTGAGTCCACACAGGAAGCCGTTGACTGGTCGACATACACGTACTTCTACCGCCGCCTACTCGCCAACCCAAGCTACTACAACCTGCACGACACTTCTCATGAAGGACTCAGTGCACACTTGTCCGACATGGTTGAGCAGACCTTGAAGGAGTTGACGGATGCCAATCTCATCGAGCATGACGAAGATGAGGATAGTATCACGCCACTCAACCCATGCATGATTGCGGCATACTACAACATCTCTTTCATCACCATGCAGACGCTCATGATGTCGCTTAATGGCAGGACAAGCTTGAAGGGTGTGCTAGAGATCATTACAGCCGCCACAGAGTTTGAGGACATGCAGATTCGGCGACACGAAGACCACATTCTCCAGCGTATTTACGACCGCGTTCCGTTCAAGATGCAAGAGCCAAACTTTGAGACGCCTCACTTCAAGGCTTTCGTCCTTCTCCAGGCGCACTTTTCACGCATGCAGCTGCCCATTGACCTGGCCAAGGATCAAGAGACTGTCCTGCGAAAAGTTCTCAACATCCTCAGTGCCAGTGTCGATGTCCTCTCGTCAGAAGCCCATCTCAACGCCATGTCTGCCATGGAGTTATCCCAAATGGTCGTCCAAGCAATGTGGCAGAAGGACTCTCCACTCAAGCAGATCCCGCACTTCGATACCGATACTATCAAGGTTGCGCAGAAGTTTGGCATCAACGATGTCGACGACTTCATCAATGCCATGGACGAGGATGAGAACCCAGACTACAAGAAGCTCATCGCCGCGCTCAACGTCGACCAGCGCCAGCTTGCCGACATTGCGAACTTTACAAACAACTTTTACCCCAACGTCGAGCTCGAGCACGAACTTGTCGATCCCGAGGATATTGCATCCAACTCGCCTGCTCAGCTCAAGGTCCGCGTCACTCGCAACCTGGAAGAGGACGAGGAGCCCAAGACGGAGGTGCACGCACCATTCTACCCTGCCGATAAGACAGAGAGCTGGTGGCTGGTTCTTGGAGATCAGAAGGACCACACGCTGCTTGCTATCAAGAAGGTGCCTATTCTACGGAAGCTGGAGACGGTGCTTGAGTTCACCCTCGAGAAGCCTGGTAGTCATGAGTTGACGCTCTACCTGGTCAGCGACAGCTATCTTGGTGTGGACCAGGCGCCTACGTTCCAGCTCGAGGCTGCAGAGGGCATGGAGGAGGACAGTGAGGAGGAAGAGGAAGAGTAGTGTTGTGTTAGTATAGGGAGAAGTCAATGGTTTGGATAATTTATGATACCTTGTCCTTTCATCATCATCAGCAGCAGCAGCAACAGAAAATTAGGGCTGGCGTGAACGGGGCGTTGGAAATTGAATTGCATGTATAGTAATTTACTTTGCACATGATGATTGGCTACCGGGCCGCGATTAGTATGTACTCTGAGCGAATTTGGATTGTAACAGCGTAGGAAGAACAGATGGTGCCAGGATGCTATCGACGTGCTTCGCAATGCTTGCTACATATATTTCTCTGACGCATTCAGTGGCAATGTCACATACGGAAACATGGCGATCTGTATTCCAGATGGTGTGATATGTACTGATGAAATTGCCAAAGCAACTCTTCCCCAGTAACAGCCTCAGAAACAAATGTAAAAGTCTTGGATCATTACGCGTCCACAGATGTTTGGTTAAAGTTAAAGTGCGATCGGACCGACAACATCCCAGTACAAGCATGCATACTTACGCAGGTCCAGCACGATACGCGAAAGTATATGCAGCTCCCTTTGCAAGCAGGCTTAGTACAAGTTGCGGTGGATTGGTGGGGGGAAAAAAATCCGAGCGAAGCAAAGGCATGACAATTCGCTCGTTGATCCCGGGTTATTGTATGTTTGTACCTGCAAGTGTCGGCATCGAGCGAGTCGATGACAGAGGAATGAGGAGGGGGGTGATGGACGGCAGGGGGCCTAAAATAGAGCCCTGCACCTAGCATGCCTTTTGTCTAGATCGAGTGGGCCGATCGTCTTGCACGCTATCATGGTTGGGTTGCTCTTCAGAAGACCTTCTTGGCCTTTGCCTTCTATCTTGAGGCTAGTGAGATTTCATACTGTACCGTGGGTTTGGTCAATCTGTTTCGCCTTTATGACCTTTGAGCTTCAGAGGGGATCTTGCGTGTGTATGCGTGTGCGCTGTCAAGATGAAGGGTACCATAATTTGGGTTCGGGGATTTGCTTTTTGCAAAGCTGGGGGAATCGTCTCATACTAGAGGCTGTTACTGCCACCCTGGCCGTATATGGTATCATTCACCGGCACCGGTGACTGGGGCAGCGATCTTTTTCTTGGGGGATTCAGCTAGTGCGGGGGACTCAGGCGCCCTTTCACCGGCGTGAGAAGGGGGACCAAGGTGGGCTTGCATGAGCGCCACGCAGGATGATAACAAGCGCTATCGTGATGCTGACCCTGAATCGCCATAGCTGTAGCTGTAGCTGGACCACTCTTGTAACATCTGTATCCCTACACTTTTCACTGTCTGAAGAGATTCCATCTCACTCTGAAAGAACATGGTACCCTCGATCATCACAAGCTCACCAGCATTGGACGACACGTCCACCCATCCACGTCGAGGTGAGATATGCCGCATGGCCCAGCGAGGCCTCCAACGCCTCACAATCACACACTGCTTACAATGAACAGTCTGGACCACCCTTCTCACCAACACGGCCTACCTACCAGGTCTCTTGACCCTTGACTACTCGCTGAAGCGATCTAACTCCCTCTACCCACTACTCGTATTGTACACGGATGAGCTGCCAGCCGAAGCCCACCAGGCTCTCGACTGCCGTGGGATCCGCAAGAAGCACGTTCCGTACTTGCTACCTACCGCCGGCAATGACTACAGCAATGATCCGCGGTTCTACGACTGCTGGACCAAAATGGTTCCGTTTGGCCTGACAGAGTTCGAGCGCATCGTTCAGCTCGATAGCGACATGCTTGTCCTGCGCAACATGGACGAGCTGATGACCCTTGAGCTTGATTCCCCAGAGCTAGAGGGCAAAGGAAACAGGGTCTTTGCTGCATCCCATGCCTGTGTTTGCAATCCGCTGAAAAGATCACATTATCCCAGTGACTGGTAAGTCCTCTGTTTCCTTGCTCCCTTTCTACACACCAATCCTTTGAACTTCACACATTGTTCTACCCAGATACCCGATCTTAAAAACGCAATAAACAGGGTCCCTGAAAACTGCGCTTACACACATCAACACGGCTCACCGGACGAGGCGCAGAAAACTGGCGCCCCGTGTACCACCGGTCTGCAGTACATGAATGGAGGCCTCCAAGTCGTCAATCCCTGCAAAGCCGTGTACGACCGCATCCTGAATACCCTCCGGAAACCGGAAACCGCAAATTATGCTTTTGCGGATCAGTCGCTGCTGTCGGACCTCTTCTGCGGCCGCTGGGTTGCGCTGCCATATGTGTACAATGCGCTCAAGACGCTGCGGTGGCAGGGCGTGCACGACTGTGTCTGGAGGGATGACCAGGTCAAGAATATCCATTATATTCTCGCGCCCAAGCCGTGGGAAAACAAACAGCTTCATAATGACGCCGATCTTGTCACGCATAAATGGTTCTGGGATATCAATGATGAACGGCGGATGAAGGAGAAGGAGACTGGTATTGAAGATTCTTTCTAGTCGTGGGATGTGTACACTATTTTCTGCAGAATCTTGACTTGATGACCTTTTCATTTTTATTTTCTTCCCTTTCTCGTCTTTCTTACCCTGGAAATTTGCACAATCATGTATGTGCTCTTCGCTGCCATTTTTCACACAGAGTACATACATACATTATTACACTGTTTTTGGACTTTGCCTATCTATCATGCTTATCAGTCACAGTGAAATTTTCCCGTGTTCGTATGTATCGTGAAAAGACTACCGAGCTATAGAGTTATTTGTTCCATGAGTGATTTCGACGTGCCGACGCAGCGGCTTTCACAACGTAGTAGAGTAGAGCTATAGATGCAATTTGCAGTGTCTTTCACGCGGTCTGTAGGCAACCCAGCTATGACACAGTCATCTTCTCCTCCATCAATGGGCCCTCTCGGCTTATGAGAATTCTGAGCACAACAAACAAGACACAACTAGACCTAAGTATGAGAGGGATTTTCAGTTTAGTAAACACGGTGAATATATGCGGTATTTTGAAATTCAGTCACCTTTGCAAACCAGTTCGGGTGACGCTTGGAGCATGGACTCTTTTAGATCAAACCCAAAACACTGGATATTTTGATGGATAGATAGCCTTGATACAGTCAGACTGACGTCTTTCTTCAGGCCTAGAAATGGTTGAGCTCTTCGCCTGTATTGCAAAAGAAAGTGCAAAAAGGAAACTGCAAAGTCAACAGATTGAACTGACCAGTGGTTGCCAGAAAACAAAAAACATTGCCCGAGAACCGAAGTTCTCCGCCAAGTCGAGTGGACGGGTGGATGATCGAAATCCAGACCTCCCGCAAGCTTGCAAAGAACATGCAAAGCGGGCGCTCTACCACTGAGCTACACGCCCTGTGATGGGTGTTTACGGGCTTATGATAAATATAAAGGGAGTGCAATGTGGATTGATGGAGCGGAGATGGGCCGACGGGTCTCGAGACCGCTGAATTACGCGCCCGGCGCTCTCTGTGGATCTTGTAAAGGGTCTTACGTAATATGGAGGCAGTTTTCGATTAGAGTGGATGTATCAGCAGCGCAGTATCCAGAGCCATGGGCGGGGGCAAAGGTCGCAAGTATGTGTGCGGGGCCAGGGCAGCGTTGGAGCTACTAAAAGCGTGACATGGGCTACGAGGGCTCTCAGCCACACCCTTGGCGCAGCCGGACGAACCACGTCGTCAGCTTCTCAGAACACCATTGCGCCTTCTCGCAGCAAACCACACGTCTTCACACTCTTCCTGCTTCTACCGACCGGACACGACAGGCTCGCAACGTCCGTGGCTTGGCGCGCAATTCAAGTCTGCAGATTGACCGCGTATCTGGCATACATAGCGGTATCGCGCCCCCGACACTGTTCACAGCCCGCAAACAAAGGGTGTCGCAATCACAACAACCGCCACGATGGGGTCGATAGGCACATATTTCCTCGACGTCGTCTACTCCCTTACAAACTGCATGGTGTGCTTCCCAAGCTCACCGCAGCTCAAAGTCAACAGTCGCAGCTTCAAGATCCTGCGGTTGCTGGGCGAGGTAAGCCGACGAGGCGCAGCCGAACTTATTCCACTTATCTGACCTGGACGCAGGGGGGCTTCTCCTACGTATATCTCGTGCAAGATAATTCCAACCAGCAACTTCTTGCGCTCAAGAAGATACGATGTCCCTTTGGGCAAGAAAGCGTCAGTCTCGCGCTGAAAGAGGTCGAGGCATACTCACTCTTTGCGCCACACCCGAACATCATCCACTCGATCGACTACTCTGTTGAGACTGACAAGTCGGACCCGTCTGCGAAGACTGTGTACATCCTTCTTCCATACTACCGCCGCGGCAACCTACAAGACATGATCAATGCGAATCTAGTCAACCACACAAAGTTCCCGGAGCGGAGGCTGATGGTGCTTTTTCTGGGTGTCTGCAAAGCTCTCAAGGCGATGCATCAATACAAGGTGAAGGGAGGGCCCGGTGGTGCGCGGAGTGACGGCAAGGCGAAGAAGGTCAGGAGAGATGCCAAGAGGGCAGACGCGGAAGCTGCGGAAAGTATGGAGATGCGCCCGAGCCGACGGAATCGCGATCATGAGGACGATGACGAGCTGGAAGCGGAAGGATTGCTCGAGGAGTCCGAGGTCACAGCAGCGCATGAAGGCATTGCGCCTGGTGGAGAGAGAGCATACGCGCACAGGGACATTAAGCCAGGTATGTGGTTCACCTGATGCACACTGGTGTAGGGAGGCTAACAGAAATGCAGGAAACATCATGATAGACGATGACGGCAAGACACCCATCTTGATGGATCTCGGCTCCCTCGCGCCCTCTCCAACCCCTATAACATCGCGCTCGCTTGCGCTGCAGGTCCAAGACACTGCCGCCGAACACTCGACAATGCCGTACCGTGCGCCCGAACTATTCGATGTCAAGACGGGCTCCGTCATCGACACCAAGGTGGACATCTGGTCGTTGGGTTGCACATTATACGCCTGTCTTGTAGGCAAGAGTCCTTTTGAGGCACGGTCAGATGAGACAGGTGGCAGTCTAAGTATATGTGTGCTCGGCGGTGATTGGAGATTTCCAGACGAGGGTGTGCAAAGGGGCAAGCAAAAGGCTAACGCTGAGGACGCCGTCTCGGACAGCGTAAAAGAGGTGGTGCGAAAGTGCTTGAAACTGGAACCGAGTGAACGACCCGACGTTGACGAGTTGATTAGCATCGTGGAAGACGTGCTGAAAGAGCTACCGGAAGATGGATCGGATGACTAAATGGGGTGTGCTTGGAATGACGCTGGACTGACGGTATGGTCTTGTCGCGTGGCGTGTGTTGGCTTTCCTGTGTCTCGGGTGGTGGAGTATCCATCTTTCATGGATGGAAAATGCCTTGATATTACAATATACCCGGTTCATGTCTTGGCTTGATTGGATATTTGTCGCGACGGAACGCTTGAGTTGAAGAAAGCATGTGAGGGCGAACATGTGACAGAGGCGGCTAATCGCAAAAGGGAATCCACCTGTCAGGGAGCTATGTGACATGCTTGTCGCTTGTCCCGGTCTTTACATTGGCAATTGTTATCTCCTTTACAGGCCATGTTCATGCATATACTTGAATGGAATGTGCATTCGTTTGCTGAACTATATTGGGTTAGAGGGTGGTCTTAAATTAGGAGAGTTATCGGCACTCTGATTAGCATGATTGTATGCTGGTTGAGCAAATTGCAAGGGTATCAGATTGCGTAGAGATCTTTGTAGTAAGCGGACCGTTGCAACAGACACGGCCTAGCAACCACCAAGGGGTCTTGCTCTGTTGAGATACAAGGTACTGAATGAGAGATATCTTTTGAGATATTTATAGAATGTGGTTGAGGTAATTGACATGGACGGCTGCATCAAGGAGTGACGTTGGATAGTCAGGATATTTGCATTCGATGGCCACCCAACATGCAAGAAATCCTAAAAGTGAAAATGAATATGGTTCCGAATGCAGAGAACCAATAGGCCTTTGTTTTGTCCAATCCTGGAGATTGGTGGCGCAGTAGGTGTGGAGGTGGCCCAGCGCAGAGCACATGGCGGACCCTTTGCTTTTGGGTTTTCTTATCATGGAAAGATGGACAGAAGACACGTAAGACGTTGAAGTTGACCAGAGACGTGGCTCTGGCAGTGGCTGTGCAGGGTGGGATGAGCATGAGGGCTATATGCTATGCACAATGGGATACACACGACAACAGCAGCCGTCAAGATGGGCTTGTATCAACCAACCTTGGTCTGTGGGTGAGCCCCTGGCCACGCCTGTTGCCGGCTGAGAAAAAGCAAGATAATGGGTGCCTTGGGGCCCGAGATTGAACGGCACGTCAGAGAGCATCTGAAACACGCCGTTGGCCGGCATTATGGAGCAGCAACGTAAGCGGGGTTTAATTATATACGAAGGCGAGCAGCGCGGCGACGGGCAAGAGGGCAGGCATTGTACAGCTAGGTGCAAATAAAGTAGTTTCAGCGCAGCACGGCTAGCTACACCTAGGGAGCTGCATGACAGCGTCGTCCACGTGCAACTCCGCACTGCGGCTCCATTGTGGTGGCTGTTGAAGGTGGGGCGTTTCTGCAACGGCGGGAGTGCCCCTGCAGCAACCACAGAGGCTGAGATGAAAGGCCGGGGGGTGCTCCTGCGGCCATACACACCTGGCCTGCCCTTGGACTTCCCCTTTCACCGTCCCCACTGACTTCATGCATACATAGCTGTGCGCGCGCGTCCAGCTCGTGGTTGTTTACTCGCAGCATTTGTACCACCATTGCCATTGCCATCGCCATCGCCATCACCATCACCATCACCGCGCCCCCCGCCCCATCCGATTGAGCCCCCCGCCTGAAATCGCCACCACGGAGCGCGCGACTCGTATCCATACACACAACAGCCATTAGCATTTGCCCGCAGCTAATCAGGGCGTCATGACGCTTCGTAGCACGTACGCCAGGTTTCTGGCCACTCCCTCGACTGGCGCGCTGGCGGAGAACGCCGTGCTGCACTACGTCGCGACGACGACGACCATCAGTGACGCGACGGTCATTATCAAGCACCTGTCGGCCCAGGAGAAGCAGTTGAAGAAGACGAAACAGACGATTCTCGACGCCATCGAAGGCCCCCACGGCCTGAGCGTCGATGTTGAGACGACGATTGAGTTCAACAGCGGCGGCGGCGCATACCTCCCTGGCCTAGACGACAACTTTGTTGCAGACCGAATCGCCACCTTTCCCATGGTATGTCGTCGTGCCCGCCCATGGCCACGCCTACTGACACAAGCAGGTGCACATGGTCCACTTTGACCAGGCCGGCAAAATCACTCAGATTCGCCAGTACTGGGACCAGGGCTCGCTCCTCAAGCAGATCGACGTCATCGGCGCGCGGTCGCGCAACTGGCCTATTCGCGACGGCAGCGAGCAGATCCGCCTCATTTCCACCAACGCTGCTGCTGGCCCCCAGTCCGAGTCTGCATATTCTTCGCGCCCCACGACGGCCGCTTCTCGTGGCGCAGATGAGGTGTCCATCTCGTCGCGTTCGCGCGGTTCGACAAGCAATGCCATGAACGACCCGCACGCCTCGCTCTCGCTATTTGCCCCTCGCAAGCCCGACGAAGAGTCAACGTACACATCGCAGCCGATTGCACCGCGCGCACAGTCTGCCAAACCTCAGCCACGAGAGTACTCTGAGTTGTTTGCCGCTGCTGACGAAGGCACGCCTTCGCCCACACCTCAGAAGATCCCGGCCAAGGCAGGCAGTGAAAAGCACTACAGCCCCAACCGCTTGTTTGAGGACAACGACAAGGACGCGGTCGGCCGTACGCCCACCAGCGTCAAGACAAACTCAAAGAAGTACGACCACTTCCAGTTTGGCGATGATGAGGATACACCAAAGACGCGCGAGGCTCTGCGGCCAAGCAAGCAAAGCCAGAACCGCAGCAAGAATGCCGCACACTGGGACTTTGATGACTTTGCTACCCCTGACAAGACCAAGCCCAAGATGCACCCGCAGGCGGTTCGACACTTTGGCTGGAGCGACGATGAGGTTAGTCTATTCCATGAGGCCGAGACGGAGCCTGGCTCGACGTCTCTGCCTTAGCAATTGAGAAACAGTGCGCTGACACATGTTGACTACAGGAGGAAACGTCACCTGCCCGACGACCGGTAGTGCACCGGTCTCGTCCTGACGCAAACGCGCACTTTGAATTCAGCGATGACGCCACACCTGAGGGGCAGCGCGGACGCCCGACCAAGGGCGGGCGGAACAATCTGTACGCGGACCATGTGACGAGCACGACGGACGAGGGCCGCGCGCTCAACGACGTGACGAGCGCAGCCAGCAACAAGAACCGCAGCAAGGACATTGGGGCGCAGTGGGAACTGACGGACAGCAGTCCGGGCCTGGGCAAGAACCATGGCAACGCCAAGAACCAGGCGGTGCGCAGCTCGATGAAGACGCACTGGGGCACCCACGCCGATTCCCCCGAGAACCGCGGCATCAACATTGCAGGCAACGGCATGGGCGGCCGCAAGGGCACAGAGGCCGCGTGGTCGCTGTATGACGAGAGCCCCGCCAAGAAGGAAAATAGCGGTGTTACTGGTGCTCACGCCGGCATCAAGACCGAGGGCGATGGCATGGGCGGTCGCAAGACGGCCGATAAGTCGTTTTGGGATTTCTAAATAAGCGTGTGCGAAATGGGCGAGATAATAATGCCGGAATTGGATTGATCAATTTTGCGCTCTTTGTTTTTTTTTCTTCCCTTCTTCTTCTTCTTCTTCTCCCGCACAAACACTTAACGTGGGATAAAAAATACCAGTTTTGCTGCTTGAGCGTTTTTTTTTCTCTGACTTCTTCTTGTTCTTGTTCTTGTTCTTTTCTTCTCCTTTCTTGTTTCCTGGTTCCTGGTCAAATCTCCTTTGGTCTGTCTGTCAATTTCTCTCTCTCTCTCTTTTTGATCTCTCTCTATGGAACGATAAAATATTCAACGGCCATTATAATAACGAATGTTCCCTCTGAACCACACCAAACCAAATCCCTCTTACCTCTAAACTAGATTTTTTTTTTATATTTTTTTTCGGTTCATGTATCTTGTCCTCTGCATATGGGATTGGGGAAATAAATCAATTGGCGTACAAAGTAAAAAGAAAGAAAGAAAGAATTTGTAGGGCTGAATTGCACAGTGGCGTGAGCGAGTGTATATGAGTGAGTGTGAGTGTGAGTGTGTGTAAGCACTCGATCAAATCAGGTTGGATTCTTTTATTTTATTGTATCTTTTTCTTCTTCTTCTTCTTCTTCTTCTTCTTCTCCTCTTTGATCCTTGGTATGTTTTTATAACTGTCAAGTCCTCTCCTAAAACAAAACCCCCCCCCCCGAAAAACCAGAGCCTACTTGAATTTTTTTTTCAACGGTCTCAATTCACAATAGTTATGTGCATGTGTTATAGGACCAAGAGAGTAAAGCTTCGGTTGGGCTAAAACAAGTAATTTCCATAACGTTGGAGGTCTACACTGCTCAGGCACCAATCATAAAAGTACCGTGACCATGTCCCAAAACGTGGCAGATCCTAGGCCGTGGTCTCGCGTGGCAGCAGCGTATCCCTGGTAAAAATGACCTGGAGCTCGTCGCCAACCCTGCCGTTATCAATGTCGCCGTCCCAAGGCACAAAGTTGACCGAGGCTTGGAGGCCAAGTCGCTTGCCCAGCTTGGCCCTCTGCTCAAGCGGTATGCGTGTCTTGATGCCTTCCCACACGGCGCGAAAGGCCTCGCCCTCGCCCGGGCGCTCGACGTCTTGCCCGGGATCGGGATTGTCGAACCACACGCCCGCATCGGCCATGCGGCGCAGGTCGTCGGTGGGTTCCATCGACGCCCAGATGTCTGTGGGCGCGTACCTGATGCGCACCTCGTCCAGGGGTGTCGAGTCCGGCGTGTCAGAGACGTGTGGCGCTATCAGCATGAGCAGTGCGTGTACACAGACCTCGATCCAGTAGCGGATTTTGACGGGTAGTGCGTATCCAGGACGCGACAGATTGCGGTGGTGGTACGACTCACGGGATATGAAGGCTAATGGGAGTGATATGCTGCTGAGGTTAAACGTCGGCGATGCAAGGTATGAAAAGAGCGGCGTGACCTCGAGGGACACGAGAAGCTGCAGCTTGGTGGCAATGTCTGCGGCAGAGGCCTCGTGGACGGGATCGCGAGTGGGGTCGGTAAAGGGATAGTGGCTTGCGAGGCCAAAGGGGTCATTTGCACTGGGGGCGGCAGAGGCAGCGGGTTGGCGAAATGAAGGATACAGAGGCATGTTTGGGGGCGAGTACAGGTTGTCGTCGTAGTGTTCTCCTTCGTGGTCATATTCGTCAAAGTGTCCGTTGTAGTAGGCTCCCCGTATGTAGTCGACGTCGACTTCTACTTGGTCGTACTCCCAGTACTCGTCGCTTCTTCCCTCGCCGCGTTCTGGGGGATAGTTGCGCAGGTTGGGCAGCGTCTCCCAGTCGAGCTGTATCTTGCTCAGCCACTTGAGCCATTGCCTGCCGGGCCCGTTTGGCTCTTCAATTTTTTCAAACAGCGTCTTGAGCACAAAGGGCCCGCAGCTCAGATAGACGGTGTGGTGCTTGAACAGGACCTCGAGCGCCTCACGGGCGACCTGGCGATTGAGGAGAAAGTAGTCATGGCGGGTAATGAGAAGGATGGCGGCGGGGGTGGGTGTGAAGTACTTTAAATTGCGACGCTCGATGGGGCGCTGGCAACGGTTGTTTTGAAGAGCGAAGACGTGGTGGTATATCTACTGAAGGTTAGCGACAGGGCTAGCTGGTGGGTGGGCGCCTACCTGGTCTCTGAGTTCTCGGGGCAGGTGGAGGAGAGGAAAGACGGATGGGCGTGGCGGTGCATTGCCGGCGTGGTGGTGGTGGTGGTGGTGGTGGTGGACTGTGCCATGGAGGGCCATGGTAGCTGCTATTTTTTTTCCTCCCGGGCGTGGTGTGCAGACCAAGCCTTTGCTGTGCCCCGCAGGCGGCGACGTGGGCGAAGCTCGCAGGTTGCCAGGTTCCCAGGTTCCCCGCGGCGGGCGATCTTCACGTGAGGGCGGTCCAGATGTGGATGTGGGTGTGGTGTGGGTGGGTGCACATGCACATGCTCGGCGGCGCCCCTGTGCCTGTGCATGGCGGCGGCGGCGGCAGCATGGCGGTGCGACTAGGCTAGGTGTACTATAGTGTAGGTGTAGCGATGGCAATGGCAGGCTGGCAGCAATGCCGTGCCAGGTTGGGACGACGGGCCGACTGGTGCCTGTAATGACTTTCATGCGCGTAGCGTACCGCTGTGGCGGGTCGGCGGTCGGTCGCGTCAGTGGAGCGGGCGAGTCATGCAGCCGACTCCCGTTTGACTAGATTCGTGAGGCAGCCGTGGCCGAGCAGCTTCCTCCTTCCTTGACGGCCAATTGACACGGCTGCGAGTACCACCACCACGACGACTACGACTACGACCACAACCACAGCCACTACGGTGCTTTGGGCCAGCGCCCGCGGCTGCAGGGCGGCCTGCTTCCCTTGGCCCCCGCCCGTGCAGTGCACCAGCGTTGCCCTTCAGGTACGCTCGTCCGTCTGTGTTGCCGCCGTTATGGGCCCATGCATGGCCAATTTCATCGCCGCCAGGGTGCGCCTTCGAAAGGGGGGGGGGGCGGGTCGGCAGTCTGCTCTGCTCTGCTCGGCGTCTGGCACGTGACAGCGCCCGCCCGAACCAGCCGAGCCTCCCCTCTGGCCTGCACTGCACACCTACACGCTACCACCTAATTAGCCACACATGCTAGCCTGCACTCGTCTTGCTTGCATGTGTGCCACCGCCAGCGCCCCCAACAGTTGCACTTGGCCGCGGATACCAGCCGCTGGCAGCTTGACGCCTTGGTGCACAACGTCACTCGTCCATGGCCGTGTCCCGTGGGTATTCGGCCCATACGGATAACGTGTTGCGCCATGTGATGCACAACAGTGCTCCCTCCGATGCTGCAAGACCGTGGGTGGCTTGGGGGATAAGCATGCAGCCAGGGTCGAAACGCTGCATGCCATCTTTGGAAACAGAAACAACCACAACTACAACCACAACCACAACCACACGTCCCTGAACCGCGCCTCTCGTGCAGTGTGCAGGGCACATATGGCCCAACTCTGCTCCCACACAAGACGCCCATCCGGCCCTGCATGTGCAACCGACGTGCTATCTGCTGAGCCGTACATCTCTTACACCCTAGTGACGCTGTGTTCGAGTGGTTCAAAGACCCACGGAACCTCGCCCGAGTCTCAGAGCCTGCTTGGCGCACACTGCTCCTCAATCACCGCCCTGGGCCAAGCAGAAGCAGACGAATGCACTAGCATCTGACACACAAGGCCGTTGGATGTAGGAACCCGGCGGTTGGGTCTGCGTCATGTAACACGCTCATGTCGAGTACAGTGCGAGCAGAGACAACCATGTGTGTCGTGTAGGCCATGTTGGTCGGCTCGAACCGAAAGAGTAACACTGGTGCAAGACAGTGCTCGACGTCGGCCTTGACACCAATGCTGCCTTATCAAAAGCGGGCTTAGCCTTCGGCTGTGCAACCCAGTCATCACGCACACAGGCGCTGCCTACTCTGTCTCCCGCCGCCCGTCCTACTCACTGCCCGCCTACTGATAGGGGAGACCGAGAACCTTCCCACTTGAGCACCAGAGCCTTCTTGGCGTATACCTGCTACCCGTCGCCCACCTCATTGGACGGGTAGCGACTCGGACAGGCCATCCTAGGCTATAGTGGGCTTCCCAGGCTCAGCGTGGTTCCAGGCTGGCTCATGGGCGAGTCTCAGCTGATGCCGTCCCTGTGTGACGGGCAAGAGGGGCGAGGCAGCCATGTTGATGGGGTCGAGCAAGTGTGGGGGTAATCATGGTCACTCACGATCTGCCATGTTGCCCCAGTGCAGTAAGAACAGGGACGGGGGGGGGTGATTGGGAGGCGGCGGGAGCGTGAGAGCAGGGGGGCAAGAGGGTGTGGTCGAGGGCGCGAGGAACAAGGTGGCGGCACATGTGTACACTTGCAGAATAGAATGCACGCAGGCTGAGGGGCGGCTGTGGGCGGCAGGGCGGCGCAGCGATTGCGCGGGCAAGCATTTGCGTGGCGGCATTGGCGGCATGGCGGGGCGGCGCTGGGGCGGCGAGACATGGGCATGCTCCTCGTCGCCAGTGTCTTGTTGTTTGCATCTTGTTTGGTGGCATGGCAAAGCGACGACAAAGTACATGGTACTACTGCTGCAGGCCGGGCGCGAGGGCAGGCTTGCAGCGGCCGTCGCAGAATTTGCTTGGGCTCGGCGCAGAGGCCGGTTGGGTAGCAGGCATGGAGCGCCGGTGGACCTCGTGGCGGTACAGCGGGCAGCGGGCTAAGCAGAAGGGTCTGGCTAAAGTGACGGCCAGCTTAAAGGACCAGGCCGTGCCATGTTCGCATGCCGTGTCGGAGTGGGTGTATTCATGAGTGTGTGGTGGTGGTGGTGGTGGTGGGGGTGGGGGTGTCGAGCGGCGGCGGCGGCCACGATGAATGCAGAGAGCCACACAGCGCAACGCAGCGCAGCGCATCGCAGTCGAGAGTGCCAGTGCCAGTGCCAGCGTCGAGCAGCCCAAGTGAGACAAGGCAAGGCCAAGAGAGGGTGCGACGCGTAGGCCCTGCCCCGAGTCATCTGCACCGCCGCCGTCTTGTCTTGGGCTCGAGGGCCCGTCTGTAGCGCGGGCACCAGTTCACGCGCAGCTCCAGGGTGCCCATATTAAAGTGCAGCTAGCCGCCGCTAGCCCGGCTGCTGAGATACACGAGGCCTCGATTGAACGATTTCCCACGTGTGGCTCGCTCGTCCGCTGGGCGCCAGCTTCGACATTAATTGGCTGCTCCCTGGCCCTGCCGACGTGCTGGCGACGCAACCTTGCCCTTTAGCCTTCTGCTGTTCCGCCGCACCTCCTCCGCCCTCTGCAAGGCCCCTTCTGAGAGAGCGCGCGCGAGAGAGAAACTGTCGTACATAGCTCCCCGACCCCCGACCGCCGGCTGCCCGCTGCTTTGTTGTGCTGCCCCCCCCCATCGTCCTTGGAACTGTCTGGGGCGAGGGCCTGGTGGTGGAGGCACGGGATGGTAGTCGCTCCTCCTCCAAAGAGACGATGGCAGGCGATGAAGTGGGGCGGGCCAGATGGATGCCAAGACTGTCCACGGCTCAGAGGGCAGGCAGGCAGGCAGGCAGGCAGGCAGGTGCGATGCGACGCGATGTGATGCGACGAGACACGCCAGGCTGCGCGAACACGGCAAGCGTGCGCAGCGTCGACGACGATGACGACGGCGGCGGCGGCGGTGAGAAAGACGAAGACGGAGAAGAAGAATGCAGTCGGCGGGCGACGTCAAGAGCACCTGTTGCAGTCAAGAGTAGGAGCAGGAGCAGGAGCAGGAGCAGCACCAGGGCCGACAAAAAGAAAGCAATGCTGCCGAAGCAGGCCTGCCACGAAGACGCAGCGAATGCGGTACGCCCCCTCAAGGAGACGCGGGTGCAATGGTCGTCTTGTTTTGCTGGGCGGCCGTCGCAGCTTGTGCCCCAGGCCAATTGGTGCACGACGTGCCGATGGCAGGATCTAGAATGGGCACGGTGGAGATGGGGATGCACCACGCAGGCGTCAAGCGAGGCGTCGTGGCTGGCGCTCGAGCAAGAAGAAGACGCCGAACGAGTAGCTGGGTGACGTGGAGCAGCTGTCGTACACACGGAGAGCGCAGTCAGACTAGGCCTCCTGCGACGAGGTGCGGCGTGAGGGGGGAAGAAAAAGAGAAAAAGAAAATCTCACACACGCGACTAGCAGATTCTGGGTCTCCTGTGCGCGCGTGGGACAGTTGAAGGCACCCGGAGGTCAGGGACACAGGGCAGACAACCAGGCCTCGGGCATGTCGCGGAGAAGAGGACGGAGAAAACGACGGCGAGCAGAAGAGCAGCAGGAGAAGAACAAGGTGAAGATGAAGATGAAGAAGAAGAAGAAGAAGAAGAAGACGACGAAGACGAAGACGAAGACGAAGACGAAGACGAAGACGAAGACGAAGACGAAGACGAAGACGAAGCGACCAAGGAGGGACGGGCAGTAGCAGCAAAGAAGAAGAAGAAGAGGAGGAGGAGGAGGAGAACGGGGAGGCCGGGGAGGACGGGAACGGGGACGAGGGCGAGGGCGAGGGCGAAGAGGAGGATGGGAGATGGGGGCGGCGGGATGACAGCAGTCGTGCCTTGCATAGACGGACCAGCTTTCCCACCTCACGCCCCGCGCCTTGCCTCAACACCGTTGCTCCACGCCGGTGCCCTTTGTCGGCCCTGGACCTCGGTTCCTTCTTGTCCTTCTATTGCTGCTCACGGGCCCTTTGCTCACGACCACGGATCCTGCCTGCCCTGAGCCGTTACCGTTGCAACTACAGCCTCCTTTTTCCGCCTCCCTATTGGCCCACGGCCCTCGTCTTCAATTTCTCTTGTAATCCATTACGTGCCGAGAAAATCATATCGCTACCACCGACGCCCGACTGTCCACGGTTATTAAGCTGGTTGCTCGTGAGCAAATCCTCCTGCCATGGATTCAGCTGCTCAACCGCGAGCGCAGCATGGCAACGGTGTGCCGCATGGTAAAATGCCCCAAGGCCAACAGTCGCTGCCACCGCTGTCCTCTCTCACCAACGGATTGTCCACGGCCGACCAAAGCCCAGGGCAGCAGTCCAAGCAGCCGCCAGAGAGCAGAGAAGTTCGTGACTCGGGCAATTGGTCCATTGCCCCCAGCAAACGTAAGTACACACAGCACACCTGTCACCTACACGTTGTCCTAACGTGCTGCCAGACTCGTCTACAGTCTCTCAACATATGGGCCTCCAGGTGCAAACGCTCCTGAACCCCTCAGACGACTCTCCTTCGCGTGCCTCAATACCAGAGACGCCATCGTCAGCGAGATATCCTTCTGGCTTCTCTCAGTCGTCTCAGGTACGTTTTTCCATAGCAATGTCTCACCGTTTTGTCTAACATGGAAAACAGCCAAGTGCTTTGCCCTCACTCAACCAAGGGTTTGACAACAGACTAAGTGTCGACGCTAGCTCACATCTCGAGTCCCGACGCAGCAGTGTAGACAGCCGAATGAATGTCGGCATGGGCCACCTCAGCATCCATCCCCAGTCGCCGTACGAAAGCCAAAATGCATCCCGAGCCTCGCTTGTGTCCAATCTTCAGCAGCAACGCGGCATCTCGAGTTCGGAAAGTCGCCCCAATGGCACTTCTCCTCTATCGCCCAATCGTAACGGCCCGCGTGCCAATCACCCTCCGCGACGCGCTCCTGTGATTACTCCGAATCCGCGATGTGTGTCTGGCGCACCCGATCCAACGGCCTCAGCACCAACCAAGGGATTCGCCTGGGCCTTTCCGGCCGACGATTTTGAACATGAAGACAAAAGAGCATCAAGCAGTGGTGAGTCTAGCATAGATCGCTCAAATGTTCCCTCGCGTCAAAATAGCATTGCCACGTCAATCAATAGTAGTATATATACTACTGATTCGCGCTTGCACCCAGGCCAGCCACAGCTGGACCAACGACTAGATGATGGCATGCAACCCGGCCTGTATACGACATCAGATTCACTGACTGGCCCAGACATTCCAAGTACACATCATCACTCGATGCAACACCGCAGCGTCACAACCCTGCAGAACGTGGACCCTACGAATCCTTTGACGCCCGGCAGCGGAAGCTACAGTCGAACCCCCGAGCTTCGTGTCAGCCACAAGATGGCCGAAAGAAAGCGCCGAAGCGAGATGAAAACTCTGTTTGACGACCTGAACAACATTCTGCCCAACTCTCCCGGTAGCAAGTCGAGCAAATGGGAGATACTTACAAAAGGTGACATTTGTCTCGTCCGCTTGCCCACGCTGTTCTAACACGCTATACCAGCCATTGAGTACATACGAAACCTCACCAGAGCACACCAGAACGCCCGCGAGGAAATTAGTCGTCTGCGCCCTGACGCTGAATATTGCCGCCGAGCGCAAGAAGAAAATGAGCTACTACGTTCTGAGTTGACTGCCGTCTGGAACGCTCTTCGTCGTGTTGACCCCAGCAGCCCGCACGTCTACGGAAGCATGACGGGTCATTTGGCGCAAGGGCATCCTACAACACCAGGCTCGGGCAGCAACGTGCTTCCTCCCCTACAACAGCAACAGCAACAACAGCCTCACCCCCCACCACCACCACAACCAGCAGCTTCGTGGGCACCACAGCATGCGACTGCCATGCAAGGTGTTGAATTTGGTGGAATGCGACCATACGAACACTCGCATCGCTAAAAAAAACCCCCATTTGTTCTTCGACTGAAATTAAGAGGAGTGTGGAAAGCTCATCAGCTTGTCTCTGGGCATACCGTTGTTGACATCGGCTCAGACTCGAGCACGCATCGTGTGCCGCATCTTCATCTTCTTTGTTTTGTTCATTTGTTGTTCTTGTCCAGCGAGGGACTCGAAGCGGGTGTGTTCTGCAGTTATACTACCGGCAGGGATATACGTTTCCGTCGACCTGTGACTAATTGAGCCCCCGAACACGGTTCTGATTACCTTGGAATGCGGTTCATGACATTTTTTTTCAGCACGGGAAAAATATTACGGAATGGCCTTTGTGGCGTTTTCAATCTTCTGCATGGTGCCTATTCACATCTACGTGAGCGTAGGGGTGTGTGGGGCTTTAGGGGAAGAGGTTTATACCCCACGTGCTCGACAGCACGGGCGGCCTCTTGCTGGGGGCATGTTGGAGAAAAACAAGAAAAAGAAAAAGGAGTTGAGTGGCTTTTACCTGTAGTATGTGACAAGGAAGGATACTATCAAGTTCGCATTGCCTGGATGATAGGCTCAGGGTGTTCATGACCGTTTCTCCGGGCGGTTTGTTGATTTATCTGCTTACTATTTTCTCTCTACTACTGTATCGGCATTTCCCCCCTTATATATGAGGGGAAGTATGATGCAGGCGTCCTTCGATTTTACCTTGATACAATTTTATTTTATCAAGGAAGCACGTGTGTGTATGCATGCGCAATTTTTTTTCTCTATCTTTTTTTCATTTTCTTGTGCTGAACCAAGCGGGAATCTACTATGTGCAGAAAAAAAAGGGAGAAAGAGAGGCGCTTACTTACTGTACATTAGTAGAACATCAAAATTAGATTTGTCAATGCATGCATGGGATTGGGGGGGGGGGTTCCTTTGCACACGTGTGGCATGACAGATAACTCACAGCTCACTCAAAACACCCCTCCCTCCCTACAGACAGTCTGACTGAATGATTAGTCCAAGGGATACTGATACTGACTTGGTTCTCCACGTAAAGGCGGCGCTCTCTTTGTTTTTGCCCCCTTCCCACAAATTGAGTCCCCGGATCGTCGCGCCGCAAAGCAAGCGAGGAAGGTAATGCGTATGTGCACAGCAGCAGCAGCAGTAGCACAGCGCAGCGCAGAGCATGTGTTGGTGTGGGCGTGTGTTTGTGTGTATGTGCGCGCGCGCGCGACCGAACCGAACCGAACCGAAATCCTGCCCCGCTCCCCTCCCCTTCCTTCGCCTCCGCCTCCGCCTCCCCCGTGTTTTGTGGCGCCAGCATGTCTCATGCTTGTTGTGTTTTGGGGGGGGGGTTTTATGAGTAAACGCGGGGGTCAGCGAGAGAGGGGGGGAAAGGGAAACATGTTTCCTTTGTCCTTGTTCCCTCGTCTATTTCATACTACTACATGTACTATCTATCTATCTATCCATCTCATATACACATCGTGGCAAGACTGTGGGTAGGACGCGTATGGATAGATAGATAGATAGATAGATAGATAGAATACGGCGCATGATGCATCGGATGTTGCCGTTGCCGCCGCACGCCGTCGCCGCCGTACGCACGCACGCACACACACACACACACACGCAGAGCACAGGCCATACACACACACACGCACGCACCGGCAAACACATAGGTACGTACAGTAAAAGAGGGATCGCCGGTCTAGACAAATGCGAACTGGGGGACGGCGGCGGAGAAGGGGGGGGGGTCGGGGGTGTATTAACAAGACAGGACAGGACAGGATAAGGATAGGGATAAGGATAGGGACAAGGGATAAGGAACAAGGGGGGGAGGTCAGCACAGTAGACAGCAAAAAAACAAGAAAATCCCACGTGCCTGGCCGCCGCCGCCGCCGCCGCTGCGCCTTTTGGCCAACGGAAGACGGCAAGTTTGCGTGCCGGGTGGCCGAGTGTGGGCTTTGGAGCTTGTATGCATATGTGCATGTGTGCATGTAACACGTGGCTGGATTTGGCTCGTGGCTTGGAAGGGGTGGGGGGGGCTCTGTATCTTTGTATGTATGTGGGTATGTGGATATGTGTGGCTTCTCTCTCTCTCTCTCTCTCTCTCTCTCTCGATCAGCTTCATGCTACATATATATCTACGTAGATGTAAACAATGTTACTTACTTGCATTGTTTTACCACGTCCCTCTATAAACAGCATTTCCTTTCCCCCATGTCCTTGATTATTGATCTGTTTAATTATTACAACCTATTCATCCATCCATCCATCCATCCACCCATCCAGGTCCATCCCAATCAGCCATTTTCCCTACACCTATATAGTTCCAACAAGTAATGTATCCAAGTATGTGTGGGGTCCTGTGCCCAGTTTTCCTTTTTTTTCTTTCTCTTCTTCTCCAAATTATACGTTTCTTTTTTGTCCTGGTTTACAGGCATGTTCCTTGTTTCCTTGAGATGGTGTTTTCCCTTGGAAAAAAAAGAAAAGAAAAGAGGGACCCTTGGTTACTAGTTTAGTTATTACTACTACTACTGCTACTAGGTGTATACTGCTACGGTATTATTTTTCAATTTGCCTCCCCCCCCCTTCCCCCCCTTACCCTACCCTTAGCTCGCTCCCCTAACTCCCCGTCCCTGACTCTGCCTCCGTCTCATCGTCATTTGCAGATGAGTCAGACTAGGCCGAAATTCCCTGAGAGAGCCTTTTTTCAGCTCTCTCGTATCTGCGCGTGGTTTTTTTTTTGAGGGGGGGGGGAGCTATTCGAACAGGTATCATCGTTGTCGACGGGTGGGAACCATGGGAGGGGGGACAAACAAAGGGGAAGGCATAGCGAGAGAAAATGAGCGACATAATCACAAATTTTGAAATGAAAGAAAGAAAAAAAAAGGTGAGATTCGGTGTGTTGATCAATACATGTAAGCATGCAAAATGGAATGAGAAGAGTAAGCCAGTGAGGTATTATTATTTTTCTTGGTTCTTTCGTTTAAGAGGAAAAAAAAACGGAAAGCCATGGCTGCGTCATCGCGCCATTTACAAGAAAAAGGGTATATAGTATGAAATTCTTATCCATCAGGAGACACAAAGACTTGTTTCATACAATCTTTTCTCGTTTTCATACAAACAAACAACGACGACAACAATACTATCAACATGAATGACATCAAAGTCTAACCCCGGTGTAGGATGGTATCTAGCGGATTCTTGGGTTGCTCGCCCATTTCTTTTTGCATCATCTTCTTCTGCTTCTTCGTCATGAGGCCTTTTGCCTTGAGACCGCGTTCTTTTCGCAACTTCTTCAGGGCTTCTTCCGTCATTTCCTGGCGCAGCATCTGCTCCACGACGAGCTTCTTGCGGCTGCGCACATCGCCTCGCCCAATGATGATGCCGGCCGTGATGTTGCAGGTAAGACTGCAGCTGAGGATAATGGCAGTGACTTCTTTGGGTCGATCCTTGTAGTAGATGCCCCACGTGGTGCCACCCAGTGCGCATTGGAACATGGAGTGGAAGTCGAGCAGGACAATGATGGTGATGAGCAGTCTGATAGAAAAGGCGTGATGGGTATAGGTTTCGTGGGGGCGGTAGAATGTATGCGATTTGGCCAGTTTTGCCTGGTGGTGTTCGAGTTTGGTTTGCTCCTCGGCAGTCAGGACTGGCAGCTCTACACCTTCCTGCTCGGCTTCCCCAGTCTCCCAGGCAGAAGAACGGGGCATAACCGGCAACTCGTTGTGGTCTTTCAAATCCTGCAGGCCCCTTTCTTTGCGTAGTCTCCAAGTCTTGTGGGCATAGTAAGCGACAAAAGCCATGTGGTACGTGTCGACCAAGCGAAAGGGGAACATGGTAATTCCCACGACGCAGAATAGAGCGGTAAGGATCTGGTCGCAGATTTCGACAAAGTAATCCTGTCGGTGGCCGACATAGATCCAGCCGATGAGAAAGAGGACCCATGCAGCTCCCCAAAAGGTGATGAGGAAGAAGTACAGAGTGACAATGAAGCCCAGAGGATTGCGAACATAGCGTCCGAAGCCCTTCATGGTCCTCTTGAATCTTGCGCGTCGTGAGTGAAGCAGATGGCGCACATGGTCATCGAGAGCGGCCTTTTCTTCGTCTGACCACCCTTGCAAGGACGCACCATGAGGTAGCACGGCATAGTGGTGGCCTGGGCCTTCCTCCATGGTGGACAGAATCGAGTCGATTGAGTTTTGACGTCGCAACTGGCCATGGTCGTCACGCAGCGCATGCTCAGCCTCGCCTGGCTGCGTCATTTGTGCAAGCGGGTCCTCTTCGCCGCCTGGCCCTCTCGCGACGCCCATTTCTTCATCCGAATCAGACGACGAAGACGGGCCAAGGTCGTACGTCGGCTGGCGGTTGTAGAGCCAGGGCAGGTTGGGCAGAAATAGCGAGTTCTGCACATTATTCAGAGTGGTGAGGGTAGATACCTCAGGGTCTATGGGCGGCATTAGCATGCAGTAGTGAAGAGCTACGCGGGTACTTACCAATGACATCGAGCACGTCGATGACATTCTCCCCCATCATGTTTTGGTTTTGATTTTGCGTTTTCTGGCTCCGGCGTATATGGAATGCCGAAGATGAGCGAACGACACTTCTTCGCACGCTGTTGCGGTCGCGAGGCGCCGGGGAGCCGTTGCCAGGACTAGAATCCGCGCCCTGGACGCGACCTTCGTACAATGGCTGCAGATGGCCATGTGCTATTGTCGACTGGCGTCGCAGGTCATCGTCGGCGAACATGGCCTGCGGGAGTGGGCGCGGCTCCGAGCTGCTTCGTCTTCGACCAGCTTGCCATGCATCGTTGGCGGCCGACATTTGCGCTTGGGCAGGAGTGGGCGCAGCAGCGGCTTCTTGCATGGGCTGCAGGCTCTGGAGGCTTGGTTGATGTGAGGGCCTTCGTATGCGGATGGAGGAACTGCGTGTTCTCCGCGTGTCTGGAGGCTCATGAAAGGCGCGTGATTGAGAGGCAGAAGGATACGATGTGCGGTTGGTGGTAGTAACGGTAGGGTGCAGGACGGTTGTCGAGTCGGGCCCAGACTGGACGTGGGTAGTCCCCTGGGCTGGGGGATGGTGGGTGGTGGTGGTGGTGGTGGTTGTGTGTGGCGCAGCAGTGGTGGTAGTAGTAGTAGTAGTGGTCGTCGTGGTCGTGGCCGACGACGCCGGGCGGTGGGCGGGCTCATGCTGCTGGCGATCCATGGTTGAGCAGGTGCGAACAGTAGCTTCTCCCCGGAGGGACAAAGGGCGTGGATAATAGGTGTAGCGAGGGAGCGCCGTTGGGGTAGTGGAGGCGCACAGATGGTGCTTTCTAAGCCTGCAGGCGTCCGGTCGCAACCGGCGACCAGCCAGTCGACAGTTCAGTCAGCAGTTAGCCTGCAGATGGGCGATCCCTGGGCAGCGATCGGGCTAGGTGGATGCCATGACGGGAAAAGAGCAGCGCTGGCACGGACGAGTTTACTGGACGAAGGGGAGCGCGAGAAAAAGTAGGTGAGTCGTGTGCAAGACGGAGGGTGAGGCGCAAAGTTAAGCGCGCACCTGTGCATGCTTAGCTGGGGCGCCCCCCTCGCCGCTCAGCCACTCCGGCTGGTGCGAAACGCTGTCGACACGCTCTGCGTATATAGGCAATATGGAGACGGCCCGCGCCCAGACCACGGCTGCCACTCAGCATTGCGTCATAATATGGGAGGGCAGTGTGGGGAGTCGGCATGGGCACTGCATGGCCGAGAATCGCAGCGAGAATTGCAAGGGCCTCATACATGCACATAGTATATGGACACGACTAGTTGCGACGGCCCTCTCGTCCATCCACAGCCACCCACCCACACTTACATGTAGACTTGCAGCACCCACAGCCATCCATACCCTATCGGACACGGATCCCTAAAACACAGGCCAGCAGACGACGGCCCCTCGAGCCCATCCCCCGGCGGCCCCAGTTCCGGCCACCACGACAGGCACAGGCGGCCGTCGGACAGCCGCCACGCGCCCCGTCATGTCCGCAGGGAACCGGCTAGAGCACGACGGCAAAGGCAAAGGCGCTACACAAAGCCAACGCCAAAGCCGCATCCGCATCCGCATCGCGGTGCGCGTCGACATGGCGGGCTGGCGCACTTCTGCCCACATGGCAATGGAAAAGGCCGCCGCAGGGCTGAAACACACACGTGCATGCACATGCAAGTCCAACTCGCTGCCACCCGCGCTTGGGCCATGGCTGTGACGCAAAGGTGGCTCCCCTGCCACTTGGATGCGCGCACCTCAAGCACCACACGCTTCCAAGCCGCCGCAACATGGCGTCTTCCTTTTCTCTCGTGTCTCTTCTTCCTCCGCCTCCTGCTGCTTCCATCCTCTCCCATCTCCCTGCGCCATGAAGCCCATTCGCGCCCTCCTCCCCACCCTCCTGGCCGCTGGTCGTGCCGCTGCAATGCCTCAGCGCGCCGCATCCCAGCACCCACTGCTCGACGCGTCGGCCAAGCAATCCGCCCAAACTCTGGGCGTCGGCCACTTCAGCGAATGGAGCCGCCAGACCAAGAAGGAGTTTTTGATTGACTGGCAGGCTGGAAAAGAGTCCGACTGGATTCTGGTCCAAGGCAATGAGGGCGGTGACCTCGACTCGATGACGGCAGCGCTGACTTGGGCATACCATTTGGAGCATGCCACCATGAACTCGTCCAACCCCGTCAAGGCCATTGCCCTGCTGCAGACGCCCTCGCACGCCCTCGACCTGCGGCCCGAGAACAAGCTGGCACTGGCCAACTCTCAAATGACGCGCGGCCATGAAGACCTACTGACTTTGGATGAGCTGCCCGAGGACCCAGAGACGCTGAGCACCAAGCTCAAGGGCATTGTGCTGGTCGACCACAACGCCCCCCTCCGGAAATGGTCCCAGGCCAAGATTGTGAGCCTCTTCGACCACCACAAGGACCGCGGCACCGCTCCGGACGCTGAGCCTCGTATCTTCGAGACGACGGCGAGCTGCACCACCATTGTCGCCCGTCAGATGCTCGACGAGCTGGAAAGCTTGGACCAAGAATACCACATGCCTCATGAGCTCCTCGAGCTCATCCTCAGCGCCATTGCCATTGACTCGGGCGGTCTGTCCAACGACAAGACCACCAAAGCCGACATTGACACTTCGCGGCGCATCCTTGCACGTAGCAACTGGAGGGCACGAGACTTGGACGACATCATGGAGGACCTCGACGACGAGCTCTCCAAGGCGCAAAAGGACATTGACCATCTGAACCTGTACGACCTGCTGCGCCGCGACTGGAAGTCCGACGTCATCGACACGCCTTCTCCGCGCACCCCCACCGTAAGCGTCGGCTTTGCCTCTATCCCATACTCCATGGACGAGCAGATTCTCAAGACCGACTTCCAAGAGCTATTCGGTAAGAAAATATTCTCGCGTGTTCAACGACACAGCCAAACTAACACACACATGTAAAGACTGGTTTGCAGTACACGCCGCGTGGACCGCCCAGGCCGACGTCGATGTCTCCGTCTCAGTCAACAAGTACAAGAAGAGCTACAAAGACGGCACCAAGGAGAAGATTCGCGAGGTCGTTCTTGTTGTTAGAGATGACGTGCGCATCGACCAGGACCAAGCCGACTCGCTGTTTGCCGTGGTCAAGGAGGCCATGGAAAACAATGGCCTCGACATTGACTTCCAGCCATGGCATCGGGCCGATGAACTCGCGCCGAGACAAATGGTTTGGGTACACACATCCAATGCTGGCCGCAAAGCCATTAGGCCGCTTGTTGAAGAAGCCGTCATGGGTTGGGATTGAGGTTGCTTGATCAACGACCAGAAACGACAAAAGTTAACCCTGTTACCAATCAATCTATGCTTTTTCTCTCAAGTTGTCTGGCTCAAATCACCATTTCTCATCGTGCAATGGGCAACAGTGACATCATGATTCATTGCTTCTTATCCTAACGTGCCAGACTTGCGTCGCAATTCAAATCCAAACCAAGCGCCTGCAACATCACATCCCTAGCCAGACCATTTCAACCTCAAGTCAAGAAACAAAAACACCTGCCACGCCACCAGCTGCATCCACCCGGCTGTGTTCAGGAAATCCCACGAGAGCCTTCCCTTTTCGGGCGGCTGGAACTCAATGGCACTCTGTCATTCAAGCCACGGGTCAACTCAACTGATAGCCCACCAGATCAAAACAAAAAAAAGAGAGAGAGAGACCACCTCAAACTCCACCCAGATGCAACAAAACGAGGGGGGGGGGTATCAAACGCCAATTAAACAATGCTGGGTAATCATGTCCGTTTAAGGGCGCTACCGCGGCCGGGCGTTACGCGCAGCTGGCTTGCGCGCATTGGCAGCATTGGTCTTGGGTGAGAGTACCTGTCCAGCACCAGGCTTGGTCCGAGATGCAGCACGCGTCGAGCGCGCGGCGGGGGCAGGCGCCGCTGCTGGTTTCTGACCCACAGTCCTCGTGCGCTTCTTGGGTACAGGCAGTTGTTCCGAGTTCTCCTTGTCCTCGCCAGACATTTCATCACTGCTGCGCTTCTTCGACCGTGTCGTCTTGGTCGCCTTGGCATATGCTGGAGTAGGCTTTGTGGTTTTGGTCGTGGGCTTGGCGCGCTCTTCTTGGGACGATGCGGGTCTTGTCGAAGATGTGCTGACATTGCTGGTTGCGGCTTTGCGGGGTTTGCGTCCAAAGGTGCCAGTGCCAGTGTTGACTGCTTTCTTTGTAGTCGTGGCAGCAGGAGCAGTAGCCGCAGTCGCAGTCGCCTTTGCTGGTGGAGCAGGAGCGGCCACCGGTTGAATTGGCGCTGCTGCCTTGAGGAGGTCCGCAAGTATAGTTTGGCGCGTCACGACCGGGATGCGGTTGACGCGTCGCTCGAGGCGCGACTGCATGCTCGCACATTGTGCATCGCACTGGGCGCGCAGCTTCTCTATGCGCGAGTCGATTTCGATTTGCAGGTTCGCAAGCATATTGGCCTTGGCCTCGGCCGAAATCCCGTCGGTAATGTTGGTCATGATCGCTGTATAAACAACGCGTGGATAGCCGCCAGTGTTGAATTGGTACCGGGATGGACAGAGGTGTTGGTGACTTGCTGCAGACTCTGAGAGGACGTCCAATGAGTCTTGACAGACCTGGCGTCGCGGTTGTGCTTGAGGCTGCGTCTCCCAGATACAAAATGCAGAGAGTAAACAACGCGCGCGAAACCGCGACGATGACACTGGAAAAGTGGATTTAGCGTGAGAAGAAGCGTACAAAGACTATCCAGTTCTCTTGCAACAGTTTGCAAGGGATTCCGAACAATCGCGCGTGGTGGTGGGTGGTGGTGGTTGTAGTTGCAGTTTCTGGATCTCAAGTGGGATGTTGGGGGGAAGGAGGGATGGGTGTCTGGCGAGGATCTTGGTGTGCAAGCGCCAAGGTCGCGCAACCATGCGAGCAGCAATTCTTCCCATGGCCAGGCTCCTCTCTATGCCAAGTCTGAGAGAGAGAAATACAGCTCTGTAGACCAATTCAGACACCAAGCTTTGCTGCAGACGGCTGCGCACAGCAAGATGTATCTCGCAAATAAACAAACCTACGATTAATGCTTCCATTACCATGATTGGGTTACGAGTCATGTCTTCTCATGTACGCGCGCACGGTCTCCCGCCCACTGAGTGCCCGTACACCGACGCTGCTCGTCTCCACGTGACCTCGGCGGTTTGCTCACCAGCCTCCGTCCTCCGCTGCGGCGACCTGAGCTCAGCAGCATAACGTTACCACCAGCCTAACCCACTCCCCCAGACAATCACTTCGGCACCTCGACAACTCGCATTCAAGATGGTGTTGGAAGCTTCTATGATCGTGTATGTCTCTCTCTGCACCCCACGCGTCTCTCTACTAACTATTGCAGTGTTGACAACAGCGAAGCTAGTCGGAACGGCGATTACGTACCCTCACGATGGGAGGCACAACAGGATGCTGTCAACATGATCTTCTCTGCCAAGACCGGCGCGAATCCAGAGTCTTCTGTTGGCCTGATGAGCATGGGAGGCAACACGCCGGAGATCCTCACGACGCTGACAACCGACATTGGCAGAGTGCTTGATGGACTGCACAGGACAAAGATAAAGGGCAGCTCACATTTCGTCACGGGCATCAACGTGGCGGCGGTACGCTACTCGGCGAGCTTGAAGGAACCCCGGCTAACAAAGGCGCACAGTTGGCCCTCAAGCACAGGCAGAACAAGTCGCAGAAGCAGCGGATAGTCATGTTCAACTGCAGTCCCATCGAAGAAGACGAGAAGAACCTAGTCAAGCTGGCAAAGAAGATGAAGAAGAGCGGTATCAGCATCGACATCATCGCATTCGGCGAACTGAGTGACGACACCACGCGGAAACTCCAGGCCTTCAGCGAGAACGTACAGAGCGCCGAGGGCTCCCACCTGGCCATCATTCCACCCAGCGCAAACCTCCTCAGCGATTCGCTAATCACCACACCTATAGTTGGCGGAGAAGGCGCATCTAACGCTGGAGGCGACAACGGTTCGGGCGGTGGCGGCGGTCCGTCGGGCGGCAACGACTTCGAGTTTGGAGTAGACCCTTCAGTCGATCCCGAACTTGCACTTGCGCTCAGGATGTCTTTTGAAGAAGAAAAGGCACGGCAGGAGAAGGACAAGAAGGCAAAGGAAGCTGCGGAGGGCAAATCGGAGCTGGAGCCTGTTGCTGAGGGCGATGAGAAGCAACCACTGCTAGACAGTCACGGTCAACCTAGCGGAAGTGGCAGCAAGGACAAGAAGAAGGACGACGATGCGGACAAGATGGATACGGCATGAGCCCAGGCAAGCATTGCACTACGTGAAGGCGCATTTGGCATAGCTTGTGTATGGAGCCTTTCGACAAGGCCAGAGCATCTACGGCGTCTACTGTATGACTAAAGCTAGTGTCTACCACATCTGACACGGATGGATGAATGAAACAAGTAATGACCTTGGCAGTCTGCTTAGGCTGGCGCAACCATGTAACCAATATGTTGAAGATTCGTTTCCCGGGCATGGACATCCTCATTCAGGCGACGCTATTGTTGGGGTCGACGCCCCTCATAACACGCGGAGTCGTTCGGAACAGAGTAGCTTCGAGGGCGCTGCTTTGAAGCTCAGCAGCCTGTCTTGGCTCCCACGCTCCCAGGCGCATGTTATGCGCGCGGGGCGAGCGTGAATACTGGGCGCTTCTTGTACGGCAATGTATACCCAACTGCAGGCGCACACCGTCCCTCATTCCGTGTCCCGCGGTCATCCATGTTTCTATAGGTTGCGTCGTCCTCACCCCCTAACTTTTACAAATCCATCCAGCCCCCGGTCAAACTTGTCGCACCGAATTGGCATTTCCACAGTGTAGAATGGGTTCTTCATGACGTAGTCGGCATACAACTCGTATATCTTCTTCATCATGGTGTCTACGTTCGGTTGTTGCGGCTCAGTGAACAGCAGGAACTTGACTCCGGTTTGCGTTTGGAAACATTGGATGCGGAAATGAGAGCTCTCCAGTACTTCGATACCGGTTGCGCGGACTGGGAAGGTTTGGAGGTTTGGAGTGGTAGCCGAGGGAGGGGGTGCGCGAGCGGGGGGGATAGGAGACAGCTGGGCGGTGATGGCGTGCATTCTGCATGTGCTATTAGCAGGGAAGCGAGTGTATTTTCCGTGAGGCTAACCCATGGAACGATCCGGCTAGCATGAGGTAGTCATTGCTGCTGAGCTTGCTCATGCCCGAGTGAAACTCGCGGTTGTAGATGAGACCCCCCGATTTGCTGATGATGAAGAGCGCAAAGACAACCCTGCGGCGGTTAGCTGGAGCTCCCAGATACAAGGCTAGGACCGTACATCTTGCAGACCCAATCGCACTGGCTCCCTATCGCGACAGTGACGGCGTGGTGTTGCGGCTCGGGCTCCGTGAGCGGTGACGGATTCTGCCCCTCCACATGCACCTCCCTGCAGCCAGAGCTAGGGTTTCATTAGCCCTGCCCGCTTGCCTGCTTGCTTGCCTGGACAACCCAACCGTCCACGGCCTGCTTGCAAGCTCTTCCACTGTTGCCTATTAGACTTCTGAGGCCGCTCACACGGTAACTGCTTCTTCCTCACGTTCTCGCAAACCAACCCTTCAACCACTTCAAGTAACAACGTCACACGGCTCTCGATCATTCCCCGGTTCCCACATTCGACCGTCGGTACCCCAACCCGAAGGCGTCTGAGCGCCCGCATTCCTGGTGGTTCGTCACTTTGCAGTACGAAGACACCAAGAGACCTCTATTAGCTATTCTTCTAGGCCCTCAACGAGCCCACCGACCCCGCGCCCCAAGCGCGCGCAGCCAACCCGCATACGAGACCTCTGGAGGCAGGCTGTCACGGGACCATGTCGAATCAGTGCATTCTTAGAATCACCCGCGAGTTGGGCGAGATCCAGCGTGGCTCCGACCTCTCGATAGCAGTCGCCTGCCGCGATATCGATGTGCGCCATGTGCGGGCATTGATTATAGGCCCCCCCGATACACCATACGAGTTTGGCTTCTTCGAATTTGCCGTCAAGTTCACCCGAGACTATCCCACCAAAGCACCAGGTGTGACGGCCATAACTACAAACGGAGGGCGCACGCGCTTCAATCCCAACATCTACGCTGGCGGAAAGGTGTGCCTTTCGATTCTTGGGTAAGCAGTAGTACCTTCTACATCTGAATCAGCACTGACAGGCGCTAGAACATGGCGAGGAGAGCGTGGCGAAGAATGGTCATCCGCACAAGGACTCGAATCGATCCTAATCTCCATCCAGAGCCTCATGTCTGGTAACCCGTACGAGAATGAGCCCGGCTTTGAAGACGCAAACTCCGACTACGACAAGAAGAACCAAGAGGCATATGTGGACAAAATCCGGCACGAATCTCTCCGCATATCGGTTGTGGAGCGGCTCGAGGAGTACTTGGGCATCAACCGACAGAGGCCTGGCGTGACAATCTACAACGCTGAAGAAGACTACCAGTCCAGCAGAGATGACGCGCCGTTTGAACCGTTTCAGGATCTCTGTAAGCGGCGTTTCTTGTGGTACTACCAGTCCTACCTATCTCGGGTCGACGAGGCGGTCAAGCACAACAAGGACGGAGATCGATTCGAGAAGATGCCATTCGAAGGCCCAGGCAATACTATGGAAGGTACCTTCCAGTACACCAGTCTTAGGGAGCGTCTAGTAAAGATTTTCGAGACTCTCAACACGGAAATGGAGTCCTGGGCCTTGGAAGGCATGTCGGCTGTTAACAAAGAGATGAGCATTGCCAACAATCTCCAGCGACAGTACGAACAGATTGTCGAGAAATACAAGAAGCAGGATGCGATTGCCCTGGACCTCGATCTGGTCGACAAGAATCCGTTTGTATGGCAGTTGGTTCTCTTTGGCCGGCCGATGACAAACCTCGACGGAGGCATGTTCAGGATCAGACTCTACATCAGCCCCAAGTTCCCGGATGTGCTGCCGCGTGTGAGATTCGAAACGCCCATTCTGTACCACCACCGTGTATCTCCCGACGGAATCCTCTGTTACGATGCTGCGCGTAAGGACGACATGCGATCACACATTGAAGCGATTATTGCGGCTATTGAGGAGGAATCGCCTGCATACGATCCGCGTACGCTAGTGAACCCTGAGGCCGCGAAGCTTTTCTGGGGTACTCCAGACGAAAAGAAGCTCTACAACCGTCGCTTGAGGCGGTCCGCGCAAGACAGCGCCGAGTAAGTCTGTTCGTCTGCGCTTTCGCAAGAGTTTGCTGACCGCCATAGAAATTGCTTCTAGTAGGAAAACAAAAGAACGGGGCGAATGGATCATTGATTTAACGGCCGGTCGCATCACTTATGGAATTACATGATACCCCAAGTCTGACCAAGGCTTGCATTACACGGCGTTCGTGGGCTCTTGGCATGGTCGTATGGCAAATGGGCGGTTCAGGGTATGGCGTTTGTCAGTCACGGATAGTCGAATTCATCATAAAAATATGGCATTTTTGTAGGGCCGATCGAGTGTGGATGCATCAAATGTCGTGAATTAGCTCTGTACACGCTTGTGATGGGGGCGCAATTCGCTTCTTGTGTAGAACATGCGCATACCGAGGACAAATCTACAATGTACTACAATATGCTCTCTAGCGTTGTTTCTGGTACTGTGAGAAAGTAGATGCAGAGCGCGAACATGCACCCTTCTGCGGAGCGAAGCCGATTCAAGACGGCCAGGACCCTGAGCAACATGCGGGCTGCGGGGGCCGCCAACCCATGCTTGCGGTAACTACCCCTGGGGCGGAAATTGATCCACCGACTTCTCTCCGCAAACAAACCTTAAGTCGTTGCGCCGCCCATTGCACTATTCCCACACACCCAACACCATGGCGCGTGCAGAAGAAATCGAGTCACTCGGAAAGGTACTCGTCGTTGGCGGGTGCGGTTTTTTGGGAAGCCACATTGTTAGCTTCATTGTCAAGCGTCACCCAAAGACACAGATCGCGGTCCTCGATTTGCGAACCAGCTCGAATCGCCACGCCAGCCCGACCGTTTCGTACCATGATGGCGACATCACTGACGCCGCGGCGATGAAGAGTCTCTTCAACCAGATTAAGCCCAACTCGGTCATTCACACAGCCTCTCCACACTTCGACTTGAAGCCCGAGATCCACGAGAAGGTCAACGTTGGAGGAACAAAGGTTTTGCTACAAGCGGCACAGGAGTCTGGAGTGAAGGCATTCGTGTACACGAGTTCAGCCAGTGTCGTTCTCGATCACCAGACAGAGCTCATCAATGCTGATGAGAGATGGCCTCTTGTTACGGGTGACGACCAGCCCGAATACTACACAACAACCAAAGTAAGCAGATAATCTGACTGTCCACTTACCCGTTTGTTGCTAACACTCATGCCCAGGCATATGCCGAGACTGCCGTACTCCAAGCCAACCGCAATCCCGAAAACTTCCTCACCTGCGCCATCCGTCCTGCAGGCATCTTCGGCGAGGGTGATGTTCAATTGCTTCCCAAGATGGTCGCTGCGTGCCGCAAGGGACAAACCAAGTTCCAGGTCGGTGATAACACAAACTTGTTCGACTTCACCTATGTCGAAAACGTCGCCCACGGTCACGTCCTCGCGGTTCTCGCTCTGCTCCATACCCACAAAGTCCTGCCCACCATCCCCCTGGACATCGAGCGTGTTGACGGCGAAGCCTTCTTCATTACCAATGGGCAGCCTGTGTACTTTTGGGATTTTGCGCGCAAAGTGTGGCATGAGGCAGGTGATCGGGTGCCCTTGAGCAGTGTGTGGCATCTCAGCGCCGACGTTGCGTGGGCCATTGGCGCAGTTTTGGAAAATCTGTTTTGGCTCATGGGCAAGAAGCCAAACCTGACTCGGGCCCAAGTAAAGTACAGCAGCATGTCAAAATACCACAACATCAACAAGGCAAGACAGCGATTGGGATACGAACCGCTGGTTAATCTGGATGAAGGTATTAAGAGGGGTGTGCAATACATCTTGGAACAGGAGAAGAAGGCAGGAGAGAAGAAGGGGCAGTAGGCGCGTCTCCAACACTTTGAAAGATTTGTCACGAAGAACATGTTTTAATGAGCATGTTTCCATGCTGCTTAGATTTAGGCAATATAGCAGACGTAGAAGTTAATGTAATTGCGCCTTGTGGTTCTGAAACAATGCTTTGCATCGTAGCTGGGATGATGCCACTAAAGCTGCAAATCGTGTTGTACATCAATGCCAACGCTAGAAAGCAGTACAATCTGGGCGTATGATGCAGCTAAGAGGACAAATGCCAGGATAGGTGGCGGCTGAATGTAGTTAGAACCTCCCAGGCGGACCCACTCTTGGTTAAGTCTACTCGGTCGCGCGCGAGCTCGTTGACTTCCCAACCCCACGTCCATCCCGCCACCATGGCGCGCAATCACGAAGTATGTCGCGCCCGCTACTTCCCGAGTCAGCATACGCAGCGCTCGGCCTGTCTCCTAAAACGCTCAAAGACCTGATGAATCCCAAGCCTGCGCCCGAGCCCCCCCAGATTCACGCCCCGAATCTGCTCCAGAGCGACGAGGACCATGGGCGCCCCATGTTGCCCAACGAAACCTTCATCACGCTGTACGCCGAGCTCTTGCTTCATATTCGCACTGTTACGCTCTTTGCGTCGCTGCGCACCAACCATTCGCGACAGACAGACGTGAAGCTGTCCGCCGATGGTTGCTACATCACCGTGTCGCATGAGGGACAGACGGCGACGATACGTCTGCCAATCAATGTCAAAGGCGCAGGGGATGCTGCGCTCGAATTGCCATCGAAACCACCGGGCAAGGAGCTGACACTACGCCTTCAGCTGGAAGAGAAGGAAGGAAGTGATCTCTTAGGCGCTCTGGGGCGCGAAGATCGACAGGCCAACGTTGTACCTTGGGATGGCGCGTCTTTGAATGATGCCAAAGACGTCGAGGTCGTATGCAAGAATTGTGCGAGCCCTATTATACCAAAAGGAAAGATACAACAATGGAGAGATCTACCCAATGAGAACTGGGCTGAGATGATGGACTTTTGGCACTGCCACAAGCCGGACGAGCATCACTTGCATAATCACACGCATGAGCACGCCATGGGCCAAAAAGGCTATGCGGCTGGTAATCGCCTGCAAGCCACGCAAGGTGTAGGCTTTGTGGACTTGACCAGCTTTCTCCTTAAAGAGGCTGATTGCGAGGGTGCGCAGGTAAGCCATAGCTTCTTTCTGTTTCTTAGTTATCTCGCTCGTATGTCATCCATGCGCAGCGCGTCCGGGCACAAAGAAGGCGATCTAGCCTTCCTCCATGGCACGATCGTTGATACAAGTGCCCCAGAGCAATATGCTCATACACAATCTCACGGTCCCGGATGTACCCTCCTCCTAGGGGGATGGGTTGTCGGTACCGTCAAGATGGCGGCCTGGCGTTTCACTGTCTCTATACCCTAAGACCATTGGGATTGACAGGTTTGGCCAAGGCTACATTCACATGTCACGCGCATCGATGTGTCTTTTTTTTATATATCTGTGTGCGTAATGGATCATGTGCTGACTGCGAACAGCTGAATGTAAAAGAGGAGGGATCAAGCTCAATCATGTGCAAACACTGCCAATCAATGATCGGCACCCAGGATGCAACAGCGGACGGTTGGCGAATACGAAAGTGGGGCATCAGCATAGCCTCGAGTCTACCAGGCAGCCCGCCCGCACCTTTCTACTCGACCCAAAAATGGATATCAGCTCGCCTGCTCTATCTTATCGAAAACACGGGCGTCCGCAAGTTCCACGTTCATACCGCCCTCGCCGCGAACAAGGCATTAGCACCCATTCCCTCGCTGCTGCTATGGGTCTTTACCCCTGACCTCCTCTTCTCCTCGTCCATCCCCACGCCCAACCGCCTCGATCCTACGCGCTCGGTAAAAGTCTTTTACCAGAAGCAGACGTGGCAGCCCATCAAGCCCGGTGAGCCGGAAAGTGCAAGCATCGAGGATGTAGAGTTCCCCGTTGACTTGTACAAGGAGCTGGATCAGGCGTTGCAGCAAAGCCGACGGTTGCTTCCGCCGACGACCAACAAGTTCCAGGGGTGGGATGTGGGGCTATTAGAGAGGTTCGAGGTGGCGGAGGCCGGCATGGGAGTCGGAGTCGGTGTGGGAGAGAGTGATGCGGCGGAGAATGAGGAGAATGATTGGGGGATTCCTTCAGAACCTGTTGATTGAAATGTCTAATCTCTTCTCTTTTCTTTCTCACACATACACACACACACACTCTCTCTCTCTCCCTCTTTCTCTTCACGACTATTTTTAAATCTTGATTCCACACTTGTCCAACTGGTTTCTCAACCAGAGTCCAAAAAAAGAAAGAAAACCCGCACAGATGGTTCAACTAACATGGCGCAAATCAAGTATGGCTACATGTTCTCGGAAGAGTCGGCAAACACACATGGTCTTGTGGCCTTGAGACTACTATGTATAATCACCAATAACACACACACACGCATGTACGTGTGTACTAGTATGTATACAAGAAAGAGAAAACCAAAAACCAAAAAAAAGGAACAGCCATGTCCCTTGTTTGCTTCCTCCCGTGTTCTAGACTCGCGTTCCTCGTAATCCAAGTGATGACGCATGACCCCCTCGATACAGCTGTGCATGGGGACGGTAGCAGTAGCTAATTTCCGCCCTTTTCCGTATCGCTGCGGACGTCATTCATGGTCCCGAGTCGAGAGCGTGTGGGTGTGTGTGTGCATCCACCATCCATACCACATACTCTATTGTGTCTAGCGCTGAGTCATACGTGCATGTGGCACTACGTAGTACATACACACATACATACATACCTTCACAGTACACGGGTGGAAGCAAGCAAGGGGGCCAAGGGGGAAAATGAGACCATGATTCCGTTGTTTCCAGCAGTCATTTTTATCATCATCTCTTTTCTATCCTACACTATCTGAATCATCTCTACCACGTCCTTGTAACTCCATATGAGGGGTCCAAAAAAAGGAGAGAGAAGGGGGGAGATTGAAATCAGTTGGCCCAAAAAAGAAAAGAACAAAAATAGAGAAAAACTTGGTCGTCATCTCTCAGTCTCCCTTTAAAAAAAACAAAGGCCATTTGTTTTTGTTTTTTTGTGAGAGATTTTTTGGCTTCTTCTTGGGGGTTTGGTGTGAAGAACGAGACATGCGCGGATAGTAGCAGAAGTTGAGAGGAAAAAAAAGAGGCCCATTGAATCCCCATGCACAAGTGTCTCTCATTCTGGTTCCACCTCCTTTGTCGTAATCAAATCATGAACGCTAGTTGCAAAACGGTGGCGAAAACTCCAGCTCGCTAAATGAATATCCTCCAGTGTACAAAGACAAAAAGAGGGCCAAAAAGACTATACAAATGCCACTGAATTATATGCAAGACAGGGCAAGATTTACTGTGCGTCCATGAAGTTCATGTAGTTGAGATCATCCAATGTGGTGGTAGGCTCTGGACAGAAATTATCAAACTGTCCTCCAACCTGGCTGAACTCTGGGAAGAAGTTCGCTGTGTTATTGAATGTCATTGCGCTGGGTGGTGAGGTATCGAACAAGGTAAAGTCTCCACTCGGGAGACCAAAGCCTTGCTGACCCATGTCCATATCTCCAAAACCCTCGTCCACATTGGGCGAGAAGAGTGTGACGTCAGGCTGAGCCAGCGGGGAAAGCTGGGGGTAACCTGCGCTCATTTGGTTGTTGGCCGTGAACGGCAGTGGTTCGTAGTCGAACGTTGTGCTCATGGGCGTCGGTTGCTGGAAGCCCGTGTTGAAGTTTGTGCCCAAGTTGCACGTGTTGTAGACATCGTTGTGGTTAACAGCAATGTTGTCAGGGGTGACTACAGCGTCTTCAAATAGGGTGGGCTCAACAGGTGAATGCCCAGACGAGTAGGTGAAGTGAGAGCCATCCGTGGCGACTGAGTCGCGACGGAAGTCATCTTGGTAACCATTGGCACTGAGTGCTGGTGTCCCAAAACCGTAGCAATCAAAGTTGTCCATCAGGGGCACTTGGGGCGACGGAACGAATGGCGTCACCGGCGTGGCCATGGTTGCAGACAGGGGTGTGTTGATGAAGGGAGTGAGAGGGGTGGTGGGACTGGGGTTGTTGCTGGAAGGAGCCTTCTTACGACCGTTGCTCTTTGAGCGAACGTATTCCCAGCCGTGGGCCTTCTCCATGTGTTGCTTGCAGTTTGATTCACGCTTTGAGGCGTATGTGCATGGTGGGTAAAGACACTTGTACTGCGCGGGGGCAGCAGAGTGCTTATCGTTCATGTGCCTGTCACGTTCCTTCTCGGTTGGCCAGCCAAGGTCAAAGTACTTGCAGTTCTTCTCAGAACACTTCCACGGACGGGAATGCGTCTTCTCGTGCTTGGTCAGGTCACATGGGCGCTTGAATTCCTTCCTGCAATCACGGCAGGTGTGGACAACATCGCCTGGCTTCTCGGATTTGCGTCGTCGCGCCATGGAGCGGGTAACGTCATCATCGTCCATTCCATCGTCAACGTAGGCTTCCGAAAGACGACGTTTGGTCCTGAAGGCCTTGGCAACATGCTCATCAATGGGCATAACCTTTCCGTTCTTCTCGCGAACCAGCTCAACCGGGCGGCCATTGTGGCTTATGCCTCCCCGGAGCGTGATCTTCTCATCGCTGTTGAAGGCTTGGTCAGTGCGGGAAAACAGAAAGGCGGCGGCGCGGTCATACCGTGAGTAGTCCATGTCGTCCAGGTCCTCTCCTTTGGATTCCTTTTCGCGGGTGGCAGCCATGATTGAGGCGTAGCGTCTAATCTGTTCCATCAAATCGAGGAAGTAGCCGTCAGTATAAGGGCGGTCGGTGGGCAGTCGCTGGTCTCGTTCCGAAAGATACTGAACAGTCGTGGCCAAGAGCTGGATTGATCGTTCACAGAATCGGGAGTATTTGTCCGGTGTAGCCGAGAGCTCCTTTAAACCGCGAAGAATGCAATAAGCTTTTGCACTCGCAGAAAGATGACGAATATTACTTACCGGAGCGAGGAAGATGAGTGTCTTCTCGAGGTCGCGAAGGTTGCGGATGTTCTTCTCACCTATGCGCCGTGGGACGTCTTTGATAAGACCGTGAAAGTCTTTGAGCGAGTGCTCTGCGAGGATGGGCTTGATGATGATGTCGTGGATCTGCTTGCAGGCGTACTCGCCCAGGACGTGGTCCTCTTCCGAGGCGCCAAGAGCTGAGAATGAGCGTGTGACGGCAGAGTGAGTTGAGCCGATTGAGCTGCTGATGGATTCACGGACGCTGGAGCGTCGGGTGCGGATGTCGTCTTCAAGTATGTTAGAGAATAGAGAGTTCTCGTCTGACAGGGGGGGCTGCATAGAGTCCATACCGTACTTTGATCCACTGACGCTGGAGCCCAGACCACTGTCTGAAGCGTGGTCGTGGGGGCTGCGTTCTGGTGCCGATGGCTTGGGGTCAACATCCATGGGGGTGTGGTCCAACGCGGCGTTGTCTAGGAACAGGCTTGGGACCGGGAAGACTTCTGGGTCGCTGAGGATGTTGGAAGCGGCGGCTGAGCTCTTCTGTCCGGCAATCCTCGCCTCGAAGTCGTTGAGCAGGCTGGTGACCCGACGGACACTGGGGTCCTGGATGGACTCTTGGACAAGCTGTTCGAGTCGCTCAGTGTTGGTGGGCGAGCGGCGGGGCAGGAAGTGGCGGTCCAGGTCACAGATGTCGGACGAGATGTGTGTGGGTGAGCAGAAGGTGCCGCTCTTGCGAAGCTGCATGCCATGGGTGCTGAGTGGGGAGGCCGTGCCCTTAAGAGGGCGGCGGCGGGGATGGCGGTTCTGGCCGTGGGCTTCAGACATGTTGGCTATGACTGGCTCGAGTAGTGGGTGAGCTGGGGAAGGCGGCCTCAGGCTTATGAGTCACGGACTGCACAGTTCCCAAGAGGCCGGCGATGGATCCAATGGTCCAAGTGTGAGGGAATGGACAGAGAGCCAAGATGACGTTGGCGTGGACCAGTGACAGGCGGGGCCCAAGGAGCGCGGAGGACCGTGAGCGATAGGCCAGACGGGATGGGGTGCGAGCAGCTGGAGAGCGAAGGGCGCTGGGTCGTCTAGTCGAGGGTCGGAGGAGCAAGCGTAGGTATATACGAAGGCGCAGCAGCCGGACTAAGACGGGCGGCGGGCGGCAAAAGAGCACATGGGCCAGGAAAAGGGCGGCGGCGGACGTGCAGTGCAGCGCGGATGGGAGAGAGGGGGGGCGCCTGAGGTGTCGAGATTTGAAGCAGGAAGAGGAGTCGGGGGGGGGAGGGGGGGTATAGGTGGTAGTAAAGAGAAGCGACGACTATGACATTTGGTGTCGCTGCTGCCTAGTCCAAGCATCGCACGTCCCCACCACGATGCGCCACACTGGCCTTAGTGCCGGATCAATACGAGGTCGGCCATGATTCGCCGGCTCGCGACACGGCTCCCAGTCCCTCCACCTGCATCGCCGGCGACACACGTACGAGTACATGGACAGTATTGCGAGCGCCTGTATGCCGAGTCAGGCCCGCCAGTACCGTTCGCCGGGTCCAGGACAGCGACGCGCGCAGGCACGCACCGAGCGTCGACGAGCAGCCGTGGCAGCACTCCCCCCTACCGCGAACCGGTCAACCACAAGCAGCGCAGGAACGGCTGCTAGCGCACGTCAGGCGCCCTGTCTGTCGGGGCTTGGAGAGGGCGTCGAGGGCTGTGCAGGATAAAGTCACGTCGCCCATGGCCGCTCTCGTCGTCACTCTGCTCCAGCCAGCGCGCCGCTGCTGATAAAGCCCCCCCGGTCCCGCGACGTGCGAATGGCACAGGCGCAAGTGCGCAAAGTGCGCAAACTCCGTCCGACCCGAAATCCCCGTGTCCTCACGCCCTCTCCACGCCCGTCATGTCCTGGCTGCCCGCGCATACGTATGCAGCATTTGTTTCATTGGGCCACCGCCTCGCCCAATGCCCTCACCGGAATCGTGGGGGCCAAAACTGCTGTGCACACGTGCACGTCATGTTTTAGGCCGGCGTCTGCAAACCGTCATCGCCATTGATATTGAGGGTGTCACGGCTATAAGAGGGCACAGCGCCTGCTCCCCCCCCCCGCCGCCACGGAAAACCATAACACGCGTACACAGCATCATCACTCCCCAAGCATACGTACGTACATGCTTGGCCATTATATCCACACACTCTCTCTGCACTCGCATGCATTGGCGCTCGCCGTGTTTGTCAGAACCGTCATGCTCACCGTGCGACTTCAAACTTTTGGCCCTCTGCCCCGCTGCCCGAAACGCCTCTCGGACCTGTCCTCCCATCCAATCAACCCTCTCTTTCTCGCCCAAGAGTTTCCAATGTCTCAGGTCAACCGCCTGACAAATGTTTCTACCGACATCTCCCATTTCCGTCTCCTCCATCCCCCCCTTTCTTGCATTCTTCTCTTGCCTTGTACATTGCGCCAGGTATTCTGTCTGCTTCATACCCCACATGAAACTCTCGTGTCCAAATTGCCCAATGGTGAAGTCTGCCATGTATGTCCGCCTGGTGCGCTGGTGATGCTGAAGACGCTGTGACGGATCTTCGGGTGGGGAGGCATACATACCGTGCCAGTGGAAGAGTATGCGTGGTCTGGGCACAATGGCAATCCAATCTATCCTGCCGCCCATCCTTTGTGTCCGGGACTCGATATGACTGAGAAACAACCAAACGCCAGCGTCACAGTGGCTGTACTTTTAGCTGCTTGTTCGAGATTCCTTCGGTTTTCCCAAAGGGAAGGCGTCGGCGCCTGTTGCTTTTACTGACACCCATGGTGGACTAAATACTGTGTGTCGATGGCAATTTCGGTTCCTTGTTGCTTTTGTAGGCCTAAAAGTCCTATCCTCAGCCTCGTCCCAGAGCACGGGACGAGGCTGAACATATACCAATATGGCTTCCAGGATCGCTTGGACGTTAGCACACTCTGCCGGCGAGGGCCGCGTTTCTATTGCTTTTGTTTCGCTGTCCCATGCTGAAAGATTGGGAAACCAAGGGCATGAATCCCCGCCTTGTTTCTTTTTTTTATGTATGGAATATGTGGCTTGTGTACATTTGTATGTCTGGAGCATAAGTATAGTAGGCGTCATCTAAGAGTGTTCTACGGATACATCCATGTCGCCGTGGGTGACTAGCTTTCTGTCTATTTATACATGGCCCCATGCTCTCGACGGCTATCTATCTACAGTCCCCACTCTTTTGACCCAGTGAAGTGGATAGTTTATTCCAGGGTGGCATCTCGCACTACGAACATGATGACACTCAGTGCTCTGTCTAGAGTAGTCTTTGTGGACACAAAACCTCTGCAATAGCACCCTGAATAGAGAAAAGGAAACTTTGGTAGAATCTAGTAGCATGTTAGCGTGCGTCCGACCCCTGTTGGAATACGGTTCAGTTGCTGGCCAAAATGCCCACCACGAAACTGGGCTAAGGGAGCCCAGTCTAGACCCACAGCGACTTTATTAGACTACCATACGTATCCAGTCGTCTGCTTAGTTCCTTTGCTTCTCTTATACACGCTGTACAAACCTGCCAGAGCCATGCCGGGTTGGATAGGAAGACCTGGTAATAATACCCCTTATTCTACTTTAACACACGCCAGCACCATACAATACAATTCCTGGGCGGAACACGACGACAAACCACACTGGCTGTCGAGGACACCCAGAGACTAGCATCCTCGGCGGAGCCCCAAAGTTGCGGCAGAAAGTGACCATGTCGTCGTCGAGAGACACTGGACGTGTGTGGTTTGCCCTGCCCCGCGGCGTATATCGGAGGCCTCGGGACTCGTCCAACACGCATTGTTTCCACCAAACCTGCTCTCCCCGTGCTCATGGTTTCCAACACGCAGCCATGTCCATCCATCAATGCAGTGGCCTCAATGCAAAAGCGCATGTGGCGCAAGGTCTTGGACATGCACTCGCACCGCTGGCAGAGCCCTCGTGTGGCCCTGGACGACCCGAAGACGCGGGTCTGGAGCGAACCATGTGACATCACATGGCAGCGCGCTGCTAGCTGGCTTGGCGTCAAAGGGCGGCTAGCGCCCACCCCCAGATCAGCTGAGACCCAATAGCGCGCGACGCACCGCGCCTTCTTGTTTCAAAGGATCCATCAAACTCAAACCCCTCTCCCCCTCGCCATGGTGGTGTTGCCGCCGCCGCCGCTGTGAACGTCACATATTCATCTCTTTGCCGGGTCAGAGCCTGTCACTCCCTTGACAGTACACTTCCGTCACTCTCTCACGCCCTCTTCCTCTCCCCTTAGGTCCCTTCGTGGCCATTACAATCTCTACAACGCGCAGGTTCATGCTGGTTCGTGCCTGCCTACGCTCCCTCACCTGCGGTCGTCGCGCTTCCGCACTTTAAAGTCTTTCAGAGTCGCCTGTTTGGAATTTCGCAGATATGTTGGGTTTTCACAGAAGAACACGGTCCTTGATACCCGTCAAGGACCTGGCCAAATACGACAAGGTGTCAGCATTCGACGACGAGTACGACGAGTATGAGCAAGAGACGCAGCAAGAGGTGGAGCAAGAGTTGGAAATCAACCACATGCCAGAGGGCTCGGACAAGTCGCGACAGATGCAGTTGGTGCTGGTGTACATTATCTTCTTAGCCGAAGCGTAGGTGTCTCGGAACTTGGGCTTACTCGAAAAGGGTCCCGACGGTGAACTTGGTACTGACACTCGCCGCAGCATCATGGCGTCAAGTCTCCAGCCACAGCTCCAAATGCTCCTTTCGTCCTCCGATTTCTGCGGTACCCTCTCCTCGTCCTATCTCCGGAGCATACTCGATTGCGCCTATGCCTTCGGCGGAACGACCGGCCTATTTTGGGGCTACCTTGCCGATCGCATGGGAAGACGGCGCGTCACCCTCATCGGACTCTGGAGCATGTTCGTCTGCTGTGTGTCAATGGGATTTGCGACCACTCTATTTAGCTGCGCCATCTTCCGCTTCGTCGCAGGCATGGTCAGTTCAGCAATCGTATGCACAACCTTAACCATGCTCGGAGATTTGAGCGCAACTGGCGAGGAACGGGCAAGGAATGTCGCTCGTCTGCCAGTCATCTCCCTCGGTGGCTCCATGGGCCCAATTATGCAGCTGATGGTGTCGGAAAGCCTGCGATCATACAACATGGTATGGCAAGAATACCCAACTCTGGGCTCGGAGCTGGTTTGCGGGTGCATAGTTTTTGTTATTGCACTTGTCGCGAGCATCTGTCTCAAAGAGACACTCCTTCACCACAACGAGCGCTCCACAGACGCAGTGGATATGGACTGCGAGAGAGCAGCTTTCCTCCGCCGCGATTCGCACGACTCGCACGACACAAACGTAACGCTCGTCGACTTTGCTCGCCCGGAGCCAATCACCATCACCCAGTTTCTCCAGGCCCCCTCGCTCATGGTTCTCCTGTCCTCCTTCTGCCTCCTCTCCCTCCACGCCTCCACCTTTGATGTGGTGCTTCCTCATCTTGGTCACAGCAGCACCGAATCCGCCGGTATGGGCCTCCCCTGCGAATGGATGAACATCATTGTGCTCGTTGTACGCGGTCTTGCCGGCACACTCGTCTTTTGCGCCATTCCCTACGCGACCTCAAAATATGGTCTCGTGAAGCTTTACCGCTCTCTTTCTGCATTGCTCCCTGCAACATATGTCATAACACCTTTCCTCGCTGCCGCCGTCTCATGCTACGGTTTTGGACCCTCCATCTCAACTTTCTCCATTTTTGCAAAGTACCTCCTCACGGATTCTGCAACAGTCGTGGTTTCTCTCCTTGTTCTCAACACCACACCAGACGCCTTCTCTGCTGGCACCGTCGTCGGCATGATGCAGGTGGCCAGTCTCTTCAAGGCGTTTGCCGTTGCCGTCAGTGGCACAAGCTACTACTTTAGCGACAACATCAGCGTCGACACTACAAATCTTGCCCTCTGGACATGCCTCGCGCTCTTCGGCATCGCGGGAGCAGGACTGGCGTGGTTCGTGCGTGAGCGGCCCAGTGTGGAGAAGGACTTTCCCAGCGAAGTGCTATGCTGGGAGACGTGCTTTGATGCGGATGCCGAGAAGCAATTTGAGCTGGAAGCCAGCGATGCGGATACTGCGGGAGAGGGTGTCTAGGTTTCCCTTGCCGCCTCTTCTCCGCCTCTCTCCCCCAGTCCCCAGTCCCCAGTCCCTCTCAAACATCTGCATACACACACATTCCTTTGTTTTAACCGCTTGGCGTTTATAAATGGAAACATGGCGCGCGGCATTTTAGTGGCCTTTTGTTCTCTTCTATGCGCCTTCTCCACCCCATTTATGCAGATTTTTTTGTTTTCGTTTTCTTTTTCTTGCTTGTGTTAGTCTTGTTTCTTCTTTCTTTCCATACGTGTTTCATCCTTCTCTCTCTCTCTCTCACACACACACACACACACTCTCTCTCTCTCTCTCTCTCTCTCTCTATCCCTCTCCGTGTGACTCTGTGTTTGACTCTCTCTCTCTCTTTTTGCTCTACCTTCTTTTTTTTTTGATAGTATGTGTTCATTATATCATGTACATACTACAATCCAACCATATCTGGGGGATTTGTCTCCGGTCGTTCATTCCAACAAGGAAACATGTTCAGTGCCGTGTGCTTGTCTTGTCGTCTGTGATGTAGAGTTTAGCTTTCTCTCGATCTACGTTATTTTGAACTCTGAAACACCGACCGGTTCGTAGATCAACGGTAAACGGCATAGATAGTGTTAGACTAGCACTAGGGAGCGTATAATCATGTATACTCTATATATTCCACTACAACAGTTATATACACAGTTTCAAGGTTTATCCCCGAAGCCGCTCACCCAACTACAGTACACCATACGACATCACATGTATACGAGGAAGACGAGATTTCTTCAAACGCAAAATCTTTTACTACATAGACAGCAAAGTATTCATGACCCAACCCGATTAAGGCAAAGTGGTCGAGCATCTAACCATGCAACTTTTTTACCCATAAAAACGCCATGCGCAAAGAGCCTCTAACATGGAGAGAGCGCCCTTTGTCTTGATCCGATCCGGGGAAATCATATCACACATCATATCGTACGACAGACCCCCATTACTTACTCTTTTTGACATGATCAAAGCAGATAACACAAAAGGCATGCAGAGAAGACGTTTAGTCAAACGACTTCTTCTGGCCCTGGAAGTCGCCAAAGCCGCCGCGGTTGAATGAACCACCGCGACCGCCACGGGCACCACCACGACCACCGCCACGACCGCCAAAGCCGCCGCCGCCACGACCGCCTCCACGACCTCCACGGTCGCCAAAGCCTCCACGGCCGCCGCGACCGCCACCGCGACCACCGCCGAAGCCACCACGGGCACCGCCGCCGTTGTCATCGCGAGGAGTGGCGTAGTCAATGCGGATAGCACGACCCTCAATGTCCTGGCCGTTGAGAGCCTCAAGAGCAGCGGTAGCCTCCTCCTGGGTGCTGAAGTCAACATATCCGAAGCCCTTGAGTGAGCCAGTATCACGGTCGGTGGGCAGAGAGACACGGGTGATGTTGCCGTACTCGGCGAAGATCTGCTGGATGCTGTCGTTGGTGCACTCGAAAGAGATGTTACCAAGGAACAGAGTGTTGCTGGCAGGGCTGCGCTTGTCACCAAACTTGTTGGCGCGGGCGCCGGCAGCGTTGGCATCGGGCTTTTGGCGGGGGGTGCTGAAGTCGACGTTCAATGGGCGACCGTCAAGCTCGTAATCGTGCATCTCCTTCTGGGCCTTGGCGGCATCGGCAGCGTTGGCAAACTCAACGTAACCGAATCTACAACAATAATCAGTACTTGGCCAGCGGAAAAAGAGTTGCTGGAGAACTTACCCCTTGGCACGACCAGTCTCACGGTCGGTGATGACACGGCAGCCGACAATCTCGCCAAAGCCCTCAAACTCACGACGGAGCCAGTCCTCGTCAATGTTCCAGCTCATGTTGCCAACGAACAGGTTCTTGATGCCCTCTTCAGCGACGGGCTCGACAGTCTTGGTCTTCTTGACCGCGGGCTCGGTGACTTCCTCAGCCTTGCGCTTCTTGGAGGGAGCCTCGGCTTCATCGCTGTCAGATTCGGAAGAGGAGTCGGAGTCAGAGTCGGAATCGGCGTCAGAGTCAGAGGAGTCGTCAGAGGTGGAGGTGGCCTGGTTTAGTTAGTATAAGAAATTGGGCATGTCAGGAGTGACTACCGACCTCAGCCTTTGCGGCGGGCTTCTCGTCCTTGGACTCGCTGCTGTCAGAGTCGGACTCAGAGTCAGAGTCACTGTCGGAGTCGCTAGACTCGGCCTTGGTCTTAGCAGCGCCGTTGGTCTTGGCCTTGGGAGCAGGCTTCTCATCCTCGCTGCTGCTGCTGTCATCGCTGCTCTCGGAAGAGCTGGAGTCGCTGTCATTAGCAACAGCCTTGGGAGCGGCCTTGGGAGCAGGCTTGGTGGAGGTCTTCTTCTCGACCTCCTCCTCGCTGCTGCTCTCAGAGGAGTCCTCGCTCTCGCTCTCAGACGAAGAATCAGACTCGGGCTCAGGAGTAGGAGCCTTCTTCGACTTTTTCTTGTCCTTGACGCTGGAAGCAACGGACTTGGCAATGTCCTTGCTCTTGGACTTGGGTGTCGCAGCGGGCTTGGTAACGCGACCGGCCTTGACGCTCGAAAGCTCAGCCTTCTTGTCCTTCTTGGACGACTTGTCTGCGACCTTTGTCTTGCCCATTTTGCTGGTAAGTTGCTAAATCTACAATGTATCAGTATTGTGTCGTGTGCGACGAAAAAGTTGATGGTTTCGCAATGAACAAAAGAAAAAAGAGAGGAGCTGGTGGCAATGATGCCGTCGCTCGAGCGCCGACGCCCAAAGGTCGTCGTATGCGCCAGCCTGCATGATCTGGTTGTCTCAAATTGCGAAAAGCCCACTGGTATCTCTCGAGACCGCGCGAAGCGGATATCCCTCAAGCCCACGGAAAGCCCACAAGAGCCCACAGAAAACCGAGCTCCGAGGCAGTGTGTTCCCACAAAGGCCGAGGAGACGGAAGATTAACCTTCATAGTAGCACAAAGCCCTCTGGTTGATCTGAATGTGCTCTGACGAGCGACAGACGTGCCCTCTGTAGTGTGTGTCAAGGAAATGCCAAACGTTGCCCACTGACTTGTAATATGATCTGGTACTGGATATTGCCCTCAGTAGCCCACTTGAAGTTCGCAAGAGCCCTCAAAGTGAATCTCGAACTGGTGATGTTCAAGGAAAAGGTAAGGTGAAAGATGGAGGTAGACGGCAAGTGGGTAGGTGGGAGAGGCTGGGTTTTTAATACCTGTACGCGCAAGAAAAGATCAGCACCGAACTTTTCAGCGGAGACAGTGGCCCGTGCGTTGCGCAGACGCGTTGGCTGGATAGACTAGATGGCAACGCCCCACCGCCAACCCGGCTGTGAATGGCTGCGGCAGCAAAGGCAGCAAAGAAGTCGCTCAGGGTCTCGCAAGGGACTTGGGGCGGTTCCTTGCGAGTCCGGAGCAGTTATTTGGCCACAGGCTTGGGCGGATTCAAAGGGCGAAGAGGCACTTCTTAGCCACCCTGGAAGCCGTCTTCCCTTGATAGGAATCGGTACCCGGAATGCTCTTGAGACTTGGAGCCAAGCAGTTTCCCATCAGCATAGACATCAGACGGCAAGCCACATATCCTGCTGCACTGAAGGAATGTGTGCCTATTGACTCCAGCCACTTCACTACAGACGGCACGCTGCACCCTCTTGGAATGTCTTGGCCACCAATTGACCCTGTAATTACCCACTTGCCAATGACCCCACGAAGCGCACATCTCCAAAACATGGCCTTGTGTCTATGGAGTGCGCAAGTATAGCTTCCCAGCCCTTTGCTGCACAATTTGCCATTGTCCGAGCTAGTCCCGGTACGGTAAGGCGCCGTATTACTTCCACGAGTGCGAGTCTCAGTCTCGTCGACATGCCTCACTTCTCCAAGCAACGTCAACATGGCCTCGCCCGCAGCGCACAAACCGCGCCGTCGGAGAAAGATTGAAGAAGGCTCCCTTGCCCAGGTTTCACACGGCACCCTCGATCACGATGAATCCACAAACGAAAAGAAACCCGCCTTCCCCCTAGTCGCGTTCCTATGGCCTGCAAAGGGCACCGTTTCGCAATGGATCACCATGCCCCTCATTCTGATGGCCGCGGGCCTGTTCCGGTGGACCGTTGGGTTGTGGGGATATTCAGGCTATCAGTCGCCGCCAATGCATGGAGACTTTGAAGCACAGCGACATTGGATGGAGATCACCAAGCATTTGCGTGTCTCGCTGTGGTACTTTTATGATTTGCAATGGTGGGGACTGGACTATCCGCCTCTGACTGCATATCATAGCTGGATTCTGGGCGTTGTGTAGGTGGAATACCTTGGGCGCGGAATGCACATGCTAACCATTGTTGTAGTGGCTCTGCTATTAACCCCAAATGGTTCGCTCTCTTTGAGTCGCGCCGTCTCGACGACCCTTCCCTCAAGATATACATGCGAGCCACCGTCCTTGTATCCGAATACCTCATCTACGTACCCGCCCTCGTCATATTCCTCCGCCGGTTTTCCCGGCTAGAAGGTGTCAATGTTTGGGAATCGTCAATCGCACTGCTGGCCATACTCATGCAGCCTGGAGCCATCCTGATCGACCATGGACATTTCCAATACAACACCGTCATGCTCGGCTTTGCCGTCGCGACACTGTCAAGTATGGTCGCTAACAGACCACTTTGGGCGTGTGTCTTCTTTGTTGGTGCACTCGGATTCAAGCAGATGGCGCTGTTCTACGCGCCTGCTGTTTTTGCATATCTTCTGGGCATTTGCCTTTTCCCAAAGATCAACATCTTGCGCTTTTTCGCAATTGCGCTGACTACTGTTGCAGCCTTCGTTGTGCTGTTTCTGCCATTGTTGCTAGGCATTGCATATGACGCCTCTATTGGCTTTTACTACGCCGAGATGAAGCAACCCCCACTCATGAGCTTGGATTGGTTCACGACACCCTGGGATACAGATGCCTGGTATTACCCTTTGGTTCTGGAGATGGGGCAGGTAATTCACCGCGTCTTTCCCTTTTCCCGAGGCCTATTCGAGGACAAGGTTGCCAACATCTGGTGCACCATTCATACAGTCCACAAGCTCCACCGTTATCCAATTCAGTTGCTTCAACGGCTTGCACTACTCGCGACATCGGCTGCCATTCTACCGCCATGTCTGGTCATCTTCTTCAAGCCGAAGAAGCAACTTCTTCCGCTTGCCTTTGCAGCAGTGTCATGGGGCTTCTTCCTCTGTTCATATCAAGTGCATGAGAAGAATGTTTTGCTGCCGTTACTGCCAATGACTCTGCTTCTTGGTGGGCATGAAGGTCTGCTGCCATCTACCCGCGCATGGGTCGGGCTTGCAAACATGCTTGGTGTATGGACCATGTTTCCGCTGTTGAAGAGAGACGAGTTGCGGGTTCCATACTTTGTCATCTCGCTTTTGTGGGCTTATTTGCTCGGTCTTCCCCCAGTCTCGTTTTCAACCTTTTCCGAAGGCAGCCGGGGCGGACTGAACCTTTTCAGCAAGGTTCTCCATATCAACATATACATTGCCATGGTTGGATGGCATGTCGTGGAGGCATTTGTTCCACCTCCAGCAAACAAGCCCGACCTCTGGGTTGTCGCAAACGCAATTGTCGGAACCGGGGGGTTCGGCATCTGCTACCTGTGGTGCCTGTGGCGGCTTGCGGTCAAGAGCGAGCTGTTTGGAGGCACAAAGAGCAAGACACAGTAGGCTCAAAAGAGATGCGCGTGGCAGGATTTCAGCCTTTCTTCGAGATACCCCAACTAGAGATTTGGAGGGAAGATTCCGGTTTCGTTGATATGTATTATACACCAAGTACACAATGCCGTCTAATGCTCAGCGCCACCCATATGCCTGTGTTTTACACGTTGTTTTCCCATTACTGTAATGTACACTTTAATCCAGCCGCGTTATATCTTGAATCCGTAGCCGGCCATGCATCGCCTGTATTCGTCGACGAGACTAGAGCATTCCTTTTGCGCATCGCTCGAGGTGGAAAAGAGCATGCATTCGTCGCGCTTGGCTTTTTGTTCGGTGCATACGCAGCAAGGCTTCACCTTGGGCTTGTCGGCGGCGGTCATGTCCTTGAGGTCTGCGCCCATATTGGCGGCGGTAGGCGGTGCTGCAATTGCATGTGTCAGCTCATTGGCGCTTTCAAAGTTGTTTCCTACCGTCTTGGAAGCATACCTGACGACATGTTTTTGCGAGTGCGGTAGTGGTGGTGAATGGGAGATGATTAGCAAGCCCTCGGCCGATCAAAAGTTAGGGCAAGGCGTCATTCAGTCGGCTGTGTCTTGGCGCGCATTCCCGCGGCGCCCACCCACGCTACGAAGCGAAAGAAACCCTGCAAGAATTCAAGGGGGGGGTCTGGACAATCAAACCCCCACTACGCCCGCCAAAACATTGCGCCAACGACTCACACGACTTTCCTGCACAACGCCTGCTAGTTTTATATTCACTTTGTTCCTCCCTGAGCATTCTTACACCAAGACGTCCAGAAAATTACTCGGCGACAAACATGGCTGGCGCAAAAGTCTTTTCCATCGAGGGCAAGGGCCTGAAACTCACGACTGCGGCGGATATTGAGCCGCACATTCAGGACCTGAAGAGCAATGACGATGTCGAAGAGGTCAAGTTTCTGGGCAACACTCTGGGTATCGAGGCCAGCGAGGCGCTGGCCAAAGTGCTAGAGACCAAGAAGAATCTGCAGGTATGCTGGTTGTCTGTCTGTGTTGGTGGGCAACTGAGGGGCACTGACAAGAAGCAAATAGATCGCAAACCTTGCAGACATCTTCACCTCGCGGCTGCTCTCTGAGATTCCACCCGCGCTCTCCCACCTCCTTACCTCGCTCCTCACACTACCTAAACTACACACGGTCGATCTCTCCGACAACGCCTTTGGCCTCAACACGGTGGCCCCGCTCGTCGACTTCCTGTCGCAACACACCCCTCTCCGCTATCTGTACCTGAACAACAACGGCCTTGGCCCAGCTGCCGGTGTACTCGTCGCCGATGCGCTTACTGCACTTGCCGCGAAGAAGGAGGCTGCGCGCAAGGAGGGCAAGGATGTACCAGACCTTGAGCTCGTCATCTGTGGTCGCAACCGGCTGGAGAACGGCAGTATGGCCGCATGGGCAAAAGCCTACGCAGCCAACAGCGGCGTAAAGACGATCAAGATGACGCAGAACGGTATCCGGCAGGAGGGTATCTCGCACCTCATCACCAACGGCCTCGCACACCTGACCAAGCTCGACACGCTCGACCTCCAGGACAACACATTCACAGTCATGGGCGCAAAGGCCCTCAGCGAGACGGTTGTAAAATGGACTGATCTCCGTGAACTCGGCGTAGGCGACTGTCTGCTCAGCGGCCGCGGCGGCATTGCGCTCGCCGCTGCGCTGGAAAGGGGCAAGAACAAGAAAGTCGAGGTGCTTCGCCTCCAATTCAACGACATCAACGCAAAGGGTCTCGCCGGGCTTGCCTCTGCATCCTCGACAGCGCTGCCTCTGCTGCGCCGCGTGGAAATCAACGGCAACAAGTTTGACGAGGAGGATCCCAGTGTCGAGAAGCTGCGCGAAGTCCTAGACGCACGCAAGGAAGAGTCTGGTGAGAATGAAGACGACGACGAGTACTGGGGTCTGGACGAGCTCGACGAGCTCGAGAGCGACGATGAAGATGAAGAGGAGAGCGACGAGGACGAGGACGAGAAGAGGGGCGCCGATGTCCAAGAGCGTGCTACAAAACAGTTGGCTGATGATGCAAGGGCCGAGGAGAGTAATGTGCCGCAGGACAAGGACAAGAAGGTGGACGAGCTGGCTGACTTGATGAGCAAGACCGAGATCAAGTAGGTGCTGGAAGCCATGTTATTTTTTTACTCAATCGTGGATGCGAAAGAGGGGGGACGACCGTTTCATGCATTTAGCGGCTTGGGGCTTTTGTTGGGCTTTTTTTTCTTTTTGTTTGAGTATGAACGGGTATATAAGACTTTGATACCATAGATAACCCCCCAGCATGAATGTGTACACTGTCGTTGTTATGAGCATTTCATCCACTATATCTAGCTGATGGGGTTGGACAACACAACAATGGGATCAACTCTTGCACCCCAAGAAACCAATTCGAATAGAGAACAAGGTTACCAGGTTGAAACGAAGTGTAGCTCCTTAGGGTCCTCTAGGATACTTCTTGCAAATATACATGCTCGTAATATGCTTCGACACTGATCATATACAGCTTTTAACGCCCTTCGCACACTTATCAAATTAACCCGCCTCCCCATTACGTCTTCATAACTTCAGCTGCATAGCTTCAAACTCCTTCGTTCCCGATTCCCCGCTAATGCTGATCAAGAAGTAGTATCGCCAGTAGGTACGCCGTTGACATTGCTAAACTAGCACTTGCCCTTATTGTAATGAACATCGGTATCTTGCTCAGAGTGCTCTCAATGGGCTTCGTTATCGGTCTTTGGAACGTCGTCCAAGTTTTCTTCAGGCCTCTCGGGCTTCTTTTCGAGATGGGGCAGCTCTTTGCCGTATCCGGTGTCTGTGTCTGGCTGATGAGCGGCGTTTGAGACGTCACTGAGCGTCTCATAACGTCGTTTGGCAACAACAGCCTGAGCCTTAGCGCTCATTCCGCCCTTCTCGGTATGTCCATGAGCACGCATCTCGCACGAGTGAAGCTTGCTGGCTTCATCCGCGGTCACCGTGCCGTCCTCAATCTTGGGTCTGATTGCGACTTCTGCTCGGTGTAGATTCTCTTCCTTGTCGTGGTGGGACTGCTCTTGAGGAGAGAGGGCGCCATGGCTGCTGGTGCGAGGACGTCTATGTCCAGAATTAGAATTGCGCCTTGCAGAAACCGACTGAGCACTGGCAGCCATGCCGCCCTTCTTGGTGTGACCGTGAGCACGGTCTTCAAGGGAGTGAAGATGATCGGCCTCGGCCTTGTTCACGTCACCTTCCTCTACCTTGGTCTTGAAGTCATCCTCTGCCTTGCGAAGATTCTCTTCCCTATCATGTCGAGATTTCTGTTGAGGTGACATGGAGCTCCGCTTCTGAGACGACACAGTTCCAGAACCGCTACTCAGTGATAGCTTGCGCTCACGTTTAGCAACAACAGACTGAGCTGCAGCTGTGATACCGCCCTTCTCAGTGTGGCCATGGGCACGAGCTTCGAGAGAATGAAGATGATCAGCTTCCGCCTTGGTGACCGTGCCTTGTGCAATCTTGGGTTCGATCTTTGCGATTTCCTCCTGGAATTCGGCTTCAGGATCTTGTTGAGGAGCGTTGGTATGGCCCATGGCCTTTTGCATTTCTATGGAACTGTTAGTGTGTGTTCTCATGCCAGATGGATGCACTTACTGCTAACGATGCTCTGTGCAGTACGAAGGACCTCTGGTGTGACTTCCTCCGGGCTACCATCCACGGCGGCATGCAGGTCCTTGGCAGCCGTCAGCAGCGAACGGTGAGGAGCCTGAGCTTGTTGAGATCCCTGATGGTGCACACCTTGTTAGCAATAGCTAGATATTCGACAGCAGAGATAATGCGGACCGCTCTCTCATCACTTGCAGTGACGTTCTCAGATAGAACACGGGCTTCCTCAGCCGTGATGGTGCTGGCGTCAGTCCTCAGCTTCGTCAGAATAGCCGCTAGCTGGACCTCGAGCTGGTTTGACTGAGTGGTGGCAGCATTGCTGATGTCGGAAGACGTCTTCTCGCTGAGAATTTCACTCATGGTGAGCAATGATGACGCGAGAGCTGTAGGTGATGTTTTTAGTGGAGGAAATGAGGTTGATGAGGGTTGGGAGAAGAGGGATGGAGTTTTGAGACGCAGGAGAATGGTTAGAGCTTTGTGTCTGGTGGCGAAGGAAAGTGCAGGTGCTGGCGGTGAGGTAGGACGACCCGACCAACCGCTCTTGCCCTCAGTGTCGGGAGGGCTATGACGATACAGTGCTGTAATCTTAGTATTTTCATCTGATGGCACACTGATGCGGAAACGAGATGACAGATCTATTGCAGGCTGAACCTCTTTCCCATTATGAAATTGCAAACCATTTCGTATCATAGTGCTACCAGCCCCCTTTCCAGCACCTTAGGCGCTATATGCAAAGTGAGAGACATTTTCAGAACATGACAACATGCAGTCACTGTAGATAATATTCATGCACACCTTGGTTGTGATACTGCGTGCGATACAATTGCAAAAAGTATGAAAGTGAACAAGTCGGGGCTCAAGAGTTGCAGTAACTACAGTTTTTTATATGAGAAACACAGCCTAAGCGCAACACACCGATAACACCAGTTCACGCGATGAGCCATGGTCAACGTACAAAATGCAAATTCATTCTGGTATATCAAACACTACTTGACAAATCGAAAGGGTATCGACAAAAGGTTCTCCGCTTACGGCGCAAAACGCTGCGGCCGGTTATCCATGTCGAAATTCAACTCCTCGTCCAGTACGTCCAAAAAGTCTTGTCCCTCGCCAAACTCGGCTACACTGGCCAGCTTGTCGAGCGTCTTCTCCGTCTTTTCACACTCACTGTACCACTTCCTCTCAAAATTAAACTCCTCGTCCTGTCCATGCGGCATAATGGACCACTCGGGCAGCGCACACGTGTCCTGCTCGCCATCCATGTACCACCAAAACCGCATCTTGCCATCGCTCTTCCCTTCCCAAGCCTCCCTGTTCCATGGCTTTTGCAGTGGTGAGTATTTCTCCCAGCCGCGGACGAGACTGCGGAAGTAGGTGATGGGGTGAATGTACTCATTTGTATGTCCCAGTTCCCGGATTTTAGTCCACTTGTTGGCTTTTGACTTTTCGTTGTATATTTCGACGCTCTCGTGGCCTGGCATGCGTACATGCATGCCGTTCAAGTAATACATTGCGGTGAATGAGTCTACAAGCGGGCCGGTACCCCAGCTAAAGTCGAAATTCTCGTGCGTGTGTGGCGGGGCACGAGGCGGAAGCTGTAGGTCCTTACCACCACCACCGAAGATAGAGGGCATGGGTAGCTTGGGAACATAACTCCACATTTTCTGCAGAGTGTTTGGGTGGTTGAAGGTACAGGCGTAGCGGATGCGGAAAAGCCAACGCTTGTATTGGGCCACAAACAGCGAGAAGGCCTCTCTATCGATGGTCAAGTGCGGAGAGATGGCTTGGAGCATCCAACATAGAGAAGCCATCGATAAATCTACCTTCCGTTAGTAATTGCTTGGTCCGTGTCTGGATTCGGGACCTACTTTCTGAATCGCCTTTCATCTCCCCAAGTCCATCGTCAGACCCACCACCCACGTTGATATGACAACCAGGGAACTGCAAAAGTCACAATTAGTTTAATCGATGCATCAAATAGACCGCTCACATACCCAAACTTGCTTGAGTTCCGGTGTATGCCTGTTTGGATCATCGACGAGTTCCTTTGGAATATACCAAAGAGTTGGACGGAAAGCCTTGCGCCGTTCGTCCAGGGCAAGAGCTTGATATGCATGCTCAATATCTATATTATTGTATTAGCAAATCATAGCACATTTCACGCTTCGAGATGTGCAACTCACTCTCGGTCAGCTTGACATTGTGGAAACCATATTGCGTTCTCCCAAAGGCCATATCAAGGCCGACCATGTCCGGTATGCCCAAAGAACCGACAGTGTCCCAAACGCCCACGACTTTCACCTTTCTGCTGTCTGGACTAACCGCAAGTTCTCCATGCGGTCGAGTCTCCCACACCTCGGCCATTAGCTTGAGATCATCCAACTCAATCTTTGTAACATCGAGACCCTGTTTCTTCATCTCTTCTCCCTTTTTGCTTAGCTTGCCTTCGGTAAACATTCTCCATGCTTTCATCTCACGGAAGTCGACGCCTTCATTGTTTGTCTGGTAAAGACTGTACAGTCGGGGGAAGAACTGCATGCTGATTGGTGCTATGACTCCGATATCAGAAACCAGACCAGCAACTGCACGGGCAGTGTAGGCGCCTCTGGAGAAGCCAAAGCAGAAGATCTCGTCGCCGGGCTCATAGTTTTGCACGATAAAGTTGTACGCTTCAATGACATTTTCGGCCAAGCCAGCCCCTGTGCCGCCTTGTCGTCTCTGTTCAGAAGAGCTCAGATTTCCTGTTCCTATGCCGGAATCATAGTACACGATCTGGTGAAATTTTTTGGAAGAGTTGTTCTTGTCTGAGCCGACACGGGCAATTAGCCGGCAGAGCTTGGTGACATTGGATGGGATGTTTGTCTTGCTGCTGACACTAGACTGCCAGGTTCCGTCGCAGCATATCACTAGACGTCGACCCCAGGCTTTGTCGGCGTCGGTCATGGTGGAGCAGAACAAGGAGAGGAAATAGAATGCAATTGTTGTTCAGCAGCGTATGATGTGAAGAAAACAACGAGGGATTCTGTCGGATATATATAAGCCGCTAATCTGGTACCAAGGCGGAAGCGGATGGGGGCCTGACAAAAGAAGGGCGTTATGTGTATCATCCAGGGGTAACCCCAGAGAGTAGGAAAAGACAATTGCAAAAAGACAATAACAGCAGCGTCTGCTCTCTCTACTTACCCCTGCGAAGAAGAGAGGCCACACCGCATATGCGGAAGAGAGGGGTTCAGCTTTGGCCCCAGGATCGCCAACACAGCCTGTGGTGTAGCATGCGGCTGAGGGTTAGTGGCGGGCGGCCAAGCCACATGTTCGTGAGCTGCGGCACGAAGCGTACCTAGCCGCCGCCCTATGTTTTGCATTCTCGAAGGTCAAAGTGTTTGACCAGAAGATGCTCGTTCAGAGTCCCCGGATTTCGGGAGGGAAAAAGGAAGAAGAACGTGTGCGACGTGCTTCTTTTTGGTGGTTTCTTTTCATGTGACAAGTGCAGAGGGTGTGCGTGTGTGTGTGTGTGTGTGTGTGTGTGCTCGCAGTGCCACCACGTAAACCTAACCTGTGCACGGGGCGATCGTCGTTGCTTGGCTGGAGAAGAGTGGTCACATTCCCATGAAATATGCATGCACAAGTGGCATTGGCATGTCCGCAGGGGGAAACTGGATGACAGCAAGAATAAGCATGCGTGATGTTGACATGCGGTGGCCCAGTGTAAGTGCTTCTTCCCGCACGAGGGACGAGCCGACTATGCCCTTCGCACTGCTTGGCCGTTGGCGCAGACAGCCACCGCTCAGCCCCGCCATCTGGCACACCGCCACCACCTCATCTCTCCACATCGCTGGGTAGCTGTGCTCGCTTCCTTCACATCACGCTGCACATTACGTCAAAGAGCTGAGCCTGTTCGTGTTGCTCTCCGAGGAGACAGAATGCCCATGCTTCATCTTCTAGAGGAGCTGGACGTATCCCAATGGCGCGACCTGCGCTAACATCTAACATGAAACATCAAATCATAACCCGCTTTGCCTCATAGCACGCACATGAAGGACGCCACTCACATACACCCATGTGTCGGACAATGTGTGTCGCGATATGGCGCCATTTTCGCGCAAGGCCTGAGTACACGTATGGTATCTCCCCACACGATCCCTCATATATAACGCCTGCCATCCAACCGAAAAGACATCGCTCAATCGCTAAACATGAGAGCTACCATCCCAAGGGAATACCAATCCATAACCAAAATATATCCGAAATCATAACCATCCGTTTCGCATGGAGCCAGCTCATTGTGAGTTGGGCGAGTTACCCGCTGTCTGCGGACGGCTTCCATATTGCGACCCGTCATTAAACCCTTCGAAGCTTTCACCCGACGATACCCTCTGGAGATCATCGCCATCACCCATTTCAATGTCTTCTTGTTCATATCTTGCCGCTCCATGAGAGTTTTGCGGTGGTCCCATGTTCGAGAGAGAAGAGTACTGTCGCGGAGGCGCTGCAGGCGGCACCCCAGCGTTGCTAATCTGCTCGGCCAGACTAGGTTTTTCGGCTAGATTGCTGAGCATGGCACGACTCGCATCCAGCATCGAGACTGCGTAGTCGAGAAAGTCGGCACGCTTGGACGACACGGACAGGGTCCAGCGATACTCGCACAGCCTAAGCTTGTAGAACTCGGCCTCTTCCTTGGCTGGTGCCGTAGCCCACAACAGCGATCCGAAAGTGCCGATGAGGGTGAAGTTGACCTTGGAAGCAAAGTACCAGAATGCCTGTAGATGCTCTGGCTTGAGGCGGTTGACAAAGTCCATGGCTGAAATCAGCCTTGTCTTTGCAGCGCTGCGGCACATGAAGAGACCGTACGAGTCCGGATTGGTCGAATCAAGAGATTGCACGATACGCCGGTGAAGAGTGATCTCCGTCGCAAAGTAGGCGAGGTGCAGGTAGCCCGTGGATGTGAGTTTGCCTTTCTCGGGCGTGTTCATCTTGACCTCGTTAGGCAGCTTCTCGTGCCACTGACGAAGCTTGATCTGTACAGGTTTCGCGCGTGCCAGAATCAGCTCGGTCGACTTTTTCCCAGCGTTTGCAAAGTCATGGATGGCTGTCTGTGTATAGAATGTGTCCATGACCTCTGCCATGATCTGGGTAAGTCCTATCATCTGAGCAAACAGTATCCGCCCGCGTTGGTTCTCGGCCTGTTCTTCGTCCGTCTCTTCTTGCCGTGCATCATAACCATCTCCGTCCTCGATAAAGTCCTCTTTAGTGATGGGTTTGACTGCCCAATTGGCGTTGAATATGTGCGAGGGCCGGCCGTGGATCAGCGAGCTCCACTTATCTTGCATGTACAATGCACATGCAATGCGCTTCCTCAGCCCACGCTCCCAAAGAGGGATCGACCACGAGGAGCAGTCAAGGTGGAGACCTAGCTCCTGGCCGATGGCCACCAATTGCGTAGTCAGACTCCACGAATCTGCCTCTGGCCGCTGAAGCAACAGCAAGCCTGCCTGCACAGTCGACAGTTTTGGCCGCTCCATAGACAGCGTCAGTGCCTTCATGGCAACCGTCTCCAACCGGGCGGCATCAGGCTTGCTGTAGTTTGCGAGCTTGGGGTTAAAGGACCACCAATTGAGGGCCAGAATGTACATACCAGCCAGAAGGGCCGGTGCGAAGCTTCGATCGCTACTGCGATACCGCTCGACGAATAGGTGCTTCTGGATAATGGGATAGTTTGGATGTACCACTTGGAAGTACAGGTCTAGCAAGGCAGGGCCATGTGGGTGCACGAGCTGCTCAACCTGGCTCAGCGCTTCAGACTCGCCGGCAAAGTCTTGGGTGTTCTCGTCAGGCAGCATAATGAAACATTCATGATCGTTTACGCGTCGCAGTGTACCAAGATCGAAAGTAGATTCGTTACGGGTATCGAACTGGGAAAGACCAATGAGGAGAGAGTCGAAAGGGGAGCTCAGACCAATATATCTGCTATGTTGGCGTCTTTGCAGGCCTAGTGTCTCTCCAAGCTGAGGCAGGTTCAGACTTGTCAGACGGGACAGTTGCGGTGGCTGTTGTTGTTGTTGTTGTGGTGGTGGTGGTGGTGGTTGTGGTGGTGGGGGGCTTGGCGCGGTTGCTGTGATGGTGGGTGTCGACAGTGCTAGTGGTGGGGGGTCTGAGTCGACAGATCTGCCAGACGATATCAGCCATCCCATCCAGTCGCATCAAACACAACACAAAAAGGACACGTCATGGTACTCGTGGTGTTGGAGGGGGAGCATGCGGGCGACATGAAGGACGAAAAGAAAAAGGAAAGGGACGGTGGCACGTGAGCACGTGACGCTTTGGTGTATGGCCCAATGACGAACGTATGGGGAACGTGACCAGTTACTAGATTCCGCAAGCGAGCCATGGGGAGATTTTGCTTGAGGCAGGGGCAGTAGAGGAGCCTGGACATACCTCTTCTTGGTGTTGCTGGGCGAGTCCTTCTTGTCGCCGTCGACGACTTTCCGCTTTCGTGGAAGGGGGCTTTGTACAAAGGTACACTCTTGCTTGTGGAAGTCGCACAAGACACACAGGGCAGCACCCTCGTGTATCACGCAGCGGCTTTTCCTCCTCCTGCAGGCGTCACACGGGCGCTCTCTGCGCGAGCGGATGTTTGAGACGGGGCCGTTGCTGGACGTGGGCTTGCTCAGGGACTCCTTGCCCGCAGGAGACTTGTATACTGTGCGAGGGCGAGCTGGTGCTATTGAGACAACGGGGCGTGGGCCCATGGCGGGCTGCTGCATTGCTACTGCCGTCATTGCAGGCTGACTGGCGTGGAACAGCGGGCGATAAGGCTATGAAAGACTACGGGCCGGTGGCCAGACTGCGGATCAGGATGCAAGTGTCTTGCTATCGGGAGCAGGGTATGGGTGGCAGGTCTTATCGCGTGGGCGATAGGTAGGTCACTTGGAAGCTGGGACTATGCCAAGAAAAGCAAATATATCTGGGTAGTCGGGTGGAGAAGGCAAAAGAGGAGAGATCAGGGGCCTAGGTTGCCAGACACGGCTGAGAGGAGAATGAGGTGACTGATGGTTCGCGCCGTCATTGAACGTCTCCTCGACATGTAGTGAGGGTGGGCGAGGCCGGGGCGGCGGCGGCGGCGGCGGCGGGCGGGAGCGGCGGGACGGGCGGGCTGCTGAGGGCTTGGAGACCTACGAGCCGGTGCGGGGAGAGAGCAGGCGCATCGTCGGGGGTGGCAGGTGTGAATAATGGAGAGATTTTCTGGAGAGAAGCGCGCTGGCACAGTCTTTTGTGGCCGACATGTGCTCGGGATGGGTTTCGAGATGCGCCGTGCACGGATGCTCCTGGGACGTAGGCCCGACGCGGCTTAGCGCCGTCCCTGCTTTGTATGTTACGTACAGCCGAGAGATAAGGAAGGCGGCTGCGGCCAATCGCTGCGGGGCGTTCCTTCCCCCACCTGGGGCGTTTGCTCTTTCCATTACTCCAGCTGTGCCTTATCTGGCGTGCTGCGCTACTTTGCCTGTGCCTGGGAATTACTGTTATGTACTCGTTACCGCGCTCCATACAGGAGCCATTGGCGCATGCACGTCACCCACGAATCGAGCCCGACGACGACATCATCATCATCGCCTCGCCGCCTGTCACTGCAACTGTATCTAGACGACCGTTTTGCGGAGGGCCCGCGCGCGCGGCCGTGTGCCCTGCTTGGGGCCTGCCCACCCCCTCCCTCGTGCAGCCTGCGCCTCACTCGCATGTGTGTATCCTCGCGCGCGCGCGCGCGCTCTCTCTTTGCAGTGCACTTACATGTACAAAAAAGACTCGTAAAAGATAGTTTCGCACGCCTACTGCATATTGCTTGGACGTGCAGCGCACACGCACCCTCGCCGACGACATGACGGCCAGCTTCCGGGGCTGTGGCAAGGCCCGACTCCACACGTGTCGCGCAGCTGTCTTCTCCACCACGGCCGAGCCCTACCGCGATGCGACACTGACACCACAGCTACATGTAGAGATATAGGGCCCTAGATTGCCATGTCTGCTCCGCTCACCCCCCGGCCTCGCGCCCTCACCGCCCGCCCTTCAGGCAAAACGCAAACGCATTTCCACTGCGGCCACCGGCAATGCGCAGCTTCCGAAGCCCTCCGCCCAGGCGAGGCTACAGGCCGTCGCTGATGTCATGCTCGCCTCGCCTCCTCTGTCCGTCGACGTCCTTGTGTAGCGCCCAGTCCCCGTCGCCGTCCCCGTCGCCGTCCCCGTCGCAGTCCCGCCGACGCTGCTGCTGGCAATGCGCAGTTGCGGTGAATTGCGCCTCGCCCTGCCCAGCCCCCCCCCCTCCCAAATCGCGCGCGGATGGCACAAGACACGCACCCGCCATGTCCGCCTTTGTAGTACGTAAAAGCCCAGTCTTAGCCTTGCACTGCCAGCGGCCTCAGAGTTGGGTTTTGGGCGTGCAAAACGAGCGGCGGGCCCCTCAGCTGCTGCACGCTCTGCCTTTCCCCATGCGGCCTCGCTAACGCCCGTGTCCCAATTTCCCAACAACGGAACCATGTCTGCTTGGTCGTTATCGCACGCCAAAGGCCCGTTATCCGCCATGGATTTGGCGACATCGCACTCGGCTCCGCGCGCCCTCAGTGGCTGCCTCCGCCCAAGCCCACGCCCGTCCAACCGCGTCTAGTTGCTGAGCTTCCAGGGCTCCATGGCGCTGTGGTTAGCATTACGAGATCTTTGATCGCAGATCTGCATGTGACACGACTGGCGAGCAGACTGTGCCCTTGCCCACTGGCATGCGTCTGGGAAAGTCGGCCCGCTTTTCTCCGGGCTGCAACCTTGGATAGTGCAGTTTCATGCTCTGTCAAAAGTCGCTCCATGTCTACGTCCACTCGTCGCCTTTCTGTTTGTCAAGGATTCAGCACTCCAGGTACACCGTAAGCCCCAACCCCACTGACCGCCGTGCTCATGCCGTCTGATGCCGTTATACGCCGCCTGGCGGTGTGCAAACATCAAACTCTGAATGTTTTTCTGGTACACCTATTTGCTATCCGCCATTGACGACTGCAAATGCCTGTCCCGAGTCATGCAACCGTGGCAGATAGTGTGCGCCCTTGGATCGTGTTTCCAGCTTCTTCTTGGACAGGGCAATTGGTCAATGTTTTAACCGACCGAGTTTTGCTCCATGCCTCCACGCAGCCTTGAATACTTTCCAAAATTGGATTCCGGGTAATTGACCAGAGTTTGCAGAGATGCTACCGCACCCCACCTATGTAACATTCCCCCCTAACAAGTCGTCGGTACAGCCATATCTACACTGCAGTCACATGTCTTGGTTAGCATCACTGCTGCCGCATAACTCACGCATGCACTAAATGTCGACGTCTAGAATCATGCAGGGACTCATCAACTCGGAGTGCTGCCACTGCTGCTGTGGTGAAAGATGTGGGACCCACTATGACTATGCCTGCTCTGGTTGACATGCAGAATCGCTGTCTCTTGGTCATCTAGACGCGCACTTGCCAAAAGCGAATTAGCTATCAAGCAAGAACAGGGGGGGGAGAAGCAGCAACAAAAGTCGCCAGAAACAAGTCCAAAGTAGCCTTGACTTGCTACAACAGTCAGCATCAATGTACCTAAATTCATGGTATTTTGCCTATTGCTCAGGTACTCCGCGAAGCGCCCCCCCTCCCCCGTGATAATCGTATGTACAAGTCTGGGCTCTCATGGCCTCCCCCCCTCCCCCCGCATAATGGACCTCAGGACGCGCCTCGCCCGGGCCATGGAGCGCGTCATATGTTCCGCCATGATCATATCGTCGTTATGTCTAGCGTCTCTCGCTCTAAATCGACAAGGAAGCAACAAGGTATCGCAAAAAGGCTGTGTCGTGTGCCGTAGTCGTCTGCGCTGCTGGTATTGCGCGACTCGCTTTTGACGTGCCAGAGGCCGGAAGCCGCGCGAAGGCATCGTCTTCAATCAGTGCATAGGAGGCTGATAGTTGATAGGTCGCCTGCAGTTTTTCCATTAGTCCGAGCTTTGGCCTACGCTTTTTGGGCACAACGACGACCTACTTGAAGAGCAAGATGTGTGGCTCGGGCTCATGAACCTCATAGTGCTCCCATCCGAGACTCTAATGGCAATGTCAGCACGCAGCACGCAGCCCATGTCCACTTGGCGCTCATACTTGGGTGATTCCCAGCGCCCTCCACTCCTCTTCCCATAGCAGCTTCAATGTACCTCGCGCTCCGTCAAAGTAGTCTTTGGGGATTGCCTTGAGCATCTGCTTGGGCAGCTGCACGTGGCGATATTCGTATGCATCGTCCGAGTATCTGTCGGCCGCGTCAGTACACAACGCGCTGGGCCGCTCCTGGGGGTACGCCAACCCACCTCGCCGAGTAGTGAATCGCGTCGACAAACTCGTCCAGCTTCTCCTTCTCGTGCTCCGAAAGCGGGCGCGGCTTCTTGTTGCGGCGCGTAAAGTCAATGTCCAGGTAGTGTGCATCTGAGCGTACACCAGCTGGTGTCAGCGTGATTTACTGGCAACAAAAAACGGGCAGCAGAACGCTGATCAGCAGCAATGTATCGATATACAGGGGGGGGGGGGTGTGAAGAAAAGATGCAGTGGAAACATGGTGGAAACGGCTACGCTAGGCTGGAGCCGAGCTAGCGCAGAAGCTTGGGGCACCTGCAGCGACCAAATTTCACGACGCCCGTAAACAACGACTGTTTGGGCTCGATGCCTTGAGCTATTTTCCCCTCTGGTTCAGTGATACGGCGACGCTCTCTCCATCGAGGGTCACGACTCTCCATCCACGCGCCCTATTTCGCATACGTGACTGCAGCCCTCGACTAAAGCTGAGTCGCTGCTGCCCGCCCCACTCGCTTCCATCAGCCGCGATACCCCCCACCGCACGAGCACACGAGCGCCTCTCTTCGCGTTCCTCAACCGCAAACATGTCGGGCGAAAGCGGTCCGTCCCCTTCGTCGATTCTGCATAGGCCATGTCCTAATCCGGCGAAACAACATCAACTGAACAAGCATCTGAACGTGTCTGTGCGGTCTCTTCATACGCCATGTTTGATCACTATGCCTGATTGCCCCACACAGTACCCATTCGCTCCGGTATTTTTTTTTATTGCTCATGTCTGACCACATGAGACCAGCTGGAGCACTCAGGCGGTAAGCAACCTGCTTCCCAGCGGCATGCAAACAGAAACGTACTCACAGTTGATTAACATGTGATTTTTTTTTCTGATTGGAGAACAATCCTTGCCATTAATGCAATGTCAACTCGCACACTACAGGAGGACGATAAGAAGTTTCAAATCGTTTGATGATACATCTGCCGTCAACATGCTCCTGGTCAGGGAGAAATACCATTCGGCTTTTCAGTCCCATGTTCCACACACTTCACACCATCGTTCTCAGTCTTTTCAATGACCCCGGGAGATGTATCATGATGGACCATATTCTCGGCTCTACACTCCCATCTTAGTTGTTTCTTTGGTTTCGCAACCGCCACATGTCGTATGTCGGGCTTCTTCTCTCCCAGGTCTCCGTCAACCACGTCGACTCCTTCGTGGGCAACACCCTGTTCCAGCCACTCCACTGCTCTGCTGTCACTAGAGCTGGTCTTGATCTCAGGAAGAAGCTCGATAGACGGCGGTCGCGGCACTGACGAGTAGTGCTGTAGCAGATCCTCTCGTTGTTCTTGCTGTATCTGTTGTCGGGAAAGCCGATGCGACAGCCGAGACTCGCGGCCGGACTCAACGTCGAGTAGTCCCGGCTCAAAGTCTTGTTGTGCACAAGCCTTCTTCTTTCGCCGATGGACAAATCGGAGGGCAAGGTAGACCAGAATCACGGCCAATATCGTGGAAGCCAAGACGATTAGAGCCAGGAAGAGGTCGGTCGTAAAGCTTGAGGCAATCATGTTGCGACTCGACGCCGTCAGCCGCCGTCAGAACATGCAAAAGGACGAGTTTAGAGATATGACTGCTATTGTGACGCCTGCGGCGGCAAGTATACGGCAGTATTTAAGCATGTCATGAGTTACATGCACTACGCGACTGCACCTCGATACAGCGCAGCACACAAGAAAAGCCATCTGGTTCAATGCAGGAGCTTTGCTGTGCGAGTATCCGGATCAAGTACTGGGTGATATCCGAGTGTTGCACAGTGTCACACGCGCATGGGAAGGAATTATTGTGTGACTATTGTGCCTACAGGGACATGACTGCCGAATTAGATGTGCAGATACGAATATGGAAAGCAAAAGAACCGCTTCAGCATTTAGTGAGTAAGTTCAATGAGTGGCAGACGACACCGTCCAAACCCCATTTGCGATCTATCGGCCCTAACCCCACACTCTACGGGGGACTCGACTACAATGCGCCCGTGTAATCATACACAAGCCTGGCCCTTACAACCTCATTCTTGTCGAGCCTCCACACCACAAACTTTCTCGTCAGCATCCTCTTCCCCTCAATCTCTGCAAACCCCCAAACCTGCAACGCTGTCCACTTGCTCTTCTCGTTTTCGGCAAAAGCCTCGACAATCTCGCCTTCTTCCGTCTCCTTCAGCCAGCCGTCGGCCAGAAACTTGACATCTTCGGCATTTGTGCCCTCGTCCCTGAGTTTCTGGAGAGTCGAGTAGCGGTTGCGGGCTTTGCTGGTACCCCAGAGCCAGTCGGTGTGCTCCTGGTAGTGCCAGTCCATCATGCGCTCCTCGACTGAGCCTTTCAGACCACCGGTGAGGACCTGGTCGATTTTGACGAGCGTACTAGGCGTGCCATCCTCACCGGTTACGGGCGCCTGTGTCAGATGCTGGGTCAGGGTTGCTGCGCCGATAGCTTTTCGCGTCAGCCAGCTAATGCCTTGAAGAGCGAGTATTGGGTCGAAAGGATCGGACAATGACTTGTTCTGCAGAGTCATGTTAGAATGGCCATTGGACTGTAGGGGACGCGACGGGTTTGGAGCTTCCTTCACCGAACCCGCTGCAAGGAGACCGCTGCTGCGGGGAACTCACCATGATCCATTTCCCCTGCAGGTTCCTGATGTCAATGTTTTCTGGGGCAGCCATCCTTGCTTGCGGTAATGTTTCGCTATCCTGGCAGGTTCTCAAAAACGGGTTGTGAGTATAGTGTTGAGGCTATCGCCAAGTAAGTAGCGGTAAGGATGAGTATGCTGGGGTATGTGGCCCTCCACACAGCTCTTATATCGCCATCAGGATTCATACCAGGATTCGCTAGAATAAGCGCGTATCCCAGCACCTGCCCTAATCAACAATCGCCTGTGGCGTTCATCCTACAAGCATCGGTATACGCAAGCCTCGTATGCCCAGCTGCCTCGGTTTGTCTGCTTTGGGATAGCGCCACCGCGGGGAACCTGGGATCGCCGGCCCCACCGTCGTGTGTCAGGGAACATGCAGACAAACATACTCAGAGCAACTGTATATTCAACAAATCGCAGACCTTGGTCGGAGCAACGCGGCGGCAAAGCTTAGCGGTGAGCGTTTTTCGGGTCCGGTAAAGCGATGCAAGAGACGAGTAATGCATCAGAGATAGCTACACCAACGCAACAAGTCGCTGGCTAATGACTCAAATCCTTCGCTATTCACAAACTCTGTTATTCTAAACCTTGGGGCTATCGCGAGCTTCATATCAGGATTTTTGAACATCAAGGTAAGTTCATTGGGTATCATGGCATCAAAAGAGTCGTTCATCTCCATCTTACCATGACACCACCAAAGGCGGCCTAGTTCCACACGTTTACACAGTTCCAGGTAAAGTTCCGGTAAAAAAAGCCATGTTGAGGGACATGCGAATAAATGAATCAGGTTCCTACTCTAGTGCGGCTCCAGGGTAAACTTTATCGTCGTGTTACGGCTAGTTCCTTGTCTGTTTCTCACCAACATCAGTCGCCTTTGACCCACGAGGAAGAAGAAGAGCTGCTGCGGCTGCTCAAACCGATGCCCTCGAAACGTTAACCCAACTCACGATAGTGCTGTTTAGCTGCAGGTCCTTTGCAATTTCTCTCAACGGGACCATGAGCGCTCCTCAGGCACAAAGCGTTTCGGCTGGCTAGGAATTTTCGAAACGGCCCTTGCTGTTTCAACGGCCGCAGAGATGGTGTGGCGTAGCGCAGCACCCATGCCGCCAACAACGAATCCCGCATCGTGAACGCAGAACGGCCAACACCAACACAGATGCTCTCTCCGTCCTCTGGTATGGGGCTGTGACACAGCGTGTTTATGAATGTAATGGATTTTATTTATGGTATCGAGGGCGGGAAACATGATGTCTTGTACAAGTCCTGCTCACGACCGTGGTTCGCTTGTCTTCTTCATTTTACCTCAGACTCAGCACCCTGTAGTCGACCCCCCTCAACGTTTATGCGCATACATCAATCGAGCTAAGCGCCCTCTATTTTCAAAAGTCAGCTGTCATCGTTGCACATCACGCTCGCCGTCTGCTATATCGTCACGCAGAGTCTCGTCACTCCTCACTTATTGGCCCCATCCCTTCACACACACACACAGCCGTGTACCCCACCATAACCTACAAACGATAGTGACCTGGTGTTACGCTTGTTGTGAAATTGCATTTTCGCACAATCCAATCGTTGCTACAATACTCTCAACGCTCTACAGGCCGCGCCAATCTCGCAATTACAACTTCTTTGCTCGGTTGACGCGGAATTGGACGTGGGATAGTATTACAGACACATCGAACGACGCAGAGCGTTTTCTCTTGGTCAAAATTTAAATACCACGGTACCTTCTGGTAAACCAGAGATCCAAGGGCAATTGGCAATCTCTGCACAGACGCGTGGAACGGCGCCATTGTCGTTCACTTCACTTCTCTAGCGCGGCGCGGTCGTTTGTTTGCTAAGCGCACAACCCACATACATTTATCTTGTACCAAACCGCTCGTTGCCTGCTAGTTGAACACCGAAACACTCACAGAAAGGGCAAAAAAATACACTCTCGCGCCAGCCAAGTTTACATCAACAACAACAACAACACCACCACCACCACCACAATGAAGCTCCCAGCCATCTTCCTCCTCGCAACCAGCGCCATGACCTCAAGGCTCCAACTGCCCAAAAACAACAACAACGCCGCCATACTCATAAACCGCGACTTGGACCCCGCGACCATGGACCCCGCACAATTCTCCGTCCTCCGAGTCCTCAAGAACGCCATGCCCAGCGGCCCTAACCCGCCCTTCCCAACCGGCACCTCGGATCCCGCATGGTACCAAAGCCTACCTCAAGACGTCAAGCAATTGCTGCCTAAATTCTACCCAGTGGTCCAGGCTGCTGCGGTATCGCAGGGCGAGATCAGCAGCAGTGGTGGTAGCAGCAGCAGTAGTACGACGATTACCAGTGAACAGAGCGGGACATCTACCGCTGTAGATGCTACAACAGTACGTGCAAAAGCCGCCCCCAAAAAAAGAAATGAACGTCCTTGTTTCCATACACAGCCACACAAGCGGACTCTTCGTTTCAGATATTTCTACCATAGCATCACGGTACTAACGACATGGTCGCAGTCATCCGCTTCTCAAAGCTCATCAGCTACTACACCACCGTCTCTCTCTCCTTCACTTACCAGCACTACTGCCGCCAGAAATAGCAGCAGCAGCAGTACCGTACGCACAACGTCCCGCACTTCAGCAACGTCATCTGCTGCTACTGCAAGGCCATCGGTGCCCTCATCCAATGGTTCAAGGACCTTGGTGCAAACGCCGGTGCTGGCGGTTTTCGTAGCGTGGATTGCTGTTGCCACGGCGTTTAGTGTGCTTGGTTAGACGAGAGACGAGACCAACTAACTAGCTAACGGCTATAGGTCCCTCTCTCTCTCTCTCTCTCTCTCTTTTGCACTTCTAGCCTTTCTTTTTCAACCCCCTAATTGTATGTATGACGAGACGACATTTGATCACAGACAAGTCTTTTTTGTTCTGTTTTCTGCGTCTAATATGGGATTTCTTTTTTGTTATGACACGATGTGATGAGAGGCAAAGGTTATGTATTTTGCAGGCCAAGAACATGGAGAAAGGGAAGCCCACGAGGCATGCAAGCCGTGTTCATATTATGTATTTCGAGATATATATATACCCCCTTCACTCCTTACTTGCAGCAATGAAGCCATGATAAAGTTAGAGTACCCCTTGCACAATCCTTTCGACGCTACCTATCAAAACAGTGATCTCTCTAGCTCATGAAAGCTATCTTCCTTCATCTCCTTTACTCTTGACATGCCCTTGTGTGTCTTATTCATCCCCTACATACAAAGCACACCAGCAACTCTGACACCCAAATCCAGCACCGCTAAATGCTCATCTCCACCATCTACCAGCCGCTTGTCTGTCTCGCTGAACACAGCCGCTAGCCGCACCTTCTTTACATCCTCGATCCGCTCGTCAAACATGATCTGCTCGTACAACTGGCCGAGCGTCTGCGACGCACTCCATCCCTCCGCAATCATCTTCTCAACGACCTTTGCAATCTCATTATAGCGTATTGACTTTGCACTCGCGGATTTGGGGAAGAGAGCCTCGGAAAATGCAGAAAGCGTTGCTGGGTGAAGGACGCCTGCGATTTCCGCAATGGTGGGAAGGGATACCGTGGGCGTTGTGGTGGCAGAAGCAGCAGCATAAATCTCCCCTTCGTCTCCGTCTTGGACCAGGGTAGGCTTCTTTCTCTTTTTTTCATCGTCTTCGTCTTGGGCCAAGGCACGCTTCTTGCCCCTTTTCCCTCCAACTTGACTTTGTATGGCGCCTACGAGTCTGGCAGCCGACTGTAAGAATGTGATTGCTTTTCGTAGATCGCCGTCTGCGACTCGTACCAGGTCTTCAGCCACACCCTCCTCGAGGCATACGTTCTCCAGAGCAGCAATGTCGCTGACGCGCTTGACGGCGTTTCCCTGGTCCAGGCTCTTGAAGCGGAATTTGGAACATCGCGACGCCAAAGGGTCAATGATTCTGGTGACGTAATTGCATACGAGACAGAACCTGGTCATTCGGCTGTAGGTCTCCATGGTCCGCCTCAGTGCTGATTGCGCATCCTGCGTCATGCTGTCTGCCTCATCCAGAATAATAATCTTGAATGGCGGGCAAGGGTACTTGTCCCTATACCGCACCATCTTGCCCTCTCCCGCCCCGCTCTTGTCCTCCACCATGACATTGTATGTCGGCGCAACACTAAGCTGTTGTCTGGCAAAGTCCTTGACTTTCTGTCGTACAATGCTGATACCACGTTCGTCGGAGGCGTTCAATTCGAGTACGCGCGTCTTCATGAGTTCTGGGCCGTAGAGCTCCTTGGCGAGAGCGAGGATAGTCGAGGTTTTTCCTGTGCCTGGGGGGCCGTAGAATAACATGTGCGGTAGGTTGGAGGATTGCATTGTTCGGGAAAGAACTTGGATGGTATTGTCTTGGGCTGTGACTTCGGACAGCGTCTTGGGTCGGCTACAATCGTTGTTAACATTGAACGTCCAAGCCGCTTGGTACGTGGGAGATGTACTATTTCTCGACCCATGGCTGCAGACGATTTGGCTCTTGCTTTGTTGTGGGTGCCTTGGATGAGCTGGCCTGCGCAGCGGCCTGTTGCCGGGCCTTGATGTTGAAGAAGTCGGCCATTGTCGTTTGTTGGGGTTGCGTTGAAGTTGCGCGAAGATGGAGGGCTAAAGTGCGACGCGTCGACGCGAATTCGCGAAACCACGTTATTGCCGACCGTGCGGTGCTAGCCAATCATGTCATCGCCACTACACGTCAAATGTCACGGCATTGGGAAGGAATCAGGAGACTTTTAGATAGTCTGGTTCGAAGCCAAACATCAGGGTTTGCTATTTATTATGCGACGTTTTCCTAACAATGCGCGCTTCGCTTGCGTTGAGCCCATCCCATGCACCAGTCATACGCCATCGTAACCTGAGCTGTGTCGCGCATTCATCATCGGTCGAGATATGTACCTATGGTGTTAAGGGTCACGCCTCAGGAGCCAGACTAGCAGTATCTAGCCTACTTCCCATTCAGCCTAACCCCCTTGACACGCTTAGCCAACTGTACTGAATCGGAGTCTGAGCCATAGGAGGGCTGTCGCATTGTACGCTGGTGCTCGAGGGGAAGAGGTGCTGCAGCCCCCCTACTGGCTGATTGAGAGGGAGATGGAGACTGATAAGAACGTTTCGGGGGGCGCTCACCACTTTCTTTGAGGATGGTTAGAAGAGTTGCCCAGCCTCCGGTATGTTGGAGCGCTGAGCCTTCTGAGGTATCGTGCGTTGATGCGACTTTGAAGAGGAGTGATTCTTCGTCCTTTATAGCAGGGTTAGCCTGTGTCAAAATCGCCGGGAAGAAGACGCACCTTTGAAAGAATGCCCAGGTTATGAATGAAACACAGCATGTGGAAGTTCGAGATTGCGTTCAGACCGCTGGCAGTGTTGAGCGCTAGACCGTTTGCTTTGGCGTTGAGAACTTTGCTAAGATGTGTAATCTCGGGCATTTCACCCATAGCCTCACGGTTCTCAATTGGAAATTTGCCTCCAGTGAAGAGGGGGTTTGGCTGAGTGGGGAAACCGTGGGTAAGTGTGAGAAGCAGATATTCAACTGGAAAGTCGGGTTTGGCAATCTCTTGCACGTTTGCGCCATGCTCGTTGATTTTTCGGTAGAAGACTTCGGGAATATATCGCGTGCGGTTGAGCGCCTCGTTTTCCTCTTCTGACTGAACAAGCATGACTTTTGGATCTGCTGAAGGCTCGATGATATCGGCGCGCACCATCTCAACAGCATCGTTTGATACCTGGTAAGACGAGATGCCGATTTGGCCTTGATCATCGCCGCTGATGACACAGGTTACAAAGTTAGATCCGTGTCGTCCGGTGTCGCTCCATTTGGACGGCCGAGGGTACTTGGCCTGATACCGTGCTGCGAAGCAAACCTCGAGAGAAGATAGGTAGTAAGAATCCATGTGTCGCTTGCAGATGACAGAGCCATCGCCCTTGTCTGCATCGAGCAGATCTGTGAAAATGACACCAACCCGCTGCAGGCCGCACTGTGCAGCAATTTCATCGACCTCTTGCTCGTTGCTCCAGTCACCTAACGATATACCGTCTACTTCGTTAATCTGTGGCGGCTCGTATATGGTCTCGACAACGGCCTTTGTTCCCAGTGGCACCTCGGTATACTCCTCGTATCGCCCGTACAGGAAACCCAGCCGCTGACAGCCAGTCTGTCTCCAGAAGTTGATGAGATCATCGACAACCTGTATCGATGCAAACTCGACGTGGTCTACCATGCGATATTCCTGCGGCTTGAGTGAGATGGCACTGGGCATGCACTTTGTGCAGATGCCCTCTGGGAACGGTTTGTGTCCCGATGGACAGTCGGGTCGGACGCGGTAGTAGGGTTCGGTCAGAGGTGGAATATAGGAGCTTCCGAGCTCTGGCCTGTTCTTTGCAGAATTGACCTTGCGCAGGTACGAATGGAAGGACAGGTGCTTGATCTTCTTCTCCGCAAGGTACTCGGGCGAGTAAGGCTCCAGCGGCATGCAATAGTCGCACATACCCTTGGGACCGTGGGAGCACATGCGAGCATCGCGTTTCCGAGGAATCTTTCCATCTTGCCTGTCTAGCCGGTCGTCGAGCGGCGACTGTCTGACCACTTCCCATGGGTTCTTTATAAATTGTGTGGGGTTGCCGAGGGGCACAGAGGCTGTGTCGGTGGCTTCGACGGGTTTGCCGTTCAGTCTTGCGCTGCCTGACGGAGCTGCAGCAAGGCCATTCGGTGGCGCAGACTGCTCCTCAAAGGACAGAAAGAGCTGTGCGCCGTTGCTGCAGAGTTGTGAGCGGCGATGTCGAGCTTGGGCAAGCAACTTACGATAGGCCCACTTGCTTGAAGCTCACACCCTTCAGGTCGGCGAGCTTCCTGGCATCGCCGCCCTGGGGACGGTTGCTGACCGTGATGCTCTGGAATTGGACATTCTTGGGGAGCTTCTCGGCGACCTGGGGGGCGATGTCTGTAAAAGTGTCCTCGGGCTGTACCGTCAACCTGAATTGGCCTTCCTTGCTCACAAACCGGAGTATCATGGCGGGACACTCTCAGGCCTGCGGGGGAGATGCGAAGGCGGAGCTGGTGCAGACGGTCGTAGGGACAAAAGAGCGAGGTGTCGCAGTGGCCGGGAAAGGAGTGGATGGAGGCTGAGGCTAGGCAGCAATAGGCAGCGGGAGTATGGATGGGTGGATTAGACAGCGTCGCTAGGGAAGGCGTCGAAGGCGGCAGAATGACGCGCGCGACGACGTTAGCGCACCCTGGTCGTAGCGCGAAACCACCCGGACATTTACCGAGTTTGCGAACTGGCCAGATATTCTATCGATAAGTCAGGACAGCGTGGGCGCAACTTGGCCTTCACCCTTCCACCCAGCGGGACCTCACTTCTGCGGACAACGTCGCTCCTTTTGGACATTTACGCCAGCGCTTCCTGTCTTGCGACGCGGCCGACGGAGCCAACCCACGCCTCTACCCTTGTAATAATCCGGCTGCCCTTGATCCAGCACTCACCACCCGCCCAACATGTGGCCCTTTGACCTCGTCGACTGGGTGATGCTCACGGTGCCCATCGCCTACATCGGTGTCCTTGCTGGTTCTTTCGGCGTCTTCACAAACCTGTACAAGAAGCGGCAGGCTGCCAACGCCGCATCGCTCGAGCCATGGTTCCCCACCCATCTCCAGCGCAATGTCTACCTCTCTCTGCTGCACATGGACGAGCCCAAGGTGCCGGACAGCATCTTGAAGGCTGCCTTGCTGCGCCGCGCCACGGAGGATATCCACCGAATTATCCAGATCAGGAACGCAAAGCAGGCGCTGCAGGTCTTGTTGCAGAGGGGCAGTGTGGGCGATGACCTGTGGCAGAGGTTCCAGCGCGCAGAGCAGGAGATTGAGGAGGAACTCAGAGACGTGGTCAACGAGGTGAGTTTTCGCAGACGACTATGGAGCCTGCATGTGAACTGACATTGTCCAGGCCAATGCGTTCGCGCCCAACTGGGGCCAGACCATCTTCCAGTCGGCCTCTGAAATGGCGCAGAACAACCACATCCGCGAGCGTCTGGCCGAGATTGAGGCAAAGGCCCCCGCCGAGAAGGCGTGGTGGGAAAGCCGCCGGGCTGGCATTCAGTCCGAGTTTATGAAAGAGCTGGACGACGAGAAGGCCAAGAGCGAGGAGGATGCCGTCATGGTGGAGAAGGCAAAGCACTGAGTGCCGGAGATGTCATGCTGTGTTTGGGGGCTCCTTCATGTATATTTCTGGGCATCTAAGGCAAGTAGTGGGACTAAGGCGTTTTCCAGCATTTGAGAGGCGCATTGTCATACGATTGCACAACAACGGCGTCATAGGCGCAAATACCATGTATCAACTTGTTCAAATGCTAACTGCAGTGCTACCAAACGCCAATTATCCCATAGAGTACATACACATGCTACCACGCTCTGCCATACAAACAAATGGCTTTCGTACACCATATAGACGAGTCTGCCCTTGCAGCTCCACTACGCCCTCTTGCCACATGTCGGCCTGTCCCGACTGATATCTCCCCCTCGTGCACATTCATCCTCTACTTCCTTGCGCTGGGTCCGCTAACACCAGCACCGATGACGCTAGGCAGCTCCTCGGAGCCCATGCTGTAGAGCATGCCAATACCAGCCGAAACGAGGAAAGCCAGGATGACACCGCTGCCGACGAAAAGCCAGAACTGGACCGAGATGTCCTTCTTCTGGCAGGCGGGGCCTCCCCAGTACGTCACCTTCCTCTTCGATTCCATGCCCTTGTCTTCGCCGACGTGCTCGACGGTGGGTTTGCAGGCACATCCGTAGCAGTCGATCGTCTCCTGGTTAGATCCAGAACCGCGGCCCTTGTGGAGGAGCGTGCACTCGCCGTGGCTGGAGCAGTTGTGCGTCTGGCTCTGGCAAGCACTCATCGAGCTGAAGCAGGCGGGGAGGATGCCGCGCACGGGTCCCTTTGCGTTCTTGTTGCCGTTGGCCTCAGTAACAACAGGGAAGTCCTCGAGGGAGGGGGCCTTGGAGGTTGCGGGTACGGCTTGCGACGAGAGAACGGCCTCGGGGTTTTGGCGACGCGCCTCCATGGCGGGGAGGTCGTAGGTGCCCCAGGGGTTGGCGGCACGCTTGGACTTGGACGAGGCCGAGCGCGGCATCATGACGATGGTCGTGGAGAAGCCAGAGTCGCGGGCCTTGTTATTCACCTTGGTCAGCACCTGGGCAAGCTCCTCGGGCGTCATGTTGCTGCTCTTGTCGGTGCGCCACACGTTGAGGTAGCCATTGTGGGTCTCGGGCTTGCTCTTTGGCGGCAGCGCAGCTTCTATCTCAAAGTTGGACTTGTATGTGCGTTGTTGGGGGTCGGGGTGCTCTGGCAGCGACTGGGCCTGGACTGCAAAGTCGCGGAGGAGGCGCTCGTTGTCAGCGGCCAACGGCGCGGCGGATATGGCAAAGTCAAGTGTGCGATCTGATGCGTCGTTGATGATGACTGCGAGAGGTCGGGTTAGCCTGTGTGGTGGCCCACGATGCTCGTCGTCGATGCCCACCTGTTGGCTCCTTCTGGTCCGCGTCCTCTGCCCAGATGAGCAGATGGGCCCTGGAGGCGGCGTCGTCGTGTGCCCCAAACAGCGGCTGGCGCCGTCCGCCGTACGTGTTGATGTGCTGCAGCGTCTCGGCATCGGCATGCTCGAGCGAGTGGAATCGCGACAGGCCCAGGCGCTGGGCAATGATGAGACGCGCAGTCTCTGGGCTGACGGTGGGCCGAGCTGCAAGGACAGCGCAGGACAGTGATGAGGCGACAAACGCCCCGGATAGCTTCATCGTGGCGGATGGGTTGGGGTTTGGGGGGATATTGGTGCAGCAGCGGCGATGATGCAGTCGGCGGCGAAGCTGAGACGCTGCCACACGTCGGAACCTGGCCCACCCACGCCTCCGACCCTTGCCATGGCCCGCTCCTCCTCCTCCTCCTCCTCCTACTGCTGCTGCTACTACTACTACACTGACTATTGTCTATTCTACCACTATTCCCCGCGTCCGCTGCAGGACCCTGGCGAGCCACTGTACCCCTCCGTATTTTTTCTGGTGACTTTCCAAACTTGGCCCGCATCGTTTGACCCTCTACAACGCCTTCATGTCTCCGCTTTTCGTACCAAACCCCTCGTAACGCCCGCCAGCCATGTTCAGGCCACTGGTGCTTCGCCGCAACTTCTCCCTCTTCAACAGGGTACCGCATGCCCACATAGTGCGCTCAGCCGCTCGCCAGGGCTACGACAGTGTCACAATTCAGCGAGTGCGAATACGGCGGCCTTTCTTTAGCAACTCGTGAGTCGCCGAGCATCCGAGTTCCTTCACATGCTAATTGACTGACTGGGCAGACGATTAGTCGGCGCTGTCGCTGTTGCCGCAGCTACCTATGGCCTCGTCCGGTACCTGGGCTTGGAAGTCGAGATTGAAGAGATAGACGACGACAACCAATCCGCAAATCCCGAACAGGACGGATGGGAAGCGGTTGGCCCCGCAGCAGAGGACGGCAAGGAAGAAGATGACGGCGAAGGCGCAATTCTATTTCTACCCACTGGCTTTTCGCGACCACGGCAGAGGACCTTCTACAAAGGCTCAGACCCCGAGTGGCAAGATTTTAAGAAGATAGCAATCGATCGCGCAAAGGCAAACAAGATTGGCAGTAAGCACGCCTTCTTCCAAACAGAGCCCGTCGCCGCTAACAGCAGAGCAGGCGAGTTGGTAGCCATAATACGCTACAATGCCTCCAATAGCCCGCAGTACATCGCTCGCCTTGGCAAAATCGATGTAACAAAAGGCAAAACTTGGGTCGAGTTTCGATTCCCTCCCGGCCCACCCGTCGAGTACGAGCGACCCGGCATTGAGCTGACTAAGCACCTCGAATGGCGCAAGGCAACACGGCCGGTTGAGGATGCGCACCACCAACGCTTGAGCAGAATACTATACCCCAAGGAGGTTGCGGATGCTTTGTACAACGACACTACGAAAAAAGCAGGAAAGGTGTGGAAGAACTTCAAAGTCTACATGGGTTGGGAGCAGGAACCAAAGACGGAGACAGTCCAGGACCTCTTTCACCGCATATCCACCAACCAGCAGTCGTCTGCCGGGCAGGCTACAAGCATAGCCCCAAGTCCTCTGTCAGCCTCCGCAAATGACACCCAGCAACCAGCAGCCTCACCTTCAACCGCGCCTGTCGATGGTCCTGCGAATGTGGGTTTCGTTCTACCAGATCCCAAGAAGATGACACTAGACCTCGCCCAGTTCCGCGCCGACTTCCGCAAGGCCTTCAAACCATATACATTGCAGCCTCCACGCGGCACCTTTGTGGTGATAGGTCTGATTGAAATATACGGCGAGCGGGCCCGCATGACACTAAATGTGCAAGCCGTCTATGACCCCAAACAGGGGCGATATTTGAGGTTGACGGGACTTGTATGGAATTATGTCGAGCATCAGCAGTATCCACGAGGCGGGTCTTAGAAGAATGGTCCTCATGGTTCAATGCATTCCACCAGGCGTAGGGGAGGAAGTTCTTGAGCGCTAGATATCCATGCATGGGCGGAGTTTTGTTTGGTAAATTGAGCGTTTGAAGCGGCATTGCTGGTGTCTAGATTGCGTATTGCTCAGATTACCAAGGTTGCAAATATTCGCTTAATCCACTTTAACGAGTTTACAACGGGTTGAGGTATTTTTTACCTGACCTGACCGTATTGTTGCGAGTATGGCATACGTTCAGAAATACCTATTGTGTTCTCTCTTGATTAACATGCCATGGGATGGTCCAGATTGCCTGAGTCCACCTTGAGACTGGACGAAGGAAAGATTTTGCATCAAGCCAGGAATGAGGAAACATACACATATCATTGGTGAGTTTCTACCTCCCATATTAAGGGTGATGTATTCTATCCAAGAGATGTTTATCTCTATGTGCGTGTTTTTTCTTTTGAGTTCTATGGGTGAGTCCAACGCTAGTGCAGCGGGCAAAGTAGAGATAACGTATTCCATCACCGAGCGGGCCACATCACCGAGTGTGCCACTTTTTCTTGGCATCACGAACTTCATGTACGAAAACTTAGATTACTCTACACTAGCTATAGATGCTTCGTACGACTTACTTGTATCTGAAAGAGAATCTTCTTCTACATCTTTCTGGCACGTACGAGAGTTATGGCCTGTCCTCCCACAGGTTCTACAGTGCCGTTGACCTGGTAGGGCCCTTTCTTGACTACCCTCACCACGTGCCTTCTTTGATGTCGTACGACCAGCAGAACTACTTTTAGCTACCTGCGATGCCCCTGCACCAAAGTCTAGTGTCCCACCTGTCTGAATTCGCTTTCTTTTGCGCCTTTGGCGCTTTGTTACTGCTGCTAATTGCTCTTCAAGCTCTCTTACGCGGGCCTTTATAAGCACATTCTCATGTAGCATCTCCTTAGCCCCTTTAATAAGCTTTAAAAAGCCTTCTTGTGTAGTAGTTAGCGATCGTACGAAAGACTCTCTTACAAGCTTTAATTGTGACCTAAATTCATGCGAATTACTTGGTGTTCTTGACGTCTAGGGTATTTCTAGCTAAGCTTCTTGTGGTGGAGTATGAAGGCGTACGTCAAGGCGATTAATGACTCTCTGCGCGTTGATAGGGACTAGCCCTGCTGCCTTAAAGGCCTTCTTGTAGTTATTGGACGTAAACACGTTAAAAAACGCGTCTTGAAAGGCTGGAAGGAAGCGCTCCTTATTAATATGCTAGATATGGTGGCGTGCCAAGTCTCGTACGCGTTGAGAGTACTTCTGCTTAAGAGGCGAAAAGCAGACAACGTTAAGTGGCTAAAGTATGTGCGATGAATGAGCAGGCATACAGAGGGTAAGGATCTTTCGTACGAGGCAGTAATCCTTAAATTCTTGGTTAAGGTGGCTCTTATGGCCGTCAAGGATGAGTAGCCTGTATAACCCCACCTGACGCGTCTTTGTATGCTCGTCAAAGTGCTTTAACCACGCGAGACCAAGCTCATTGTTCGTCCAGCCGTTCTCTGATACTGAAAGCTTCTAGTCGTACGGTATATCCGCTTCTTCGTACCATGCAGAGATGTGGACGCGTCCCTTGTAGATAATGAATGGCGGGGTAGCGTATCCCGCAGCGCAGATGCTCTGGATGACTGTAACCCACTCGCGATTGCCTGGCTGCGTGAGAGTAGGCCTCGTACGACGCTCTGCGCCTGTGACTACCTTCATTGAGCCAATTATGCCCATCTGAAAGCTAGTTTCATCAAAGTTATGGATGTCGTCTGAATGAACTCCATACTTCTTAACCGTCTCTTGTACGAGCTTGAACCACGCGTTAATAATCTCTGGATCCTCTTGTTGAGTTCTCTGACGATCCTTTGCTTGACTAAAGGCTGTTCTAAGCTCGTCTGTACGAGTAACGAACTGCTCTGCCTAGCATTTGCCTAAAGGCTCGCCATCTCGTTCGCGTAGTAGTTTCTCCGCCATATCTGCTACTTCACATAGACGGGGGGCAAATCCTCGCGAGTCTAGGTTAAGAATATATCGTACGATAGTTTGCTCTTCAGACTTAGTTAGCTTCTAGTAATTTGGCTGTGTTGTAGGTCGAAAGGTGATTCCTTGAAGCCGCCAAGAGATCTGCTGATAATAGACGTTGTAGGCTGCTGCAGCGCGTCGAATGCTCTTAAACTGGCCTGTACGATAGGCCTGAACAGCTAGAGTAAGCCTACCTTCTTGCTGAGTTAATATCGCGTTCTGTTGTTGGGGCATTATCTTTCGTACGTGAAGTTCGTGATGCCAAGAAAAAGTGGCACACTCGGTGATGTGGCCCGCTCGGTGATGGAATACGTTAAGCAGTAAAGGCGCTAAATCTATCATCCACATCCCAATATGATTTAATTAATGCCGTACACTGAAACAAGGCGAGTGCAACTCCTTCAGCGGCACTGCAACCTGCATCAGGTGGCAACAAAAAAATTAAAGTGAGTTTGTTTGCAAAAAAGTGCCGGTACCACTTGGTCATACGCACAGGAAGCGCTTTTAGGAACATTACCTACCTCTTTATCGATTCTATCAGTGATTTCACAGCGCCTCTTCAACGCCACATTTCTCCTTCCTTTTAATCATGCCCAGTTATTTCCCCCCAAGTACCCCGCGATACTTACTTACTTATCCCACGCCCCTCATTCCCAGCCATCATGAAACACAAAATAATCTCCGCCGCCATATTACCCACCCCGCAACCAACAAGGGGTCATACACAAAACAAGCGACGACGATCAGCGCGTCCCGAAGCATGCTTATGTACCCTCATATCATCCGATAATATGTTCAGTGTCGCAGAAGTAAGCAAGAAAGAAAGAGAAGAAGAGAAAAAAAAAACAGACAAACAAATACGTAAAATGCGACATGCCGTCTCCCTAAACTCTGATATTACCCGAGACTCCGGGTCTTGCGCTTTTGCTGGAAAAACATCCCTGATCTAGTCTGAAACATGGGATGGCCATGGTTACAGCTTACAAGGGCACATCCTGAACGGGGCGGAGGGGGGAATGCGCGTTCGTCCAGAGTGAGTATAGTTACCGTAGATGGCCGCGTGAACTTTTCAGTTGATGATTACTTTACTTACTCGCCTTCTTGCAAAAAAATTTCATGTGTTCGTAGCGCTACTAATACCACTGCGTTTATTGTGTCGGTGGAAAATCAAAAAGTTTTGGTCCGAAGACAAGGGAGATTGTCGAGAGAAGTAGGTTGATGTACTACTTGTTTTCGGTCATGTGTGTAAGTAAGTATGGCTGCATAGGCTCGGTATATTCCCATCTACCGAGCGAGCGCATCGATGCAGAGGAAATATGCATAGCCATGACGGCGTTCGTCATCAAGGGGACTTTAATGATGCCTGTAATAAAGTATAGTCATGGTAGTTTCACGCGCTAGTTGATCGGCGCGTGTATCAAGACGTGTGATCTGCGGCGATCCGTCTCGTCGTGCATACGGAGGTGCCTCACAAAAGTTTT